GCTACCAAATACTCCACCCGGCGCCCTTGCCACCTTGAGTCCAGTATTTCCGTGGCCCTGTGGTGGTGTTCCCTTTCTTCTACCTGCGGGTGTGTGGTGACTTCTCCCTCTTGCCCCTGGAATTCCCGCCCTTCCCTATGCGGTGAAAGCAGGGACCTATGGAAAACCGGGTGTATTTTCATGCTATCAGGCAACCTGAGCTTAAATGCCACGGGATTAACTTGCTGTGTTACCTCAAAAGGTCCCAGCCGTCTGGGCTGCAACTTCTTGCACCCCCCTTTGAAAGGTAGCCCTTGGGTGGACAACCACACCCGGTTCCCCACCCGTATGGTCTCCCCTTCCCTGCGGTGCTTGTCTGCCTGCCTCTTGTAAGTTTCCTTGGCCCGCTCCAAGTTCATCTTAAGTTGCTGGTGTAGGGCCTCCATTTCCTCCACAAACTGCTCTGCGGCGGGTACGCTCCAGCTTTCCTCCCCACTCCCGGGAAGGCCCTGGGATGACACCCATGGTTGGCCATGAATGGGCTCATTCCCGTGGACACGTGTTCCGCGTTGTTGTACGCGAATTCAGCCAGCGCTAGTTTTTCTACCCAATCGTTCTGCCTCTCGCTGACATAGCAGCGTAGGTATTGCTGGAGTATACTGTTCGCTCTTTCTGCTTGCCCGTTGGTCTCTGGGTGTCTCGCCGTCGAGAAACCCACCTCCACCTGCAGTAAGCTCATGAGTTTCCTCCAGAACCGGGAAGTAAATTGTTTTCCGCGGTCGGAGATAACCCTCAATGGGGCGCCATGCAGCCGGAATATGTGCTCCACAAACAACCGGGCTGTTTCCTCTGCCGTTACAGCATGTGAGCAAGCTATAAAGTGGCACATTTTTGTCAGTAGGTCGACCACTACCATGACTGCTGTCTTTCCCGGGACTTGGGCAAATCTGTCATAAAATCAATGGATACCACCTCCCAGGGTTTCCCCGGCGTGGGTAAGGGTTCCAGCAATCCTGTGGGGGCAGCCCGCTCCCCCTTTGCCCTTTGGCAGCGGTCGCACCCCCGTACATATTCCCGTACATCCTCCCTCACCCTGGGCCACCAGAACTGCCTGGTCACCAGCATCATGGTTTTGTGCTGTCCAAAGTGCCCTGCTGTGGGGTTGTCGTGGAGTTGTTTGAGTACTTTTTCCCTCAGGGTTTCCCCCGGTACGTACAGCGCTCCCCTATAGTACAGTACCCCTTCCTTCTCCTCAAACCCTTCTTGGGTCCCTCTTCCGTCTCGTAGTTCCCGGATTTTAGTTTGCGCGAACACGTCGTTTCTGGTCAGCCCGGCTAGTTCTCGTTTCCCCACCAAAGTTCCCACACACACCCATCGGTCCTCGGGGATCACGTGTCGTTTCTCCGGCGGCCCCTCCCCTTCCAGGTACTCCGGTTTACGCGAGAGAGCGTCTGCTCTTACGTTTTCTTCTCCGGGCACGTAGCGGATTTCAAAGAAAAACTTGGAGAACTCCTGTGCCCATCGAATCTGTCTCTGGTTGAGTACTCGTGCGGTTCTCCAGTACTCCAAGTTCTTGTGATCTGTGCAAACCTGGATCTGTTGTTGCGCCCCTATCAGTAGATGACGCCAACGACGAAGGCCGCGTAGATTGCCAGCAGTTCGCGGTCATACACTGTATAGTTTTGCTCCGACTTGCTCAGTTTTCTGGAGAAAAAGGCACAAGGTTTCCGGTGCTGCTTTCCCTTCCCGGGTTGCTAGAGGGCCGCCCCCACGGCGCTGTCGGAGGCGTCGGTCTCTAGCCGCGGGGGTTTCTCGCGATCTACGTGCAGGAGTTGCTCTTCCGATGCGAACGCCTTCTTCAGTTTTCGAAGGATTGCTGGGCCTCTTCTGTCCACACAAACTTCTTTTTGCTACTGAGACAATCCGTGATTGGCGCTGTCAAGTGGGCGAAGTTCTTGATGAACTTCCTGTAGAAGTTGCTGAACCCTAGGAACCTCTGTACGTCCTTCCGTGTCTTGGGAGCCTTCCACTCCAGCACTGCCTGCACCTTGCTTGGGTCCATCGCTAAGCCTTTGTCAGACAACTTGTACCCCAGAAACTCGACTTCTCTGGCGTGAAACTGACATTTTTCCAGCTTGACCCACAACTGGTGCTTCTGCAGTCGTTGTAACACTTCCCTGACGTCTCTAACATGTTGTTCCTCATTGTCCGAATAAATTAAGACGTCGTCCAAGAAGGCTACGCAGTTCTTGTACAGCAGAGACCCCAACACGTGGTGCATGAAAGCTTGAAAGCAGGCGGAGCCTGACTGTAATCCAAAAGGCATAACTAAGTACTCAAAGGCACCTAGGGGTGTGAACATTGTGGTCTTCCATTCGTCCCCCTCCCTCATCCTGATCAAATTGTATGCGCCCCTGAGGTCCAGCTTGGTAAAAATTTTGCCTTTCCTCACTCGCGTTAAAATGTCGTCAATCCTGGGCATTGGGAAGGTCACGGGTTCTGACACCAAATTGACAGCTCTATAGTCCACTACGAGCCTGGGTTTATTTGTGTCCTTTTTGTCCACAAAGAACACCGGACTGCCCCCTACTGCCTTTGATTCTCTTATGAAGCCTCTTTTCAGGTTCTTGTCGATAAATTCTCGCAACTCCTTCATCTCCCTGTCTGACATGGCGTACAGCTTACCCACTGGCAGCTGAGCCCCGGAAGCAAGTTGATCTGGCAGTCAAAGGGCCTATGGGGTGGCAGTCTATCTGCCTCCTTTTCGCTGAAGACCTCCCGCAGATCTGCGTATTGTGGCGGCACCTCCCCTTTCCGCTCCACCGCCATCCCAGCCACCCTGGCCACGGTCATTCTTGGGGCTTCCCCCCCTAGACAGTGTTCCAGGCAGTAAGCTGATCCAAAGGTGACTGTCCTCTGATGCCACGCCACCACTGGATCATGTTGTGCTAGCCAGCTCATCCCTAATATTATGGGGGTCCTGCTAGCGAGGCGACGTGAAAGGCGATGGTTTCCGAGTGCCTGGACACCCTCATTCTCATTGGCGGGGTTTGGTGTGTCACTTCCCCTCCTAGAAGCTCCCTGCCATCAATGGTGGTCACTTGCAAGGGAAAATCCAAAGGCAGTAAGTGGAGCTGGTGCTCTAATGCAAAGTCCTTGCTGAAGAAATTACATGAGCTGCCTGAATCCAGCATGCCTTTCACCTTGACTGGGTGCCCGTTTGGGAGTTCTAGCACCACTTCGATGGCTATTGCCGCCTTGGGGGGGTCTGGTTGGGGCACTTTTACTGGTGGCTGGCTTGGCTGTTGTGCCCCTTGATTGGCAGCCAAGCGTTCTCGTTTCCCTGTTCCTGTTCCTTTACCACCTCCTCCTCACCCCCTGCGGCTCCCACCATTCCTTGCCAAGCCTTTCTTTGAGGGCAGGCTCTGGCAAAATGCCCTGGCCGCTGGCAAAGGTAACACCTTTTGGAGGTTTTCCAATCCTTTCCCTCCTTCTTGCGCCCTTCGCTGCTGCTTGAAACTTCCCGCGCGCGCCCATCTATTTCCATTGGCTCTGCTGGCGGGGAGGGCTGCCTTGGTATTTCAGGAATGCGGTAGTCATGGCAACGTTGCTCTCTCCCTTCCCGCCTCTCCTGGGCCCGCGCTTCCTGGCGCGCGCCAATCGCAAGCACAGCCTTGGTCAGCTGATCCATCCCCTGTGGGCGGGGTGCGCGGGAAAGTTCATCCTTAACCGTTGGGGACAACCCCTCCTCGAATAACATCTGTATGGGTTCGGAGCCCAGTTCCCACCCGAGGCGATGAACTATCATGGCAAGCGCGACCAGTAGTCCCTGACTGACTGGCTCCCCTGTTTACAGTTCATCAATTCCCGCTTAGTCACACTTTTTGAACATCAGTGGAAAACATCGCGTCCATCGCTTGGAAGAATTTCCTCAGGTCCTGCATGGCGGAATTCTGCGTCGCCATAAGGGGTCTGACCCATTCTCTGGCCCCGTCCTGCAGGTGACCCACAACATATGCCACCCGCGCCGCGTCGTCTTCAAAATCGTTATGCTGCAAGTCCAATGCGTACTCTATTTCCGTTCTAAACGCACTGTATTCTTGCGGCTTCCCCCCAAACTTGTGCACCAGTCCCGGTACCTTCCTTGCTATGGGGGTGGGTCTGACCTGTGCATCTTGAGACCGCCTTTCGTCCAGCCGTGCCGTCAGAATGGCCACATGCTGCTCCAAATCTCGGTTCCTCTCCTCCAGCGTTTGCCCTCCAGCTGCTCCCCCTTGGGTGCCTGCTTCTCCGGGCTTGCTCATGATGCTGCCTGCCTGCTGCTGCGCACGAGCAACTTTCAGCGACTGACGGATTGCTGTAATGAGTATGAGTTACTCGTGCGTAAACTGGTGCCTCTCTAGGCTGATTTGCCTTGTTAAACCTTTCTGACTGCACAGCCCCTTCTGATCAGGACTGTCTCAGTCACTAGCAGAATCCGTCAGTGGGCGTTTCTTGAATCTCTTCCAACATAAGAGCTGTTTGACACCCAATCGCCTCCGCCTCTCACTGCGCGGGAGCCTTCTGCGCAGGGTGGGCGTGGGTAGCGGGGACCTGTCCCCTCCTCACTGAGTTCCAGTGAAGAGTCCGTGAGCCCTCTCTCCGATTTTCCCATCTGCTCACTTTTGTTCCTGGTGTTGCGCTTAAATGCTTCCCCCTCCACTGAGTCGCCTCTCCCCCTGCTGCTGGGTCCTTCTCCAGCATCATCCAGGAGCCTCCCCTTCGCCTCTCGCTCTGATGTCAGTTCCCTGACATGGAGTAAGGGCAGAAAGAGGCAAATGCCTTTTCTTTTTCTCATTATATAATACCATTTTTACCTCACGTTTTTCTGGCTCTGGTTTTAGTTAAGCCCCATCTGCATCACGCAAAGAATCTTGGGGACTGTGGTTTCTTAATGATGCTGTGAGTTGTTGGAAGGCCGCTATTCCTCTCACAGAACTACAATTCCCAGAGATCCTTGGGAGGAGGGATTGACTGTTAAACCACTCTGTAAATTGTAGCTCTGTGAGGGTAACAGAGGAGTCTCCTAAAAACTGGCAGCATCCCGAAAAAGCCACACTTCACAAGATTATCAGTGGGAGGCAATGACTTTTTAAAAGTGATATAATGCTGCTGGTAAATGATATATAATGAAATGAAAATGATGTCTAGATTAACGTTTGTAAAAAAACAACAACCCAGAAGCCTTTCTTCTGGGAATTATAGGGATAGAACTGCCTAAATTGTATAGAAATTTATTCATGTAAGCGACTACAGCAGCAAGAATGTTACTTGTCCAAAAATAGAAAGGAGAAGAAGTCCCAGCAAAGGAAGAAGGGATACAAAACCTTATGGAATATGCAGAAATGGTGAAACTTACCAGAAGAATAAGAAATCAAAATAACAAACTTTTTGTAAAAGAATGGAAATGGTTTATTGAATATTTACAGATAAATTGTAAACAGATAAAAACACTGGCAGGATTATTGTAACAACCTGCAGCTATATAAAAGTATATATATAAAGAAGATAAATAAATGAGTAAGTTAAGTTAATTTGGATATGCAGAAGATATTAAAAATAAATTTAAGGAACTGCAGAAAGCGGGGAAAGGAAGTCAAGCTTTAAAATGCCAGAATGAATGTAAAATCAGTGAAATGTATATATATGAAAAGTATAAATATTTTTTAAAAATAATAATGCAGCATTAAATGTATAGTGCAGATGAGGACTAACTCATACTCAGAGTCGACCCACTGAAATTAATCAGCACAATTCTTTTTTAGGCCCTATCCATGCTATACATTTAAAACAATATCCTAGTTTAAACAGGCATGGCTTCCCCCAAATGATCCTTGGAACTGTAATTTGTTCAGGGTCCTGAGAGTTGTTAGCAGACCCCAATTCCCCACAGGGCTACAGTTCTCTGAGTTCCCAGGGAAGAAGAGGGATTGGCATTTAAACCACTCAGGTTGTCAATGTTTGGCCGGGATCCTGAAGTAGGCTATTGCCTGTAAGGTAAATAAAACAACTTCGCCATCTGCTGGACACTCAGGAATTGCACGCATGCATTTTTTATCTCCAGAACCAGCTCTGTTCCCCAATTCCTCAAAAGTTTTCTTCTTCCTCATTCATAAGAACGTAAGAAGAGCCTGCTAGTCCAGCAGCCTATTCTCACAGTGGGCAACCAGATGCCTGTGAGAAAACCGCACGCAGGATTCGAATACAAGATCACTCTCCTCTCCTGTGGTCTTCAGAAACTGGTCTTCAGAAGCATTACTGCATCTGAACCGTGGAGGCAGACAGTAGTCATCATGGCTTGTAGCCACTGTCCTCACAGGGCTCTTGAGAATATCAGTCAGTGTTTGAAATTTGCACTTCTCCAAAATTTGCAATTGAATTCCCCAGCCACGCAACATCTGCAAAAGATGCATATATTAGGGTAAAGTGTGAAAAAACTCATGTATTTAGTGAAAGTAAGAAATACATTATACGAGCGGGAAATTTGCTCTGCAAAAATGTGCAGATTAGGCAAGACTGTGTGCAAAAAATATGAATATGAAAAGGAATTCACAATAAAATACCGATGAATTTTCATCTGGACTTTTTTTTTTAAAGCAAATTGATGTGGAAATGTGGAGAACTGATCCTAAGTTTGGAAAAGTTGAAAAACAGAGAGAAACCGGTACTGGCCTACGTGAATTAGGTTGGTTTGCCTTTAAATGCAAACTGATTCTAATTTCTCCCTCATCCCCTACCAAGGCTAGGAGAAGAGGATGTGTTTGCTATTTGTTTGAGCTCAGGTGGCTGCAGTTTAACTACCGGACTGGGCACTTGCTGAAACAGGAACAAGGAAGTGAAAGCGGGTGGCACACCTACTGAAAACCAGAGAACAGCAAAACCTCACGAAGGAATACCTGCAGGTAACAATATATAGTTTTGTCACTTGCCATTTAAGCAGTTGATTTTCTAGGTTTCGTGTTGGTCACTTTGAGGAAGCCACTTCCTAATTTTGTTTTACTTCTCTAAGCCAAGTTAATCTCCTTCCTCTGCTCAGTTTTGTGGGTGGTTCTTGAGACCTGGCAGGTCCTAGGAAGGAAAGTAGAACAAGGAAGCATCTGAGAGGGCTGAACAGAAGGTAAGGGGCACAGCACTGTGCCAGGTGCCAGAGGCTTGGTGATCTGGAGTTGCTTATATTTTGCTGCACCCTGAAAACTGCAAAAATGAGTGTATGAGAACTATTCTTTTGGCCTGACTGGCAAACCAGCAATTGGCCAGGTAACCAGTATCGGAGTCTAGCACAATCCAGCCAGGGGCAGCTTCAGGTTTGAGAAATGGGATGCGGGTGGCGCTGTGCTCTAAACCACTGAGCCTCTTGGGCTTGCTGATCGGAAGGTCGGTGGTTCGAATCCCCGCAACAGGGTGAGCTCCCGTTGCTGTGTCCCAGCTCCTGCCAACCTAGCAGTTTGAAAGCACGCCAGTGCAAGTAGATAAATAGGTACTGCTGCGGCAGGAAGGTAAACGGCATTTCCATGAGCTCTGGCTTCCGTCATGGTGTCCCGTTGCTCCAAAAGCAGTTTAGTCATGCTGGTCACATGACCCAGAAAGCACATGACCTGGTCACATGACCCGGACAAACACTGGCTCCCTTGGCCTGAAAGCGAGATGAGCGCTGCAACCTCGTAGTCACCTTTGACTGGACTTAACCATCCAGGGGTCCTTTACCTTTACCATACCAGGTTTGAGTGCAAAGTATCCTCCAGTTGGACTCCTCCTGTGTTTGTGGAGCTGATGGGAGTTGCTGTTCAAAATATCTGGAGGGCAGCAGTTTAGGGAAGGCTTCTCTCTCCCTCTCTCTCTCCCTCTCTCTCTCCCTCCCTCCCTCCTTGTTCCGATTTATATACCACTTGATTATTTTAAAAAAGGTGGGATGTGAGACAAACAAAAACAGGAATGTGGTGATACAGAATTTGAATGTTTTGAAGCATTTCACATGTCAGTCTTGTCTCATGTTTATTTTTTATTTTTTTGTGGGATAAGTGAAGTTCATGGATTTATATATTTTTTTAGTTGGAGGACTCCTAAATTGTCATCATTTAGGAGCAAGTCCGTCTGTGGGTTGGCCATGGACCTGTGGAATGCTTAAAGGAGGCTTTAAAATATAATTTTTGTTCATCGTAAAACAAACTGAACAATTTTTCAGTTTTGCTTACCCTTTTGGATCACGCCAAATTTTGCAAGGGGAAATGTGTCTAAAATGCATGTTTTAGTGGTAATGCATGCAATTAGAATGTGAGGTTTTGTGCATTTTTCATTTTAAAAAGAGGAAATGGGACAGAGTGGACTAAAGACTATAAACACATTCGAAACTGACACGGGTTGGGAATAATCCATCCCAAGTGCAAAAAGGGCACAGGGTTCCAATATGTTAGACTGCTAGAAACATAGGAAGCTGACTGATACTGAATTTGACCATTGTTCCATCTATCTCAGTATTGCTTGCACTGACTGGCAGCAGCTCTCTAGGATTTCAGGCAGAGGACATTCCCAGTGAAATGTTGAGATGCTGGGGATTGAACTTGGGTCGTTCTGTATGCAAATTGCAAAGCATGTGCTCTACCACCTTTCCCCTAAAGCAAGTTTCCAGACCTCATTATACTGGTTAAGGTGCCATTTGAAATAGAAGCATAGGAAGTTACTGTGTCAGACCATAGGTCCATCTAGCTCAGCATTGTGGACACTGACTGGCAGTTGATCTCCAGGGTTTCTGGCAGGGAGTTTCTCCAAGCCCCATCAGGAGATGCTAGGATTGAACCTGGGACCTGTCTGCATGCCAAACAGACACTGTACCACTGAGCTACATGCCTTCTCTTATCTTCTTTTTCTTTATCTACAGATAAAACAGAACGTCAGAAAGGGGGCTACAGACAACCAAGTATGGCTTCCTCAGGGAAAGATTTTGGCCAAGAGCTAAGTGATCAGATCCACGATGTACTGAACCGACTGGAAAGCAAGCAGATGTTCCAGACTGCCTGGGACATTGCGGCATTTGCCATTTTCTTTTCTTTCATTGGTAAGTTGGAGGGTGTGGCGGGGAAATGAGAAGGGGCAAAAAATGGTTGCTTTTCACAGCTGATATTGTTTTTTCTCTAGACCTTGAGCCATGTCCCTTGAGGATTTGGACAGATCGCTATGGCTCAAGCTGCTTTGGTTGTTGACGCAGAAAATCCAAATGGCCCCATCCCATAGTGGTGCAAAAAATATAGATTATATATTGGAAGAAACTGAATTTTAAATAACTAAAGCAGCCTTGCTGAAGCTAAGCAGGGCAGGGTTTAATCAGTGCCTGGAGCTGGGAGCCCCCTCAATGTCTGTTTGAGCTCCATAAAAGAAAGGTGGGATGTACATTACTAAAGTTGTCTCCACTGAACCATTTAACAGTACCGTAAAATGTGTGTCCTAGGACAGGCTACAGCTCTTCTTTGTGGGCTGGCCCCACTTTTCTAGACAGGGAACTCAGAAACTGATGCATCCAAGCTATCACCTTTACTGAGACAGACCAGCTCCCTTTTGACTCTTCCTCAAATTATCTAGTGGCAGCCATTCTGTCAGGCTGCTTCCATCTCAGTTGGTCATTATAACTTTTAAGAACTGGTGCCTGAGCTTTTCCCCTCGCTCCTCCCCTCTTTTTCCTCAAGTGCCATGTATTTTAGATTGCAAGCCAGACAACAGGGGCAGATGATCTTTGTGAGCTGCACCAGCAGCCTATTTTGACTGAAGAGCATGGAAGAAAACGCTTTAAACAACAATTCTTTTTGTCTTCCAGGTGTGGTTCTCTTCATGGCCCTCATTGTTCTTATCCGCTGCTTTTGCTGTTGCTGTGATTGCGATTCATATGAGAAGGTGAACATTTTCTGGTATTATATTCCCACACTTAGAGCAGGGATCCTCAATTTTTTTGGGACCTGGGAGCACATTTGGAAATCTAATTAATTACCATGGGCACCACAATAAACCCATTTCAGAGAGGAAAACCTGGTGATGCTCATAACTCCCCCCCCCCCAAAAAACACCCTACACCCCCTGAAACAAATGAAGAGGTGAAAGAGGCAATATTTCCCAAAAAACAGGTACCCCCCACCAAACTCCTTTTTAAAAAAATTGTTTTGAAAAAATGAGCAGGGGAGCATATGAGGTCATCATGATCTTGGGATGTGAGAAAAGGGTAATATGGCATTAACAGATCACTTGGGCTAGAAGCAGATCCGGGCTCAAATACACAGCATAGCGCTGTAGGCTGCATTCACACAAACAGGGGCAATGTGCATTCCACACCCTTGCCATGGTTTACTGCTTGAGATTCTAAAACCTTGCTTTCCTGTACACAGGTCCCCAGGAAAAAGGCTGGCATTGTTAACCAGGGGATGGAGCTGTAGTTTTGCCATGACTGATCACCTAAGCAACCAGGAAGAGGACCAAATATTTGTGCTTTTCCTGGATTTTCTCATCTGCACTGGAATTAACTGTAAATTGGACCTTGCCTGGGGAGGCATGTATGATTAGGGAGGTACTGGAGGCCAGATGCACCAATTGTGACAATATTTAGCCCACATCTGATTGCATATTAAACTGAATAGTCAAACCCATTCCCTACGGTTCGGTATCTTCTGCTTTTTGATCACTGGAGAGAAGATCACAAGGCAGCAAACTCCTCTCCCAGTTGGTTTTTTAAGCCATCTAGTTTGTGTTTCATTAAAGGAGGGGCAGATCAAGATCGGCTAATTGGGTTTTCTGGCTGACTCACATAAAGCCATACTAGAAAAGGGATAACTCTCAACAACCATTACAGGGAATAGGTCAATGCTCTTTTCTTGTGTAGATCAAGATGCTGCATACTAATGGCAGACCTGCTGTTTCCTCTCCACCCCCCTGCCCCCCCATACCATTTCTCACCCATGAATACTTTGGCCAACTGAGAAACCTACACTTCATGTGTCTGGAGAAATGTGCTCTAGTCCACAAAAGATTACACCACAATTGCATCGGTTAGCTGTCAACGCGCTGTGATGCAATTTCCTTATTTTGCTGTAAAATGGAGCCTGAATCAGTGTGAAGTCTTCATCCTCCTGGTTTCTTACAGTCGTCTGCTAATTGCAGTAATAAAGTCACATGGCTATGATGGGGCAAGCAGCAAGAGAAGCGTAACTGTTCAAGGTTCAGTAGGTTCCAAGGAATGTGCTTTTTGGATGTTGCAGTGAAGACATGAATGCCTCCTAATTAGTGTAGTATAGAAGTTGCATTCTGGGTCATCTTGATTTTGAACTGGGCTTTGTAGAAACTCGCCCTACAAACCATCAGGAGAGGGAGCCCCCTCGATTATTTCACTGTCCTGAGAGATTTCAGGGCAGCCCTTAAGACAGGGCGGTCCAATGTGTAGCCAAAAGGCTGCATGCGGCCCTCGTTGCCTTTTTGGGTGGTCTTCAACAATATTTGAGGGCCCCCCCCCAAAAAAAACCTGCCTTCCCAAAGCAGGGTAAGGGAGGCACTGGGCTTTGGGAAGGCGATGCAGGGGCTCTGGCAGTATCCTAGAGTCCTCCTTCCCAAAGCTTAGTTACTGCTTTCCCAGCTTTGAGGAGACACGATGACTCTAGGACTCTTGCCAGAGCCTTTCCCTGCTACAAAAGTGCAACTGACACTTTCATTGTATAGTTTTTGTCATATGCTGAAGATACACCTCTTTGCCCTGGCCTTTGAGATTTTTAGCAGTAGAGATTTTTAGGATCCTTGCTATTCATCTGATTGAAATATTAAAATTAGTTTAAAACAATTAGCATTCTACATGGTTGAAACGTGTTCTGGTGAAGGGCTGTTAAACAATCTAATAATTAACAACAGGCAGAGTCGAGGCATCCAACTTAAGACATTTCGACTAACTCCCTCCTCCACATCATTGGGGTCTCCTTCGAAACATAGGTTTGCAACTTCAGCCACACAGCACAACGGTCAGGGATTTTTATTTAACGACAACAGCAGACCAGTTCAAGGAATGATTCGTTCAAGTTTAGCAGCAACCGACCACTCTGCCACCAAGACAAACATGTATGGTTTGCGTTGCTTAGTGGTAGACGGGCATAGCGATGGCTCAATGGAAGACATGATGGAGGTGGTGCCTCTGGCTACCCACCAAAAGAACATTGTTCCCGACGCCGCTGGGGTTAAATTGTAGAGATGAATCTTCCACATTGGCGCAAGAGATTTGGTGGTGGTGATGGAAGGGACAGCAAACCAAAAATATGACGAGGAAGGAATGGCTCTTTGTGGCCCACCACACACACCAAGTTGGTCCCTCTTGTCATCCCTCCATAACAGTCCAGCCCTGGCTTCATTTTCCCTGTTCACAATCACACCTTTTCCTCTAATGAAGGGAAAAGGGGAGCCTGTGGCCCTCCAAGTCTTGCTAGACTTCAGCTCCCACCAGTCCCAGCCAGCATGGCCAGTGGATCAGGGACAATGGGAGTTGCAGTCCTGTGACATTTGGAGAGCCCATTCCCTGTGCTAGAGGGTTGGGATTTGACTAGTGTTCACCAGCTTGGAAAGGAATAGGTGTACTTCTAAAGTGCTAATAAATAATGATATTCGACACATGAGGATGCCAACACTGGGCATGGTGCCTACCCGGCTGCCACCATGAACAGTGGGATCCAGTAAATCTTCACACATACACAGCTTATACAATGATTTCCTCCCGGGAAGAGAGAGAGTGGCTGAAATTGCAAATGGACCACTGTTTGAGGCAGGATCAGTAGAGCTTGTAGTTCCAGTAGCCAGAAAACACAGAGATCTGGAAAATAAGAGGGGGAGAGGTTGTCAGAAGCTGCATCATGCTCCTGCTCAAGACATCTGTTTGGCAACCCCCAACCTAAGGTTTCCCATCCCTGCTGTAAAAAGCTAATTGGTGTGGAATCCAAGAATGAGCAGGGAATGGGGATTCTTAATTCAAATCTCACTTTTGTCACAAGCTTAGAGGTTCTCTAAGCCTCCACATCCCACCCTCCCAAATCTGAAATATGGGGATAATATCAACCTACCTTGACAGGGCTGCTGGTTCATTTTTCCATTGCATTTTACTTGAAATAGACTTAGCTGTAGCAGTCTAAATGCTCTAAATGTGCTATATTATTGCTAAGGGTTACTATCTATACATCAGCAGGACATATGCTTTTAAGTTTCACACAATCCAATGCTATTTGCCTTGCTCCCAGTGTCTCCTTTTTCTGCATCAGATACAGAACTAACACTTCACTAAGTATACCAGAAGTAGTCAACGTGGTGCCCTTCACATGCCCACTCAGCCCCAGCTAGCATAATTAACGGTCAGGGATGATGGCAGTCCAGCAGCTTCTGCAGGGTATCACACTGGCTGCCGCTGCAAAATACTTTCAACATCCAGCAGCCTCCCCTGGCCCCCAAAAGCAAGGAATGCCCTTTGCCAACCACGTCATCTCTTTCCACCACCCGACCTTGTCCTTCAGCTGCTGGCAGAGCTGCAGGGAGACCGTGAAAAAAACGAGGGCGTCATTCAGCCAGGGCACGACACACTCTACTTTGTGGACATGGTTCACTTCATATCTTTGGTTGTTGAACTCACTGCACAGAGAGAGAGAGAGAGAGAGAGAGATATGCTGGGTGCAGGGAGGTTACACAGACAAAATTCCACCCTGTTCCCTCAGGCCTTCACCATAGTGTGATGGTATTTATTTATTCATTTATTTTATTAAATGTGTAAACCACCCTATACCCGCAGGTCTCAACATAAAATCACAATATAAAATCACAAATACACAATAAAAACAAAAACAACCCAACTTACAACATGGCCCCTGGGTTGTGTAGTATGGACCCTCCAGCCGGTCTGAAGTTCTGGGGGAGGAAATAAAAAATTACCACCCATGGATTTTCAAAGAAGGAAACAGTTGTTCTGTGTAGACTCCACAAGCTTTCTTTATTATAGAGGTGATATGAATAGTGTACTTACAGTATCAATATTTTTTCTGCTTCCTTAGCATCTGTTGTCATTTCCTGACTCTTAAATTAGAGAGATATGGTGTTGTCTTCAACCAAGTTCTACCCAAGAGTAGATCCACTGAAAGTAATGGGCATGACTAATTCAGGTCCATTCATTTCAACAGCTCTACTCTGAGTAGAACTTGCTCAGATACAACCCACAAACATTTACCCAGCTAGTCAGAGCTTGTGCAATAGTCTTTCACAACACCCCCTTGAAGTAGTGATAGTAAATACAAAGGAGAAAGATGTTACGCAGCTGCTTCTGGGCCTCATCTACAGTTTTGCCAAAACTATCACCAGTGAAGATCCACCAACACATTTAAAATCAAGGCCCTTGGTCGGACCTACAAATGGCTTATGACCCTCAGATGTATTAACCACAATATTTCACCCTTGTTAAGATTTGAAACCAATGCTCTAACGCTGACCTTCTCCCCAAGTGGTAAGGGATGTCTCCTGTGTAGGATTACAGTAGAGTAGACCCCTGCCCTGGGAGCGAGCTGGGGGTTACGTTCTATTTATTTGTATTTTAGGAGATTTATAAATAGTCCTTCAGCATTTTCCCGGTACCTTTGTAGAACTGGGTTGCAGAGCATGCAGCTGATAGACAGTCAAGCACAGCTTATTCAGGTTGATGTAGAAATTGACGAGGATGTCTGGAGGCAGAGCAGGAGTGAACATTTTCTGCAGGGAAAGCAAAACCAGTGTATCATTAAGGTCCTTCCTTTCTTACCCATTGAAAATACCAGGTTTCAATACATGCAGGACTGTGAACAAGTATCCCTCGAGGACAGTAGTCTTCATTTTTTTTCCTGACCTTATAATCAAACATGCATTTGGGGACCCATTCCTTGACTTTTTATGATGTATTTTTATGGTGGTGGCGCAGCTGTTATGATCCACCTTAGATCAGATCATGATTTGTTGTGGGTTCCAGCTCACCAATTAAGACCAATCCTAGGACAAAGATTCTCAGAGTGTAAAGCAGGTCTTCCTAGAGGGGTCTGAAGCACTTCTCTGTCAGGAGAAGAAAACATTCCCCTTTAGGCCCTGTCACTCAATCACAGGGATAGGAGAAAAACAGAACACCCAGCAGCGGAGCATATACCCATGCTGCCCAGGGCGGGCACGCTCCCAAGGCAGGCGGGGCACAGAGGGTGCCCTCTCAGGCGCGGGATAGCTGCTCGGGTGCACGGAGCAGCACGCGCGCCCTGCAGCCAGGGACGGAGCGAGCCACCAATGGCGGACATTCAGCGCCCCGCCCACCTGCGACTCCCAAACTTCCCCCAGCTGTCAAAACGAAGGGGGAAAGGAATGCTGCAGGAACGCGGCACAGCTCCCCCCCTTTACCCGACGGCTCGCGGTAGGCTTGGGAGTCGCGGGTGGGTGGTGCACCAAATGTCACCCCCCTCAGCGAAGACACCTAGGGTGTTCTGCCCCCACTGCACCCCCTTTCCTCCACCCCTGGGAATACCAACCCACCGTTTTCCAACCGTTGCATCACTGCTGCAAAGATAGTGATGGATCTTTTTTCTATTCTGAAAGTCCCAGTCTCTCAACTGGGCAAATTCATATTGGCAGACTGGGCTAAGCCCACTGGCCCATCTGCGTCAACACTGACAGGCTGGCGCTCCCTGACCTAAAGATTTCAGGAGTTAAACAAAGAGCAATGCACCAGGGGCCACCTGTTAATTTTAATGAGAGACAGAAACACCCAGTTCATCAAAACTGCTGCCCTCCCAAGGGCAAAGAGTCCCTCTGCTCCTATTTGTAACAGTTCTTTTTTGATCACATGCAGTCACAGGAAACTTTGTGAGCAAAATTTGTCTGCTGCAGCTTGCCAGGAGCCCCCGTCTAGCAGCAGCCATCAGCTCCTTGGGGGGGGGGAATCTCAGAAGGGCCCACTGTACCTGTCTCCCCCATTGCCAACGTTGAACAATTTACCACATCCATGTAAAGTATTACTAGGGAATGGATTTGGTTTCCCTGAGCTTGCATGCTGCAAGCAACGTTCTAGTCCTCATGGATGTGCAATTAAAAAAACCAAACGTCCAGGAAATACATTCTCAAAGCTCAGGAGACAAAGGCAACTTTGTAGGTAGGACTTTCAGAGTTTAGAAGGATGGAAGCCAAGGTGGGAGGATGACTACTACTACTGCTTCTTGACTTCTGTAGCCTTGCTGTTGCCAATAACTTAAAACCTAAGCCATTCACACAGTACAGCAGGTTTAATGCAAGTATACACAGAGCTGGACTTTTCTTAGAGCACAACTAAGATTACTCTTAACAGAGATTTGAGTGGGCTGGAGCAGGTGTGTGCTTATCCCTTCCTGAGAGACTGACAAAGGCAGTTACCGTAACACCACTAGAGGCGATTTCTGGCAGAGTCAAAGTAGCTGGAGTGGTGAGCCGATTCCGAGCTCTTGTCAACTGCAGCATCACTGCATCCATCAACTGGTGTGGAGAGAGGAGGAGGAAGGCAGAGAGAGAAACCCGAAATTTAATTTAGACTGATCCAGAGTTGTGGCTGAAAATCTTAGTCATATGACGTTACTCCAAAATGGCTTTCAGTGTATCAAGAACCAAGCATAACCCTGGCCTCTCAGGTACCCCGGAGCTTTCTTCATATGCACAAATCATAATTGATGCGTAGGGTCAATCAGAAACATTTCGTTTGAGTGTTAGCAAGAAACTGCCCCCAAAACAAACTGCCTTCCTGGATTAAGTCAAAGGTCCCTCTAATCTCCCTGACACCAACTGCCCCGTGAGCAGGACCCCAGGAGAAGGTGGGAAGGAGGCGAAGACCACACCAAGGCCTGCTCTAGCTGAACTATCATCCTTCTCTCCCCTGATGATTCTACCACCAATTGCCCTGTGGGAAGGATCCTGATGACTTTATGTGTGGATATCGTTCACTGAGGTTTTGGAAAATGTGGGCTTCTAAACAGACTTAGAATAATTTGCATTCTGAAAGGTGGGACTGAAAAATGGTATCAATAAATAAATTAAAGTCCAGTATTCTATTAACAGCTATGGACAGCCAGGATTCTTATAAGACAGATATCCTACCTCTGAGCATGGAGGCTCTATTTCCTATCTAATCTATCTAAGTCAATGGTCATCACTACACCTTCTATATTAATTTCCCATTACACACGTCTGAAATCTCTTGTGACCTACGTGGAAAGGAAGAAAAACCCTTCTGTGTAAGGGTAAGTTATGCCTCTGAACACTGGATGGCTGTTTCCTTCATGCCCTGTTTGTGGGCATCTCTGAGTCCCTTAATTGGAGGCGAGATGGGCATTTGGCCTGATCCAGCAGGGCCTTTTAAAGTTCTGCTGGTTGCATACTAGGCCAGAGGAGTAGTGCTGTCTGTTCTGGGAGCAGGTCTCCAAAGTCCCAGGTAGATTTCCTTCCCTGTTCTATGACCATTTGCCCTTTAACAAGAGATGCAAAGGACAGAATCTGGGACCAGACACATGCTAAACATGTGTCCTGTCAGTGCCATCAAGCCACAGCTCTGTCCCACAATTGTTCCAGTTGTAGGTGAAGTGTTTGCTCATCTGGAAAAGTGACTGTTCCCAAGGCGAACGGAAGCAAGCACAATTCTCACCTTGAGGACCTCACATCCTGTCTTGAACTGGTAATTGGCGCCTCTGTTGGTAAGCAGGTAGATCGCTTGGTTGACATGATTCCTTGCATCCTGGATCTGAAAAAAGCAACAAAGGGCAGCCCATCAGCATGCTGGGCCAAAGCAGGCAAAAAGAGTTTTGAACTTAGAAGCACACAAAATCAGCACAAACAAGATGCAAGAAGATGAGTTTGCAGTCATCATACCTGCTGGAGTTTCCATTGTTTATCATCCCGGAATGCAAAGTGTAGGAGTTGGTTATTCCTGGGCATTTTCAAGTTAATATCCTGAGAAACAGAGAGGGGTGATGAAGGGTGCATACACACAGCATACATTCATAGCAGTTCGCTACTAATGAAAGTCTAGCAGAGACTACTCTGACCCTCCCACCCTATTTCTGATTATTGAGCTCAGGATGCTGAGTCCTGGAAGTACTGTATCAGGAACTACATATCTATAGGAGGAACAGCAAGCTGGAGAAAGCACCTTTTCTGAGAGGCAAAAAACATTATTCTGTTTGATGCCTATGTGGTATTAGGGTTTAGGATTGACAATCAGATTAATGGCCATTTTCAGCCCTACACTGGATGCATCTGCTAACCAGTAGTTGGTTAACTGGCTTGGGAAAGTCAGCAGTGGAAAGTCACTACATCAGGTTGCAGAGCAAGGAAGAAGGGTTGTTTTGTCACCTCTATTGAGGAACCAGCTGCCTCAACTGTCACCTAGTGGCAGCTGTTCCATCAGGCCACCTGAATTGCTTCTATTCCAGCTAGCCCTTTGGAAGAATTGTAACTTTAAGAGCTAGGGATTGAGCTTCCCTTTCCCCTTCCTGTTCTGTTCCTCTTGTGTGCCATGTCTTTTATTGATCTTTTTATGCTGCTCAAGGCCTTTTTGGCCAAAGAGAGGGGTCAAATTATTTGAATTACTTGATGCCAAGTAAATCACCAGCTCTGTGCAATACCTGGCTCACCTGAACCACTGCAGCAAAAACAAGCAAAGTCCTCAAATAACCAGTGGCCCAGGAGCTTGACTTTCCAGGGGCCTCGGTAACATACTGAAACACTGTGCCTGGTTGAACAGTTAACAAACAACAGGGAGTAGAGAAAGATGCAACCCCCCTCCTGGGTCAATCACTGAGAAGCCACAGTTTAGCAGGTAAGGAACTTGAGATGCTGCAAGCTCTCAAATAAAAATACTATTTCAGGAATTACTGAAGTGGCACCTCCAGGTGCACCTGTGTCTGCAGAGGCTCTTCCTGGCCCCAACAGGGCTCCCTCCCTACAGTTAAGCTTCAAAGCAGCACTCTGTTGTAGCCAGTGGAACAGGTTGTAATATGTGCTCGATTGTGGTGGTGTGTGTATGTGTGGCGCCCGCAACAGTTTCTCCAGTTTGCAAATGTGCCCCAAAAGGTTGGTGAGCAGTGTTTCTCAAGCTTGGGTCTCCAGCTGTTTTTGGACTACAACTCCCATCCTCAGCTAGCAGGACCAGTGGCCAGGGATGATGAGAATTGTAGTCCCAAACAGCTGGAGACCCAAGAATGAGAAACACTGATTTGGAGCATGCAGTAGTCCTACAGTTCATGGGGCACACAAATACACAAAAAAGTCAAATTCCTCTCTTGAATTTATTGTTACCAACCCCTTTGGGATTAGAGGCCATGTTTATCTGCATTGCAGCAATAGTGAACTGAGGCTGAAAGAAGTTTGCTTAACCATCTGGGGAATCTACAACCAGGCCTCAATAACAATCCTAAGAGATCTGCATGGTATGTTGCCTGGCACTGATGGTGTGTTGGCTGCACTGCTGACATGGAAACCAAAAGCAGCAGGTAACCATTAAGCATGAGCAGCAATTCCAGGGCAGGGGTTTCATGGTCCCTGCGGCCTTTGAAAGATAATTCAGCAATGTAAATGGCAAAGGCTCATGTGAGCAAGTTGATTATTTATCTGATTACGGCAGAGGTACATCTGTGCCATACATTCACAGCATTCTTACAGCACTTCAAACAGTTGCAGCTTCCCCCAAAGAATTATGGGAGTTGTAGTTTGTTATGGGCACTGAGAGCTGTTAGGAGACGTCTCTATTCCCTTCTTAGAGCTACAATTTCCAGAGTGGTTTAACAAACAACCTCTCTACTCAGGGTACTGTAGCTCTGGGAGGGGACTAGGAGTATTCTAACAAATCTCAGCACCCTTAACAAACTACAGTTCCCGTGATTTTTGAGGCGAAGCCGCAACTGTTTAAACTGCTGTAATAGTACTTAAATGTATAGTGGCCCAAGTGAAAAATAAGCTGGAATTCCCCCAAGAGGAGATCTGCTGACATGCCAAGAGTGTTGGAAGGAGATGAGGTTTTCCTGCCTGGCACCATCAGGGAGGTACCCACTCCCTACCACGTGAAACTTGCATGAGCAAATACTCACAGCCTGGCACAAGGCATCTCCCTGAAGTGTCAGGACTCCCTTCACCTGGTCAGTGCTGAAATAAAAGGCAGTGTTGTTAACATGGATAATAAAATGCATCTAATTCTCACGGGTGTTTGGGGATGTATATACGCAAGCAAACACAAATGGTTCAAAGAGCAGGCCAGAGCTGTTCAGGGATTATAAATTTACAGTTCCAACTTCCTCATTGGAACCATCAGGAATAGACAGCATAAAGAAAGACTTGTGCTATTTTCTGGTTTTCTCTCAGTTGCTGACATACTGCAAACAGCCTCCTTGTATAATTGCGGAAAGTGTGATTGAGCAAAACAAACTCTGTTTGTTATTTAGAAATGAATCGTCTTTGTTTCTGCAAAGGAATGCGACCATAAAATTGGGATTGGTTAAGGATCTGATGACAGGATGCACACTGCTCTCAATAAAGTACCAAGTACGGTGGGTCCTCTGTAGCAGTGCATCATCTTCAAATGTAAGCTGGGAAAAGGATTGGATGGATTGGATGAATTTGGTGGAGGAAGGGGTTCAGCTCCCCACCCCCAAAAAGAGGAGATTCATTGTTTATTAGGATGGGTAGGCAATAAACTTTTACAATGTAATGGCAGGGAAATGTCTCTGTTCTATTTTTAAAAACTTTTATCATGCCAACATACCAAACAGTGGTAGAGACATAGATAACAGACCAGCTCTGCTTTGGCTTAACCCCAATTGACCTGGATGCAGCCTCGTTCTGGGGCATTTTGAGGGATGGAAAATATGGCAGCCACCAATAGTGATAACCATGTTTCCTTCCTCTAAAGTGTCCTAAAATGACACTGCATTCAAGTCATTTTGCAGCTACAAAAAAGATGTTCAGGCTGCTGAGAGCAGAACTGTTCTGTTACAGAGAACAGTGCTAACAAAAAAATGGTTAAAGAAGCTGCCCATCCACCCTCACATTGCTTAAGTAAGAGGCCTCCATGATGGCAGCAAATTTTTACTATGTATTACCCCTCACAATCAGAGAAATGGCCAGTTTGCGGTCTCTGAATAAGGCTTACGAAATCTGGGAGGGGAGCATTTTGGCACAGTCCTACCTCAAAACTCAAAGCTGTTATATCCATACGAAGAGGAAGAGCAGACAACAGCTAGAGGAAATGGGAGTTCTCTTCATCCCGCCCCCTCCCAGCCCGTTTTTGAACATGTGCCTGAGCAGTGGGTTCAGAAATGTCCATCCACCCACGTGGACATTCAGCCCTTTATGGAAACAACAAGGCTGAAGACCAGAGCCAGGGAAGGGACACACATCTTTCTGATTGCTTTGCACCTTTGTAGTGGTCCCCTTTGAAGAATTAAAAACACATCTTCTCCTATATACCCCTGGGACTTTTAATAAAAACAAAGCAAAAAAACTGCCTTTGTTATTTATATGTCTTAAGGTGTTGCAGTTCGGAAGGAGCTTACAATCTAAATAGAGTGGGGAAAATGACCAAGGGCAGGAGGGACAGACAGATGGATCAGTAATGAAGGCAAGAACTGCAACATGTGATTGAAGTTTGGCTACCGTTGGGAATGAAAACCAAGGGAGATAATAAACCTAAGGGTAAGCAGAAAAAGTGATTTTAAATCAGGTGTTCAGAGGGAGACTTGACCCGGCATACACCAGAGGAGGGGTATCTTGGGCCAGGATACAGGATGCAGCTCTCCATGCCCCTCTGTCCAGCGCCCTCGGGATTCTCCCCAGGCCACACCCCTTATTGTTCTGTACCCTCCTTGAGGGATTTTGCCTGGCTGGAATGTGATAATGCCTCCTGCTTGCTTGGATGGAGAGATGTGTATATGGAAACTTCTGCCTGGCTAGAATCTAGCCTACTGTACAAATCTGTGGCTCCACCCACTTTTGCATCTGGCACCGCCCACCATGGCCACAGGGCCCTTGGGCTGAAAAAGGTTCTAAGCGCCTAACATACACACTCAGAGAATACATTCCACACACGGGGGGAAGGCAGCAAAGGAGAATGGATGGAGCTATTGAAGGGCAAGGATGAGAGGGATCATATCAGCTCCAACGTGTGCTTCTAATTTAAACTTAATTACACTGACAGAAGCTGAATAGTTTTCTAATCTTGACTCACAGAGGCTTCCTGAGATGCTGCCTGAGAAACAACTTTTGTCTGAGCAGCATGGTGTGGTGGGAAGTGGCAATTTAAGCTCCCAGACTTGGCTTCCCCCGCACTGGCTGGCCTTAGCCAAGTCCACTTTGCTTCCCCTCCCCTCTATAGCTGCTACAAGGAGACAACAGTTGCAAATCATGTTGCCCATGAAGATCTCCATACGTACTTTGAACTACCCAGAATAAAGTTCTCCTGCTTGATGGGTCCCTCTGAACCGCTCACAGGCAAAGTAAAGCGATGAGAAGCCTCCTGAGCAAGAAAGAAGCAGAGAAGAATGAGTGCCGCAGACACCAGCTGCCTCCCAAAGTTTCATCTTCTTCTTCTTAGGTTAGAAAAGTGGCAAGACCGCTCTGGTTCACACAAAAATAAAACCAATGGTATAACCTACTTCCTGCTTCCACACTTCTCTATTATTTTTAAATACTTTGAACAGATGCACCAGAGTTTCCTGTTTCTGGGAAATTTATTTATCTACACACACACTTCTTGGCTCAGTTAAAAACCCCCACGAGTAATCTTCATTCACCCACCTGAACATACACAGCATAGCCGCCAAAATCGGAAGTCTTTCAATCTATCTCTGAAGTTGTAATTCTGATATCTGGACTGGGCGTGGGGTGAGAAGAGGACAAATCTGCAGTACACAATTTGGGTCCTTTTTTCATCTCTGCTACAAAGCTGGTCTGGCATTTGGCTCTTTGCTGGTGAAATTAGTGATTGGCCCTGCTGGTCGCCATACTTGCATACTGTATTCTGGTATCATCATAAGTAGAGACCAGCATTTGGCAACCTAGTACCCTCCAAATATTTTGGACTACAACTCCCATCAGGTCCAGCCAGCACGATGCTAGCTGGGGCAGACAGGAGCTGTGCTCCAAAGCTTATGGAGAGCACCAATTTTTGCCAAAGGCTAATATACAACCAAAACCCAGAACCCATAGCAAGTTTGAAATTGTTTTGTAGTAGAACGAGAGGCCTGAAAGGTTGCTAGTATGCCCAGTAACTGTTTCAGACAAAGAAACACACAGTCGGAAGAAATATCATTTTTGGGTAAATACCTTCAGAATATCTTGCAGCTGCCGTAGGACAGCATGAACCTCCTCTCGTAAAAGCCACTTGAACTCCTCTTCCTGCAGGGAACGAAAATACATATTAAAACCCCCTGCATTAATACTCCACATTTCTATAATATGATTCACTGAGAACTTTTGAAAGATATTTAGCACTCCAGTGCTACTCTCCTCTTTGTTCCTCCACTCATAAAATCATAGACTTGTAGAGTTGGAAGGGACCTTAGGAATCATCTAGTCCAACCCCTGCAATGAAGGAATATGCATTTATGGCACGCGCGGATCAAACCTGCAATTTTGGCGTTATCTGCACCACCCTCTAACCAACTGAGCTATCCACTCACATCATCACACATAAATGAGTAAGTTCTGCTGAAACTATCCAAAGACATTTAGAATGCTTGTGATCATGCACTTTTAAAAATGAAGATCTTACCCAGGCAGCAAGCTATGCAAGTTAACCAGAACATTTTAATTTAACATTCTTGCAAGTTTCACATGATTTTATTTTGCCTAGAAACTACAGGGTTTTCATTCATATTCAAATCAACACAGAAGTAAAGAGTACACAGGCAATGGCAAAATTGCTTCCTCCTCTTCATTTCCCAAGCACAGAGGGGGATTTCACAAGCTCTTATTGAGTCAGCAAGGCATGGGGTGTCTCCTTACTTTCGATGGATCAGGTTCTGCTCTGAGAGGGCAATGCCTCTGCTGTGCTGCTCTCCCTGCTGAGAAAAAGCCACTCTTTGTTAGTCCTACTCAAATTAGAACTGATGGACAAGACTAAAACATGTCCATTAATCTCAATGGCTCTACCCTTTTTGTTGTTGTTGTTTTTAATGTTTTGTGACCAAAGTGCCACAATTCATAGCTTAGATTTTCTACTGCACAAATTGGGCCATACTGATAGAAATATTTGGAAATCCAACATTTACCTAAATCAGTGGTGTCCAAACTTTTTTCAGAGGGCCAGATTTGATGAAGTGAAGGGTTGTGAGGGCCAACCAAAGTTGTTAACCTTTTTTGAGGATTGAAGCTGTTGAGGGTTTTTAAGGATTTTACCCTAGGATATAAACTACCACAGGGGCCGGATTAAAGCGAGCAGCGGGCCGAAACGGACTTTGGACATGCCTGATCTAAATAAATCACCCCTGAGCCTTATAGTTGCAGAGACATGTACATATGGAGCTTCCAGTAAGGCTCAACTTTGAACTGAGCATGCCTCCAATCCCTTCCCCACAACTCAAGGTCTTACCACCACTCCTCAATTTATTGACCTGGCTCCGACATTGACAAAATAAACTGTGGAAACTCCGCTCCCAACATCTTTCCCTATCATGCAATGACATCTCAGTGTCTGTTCCCAAATAATTCTGGAAAGGTTTGGTTCAAAGAAGAAACCAACTATTCACAATGCTGACAACAATCCACTTGTTTACACAGGAGTGAATCCAAAAGCACCACATGGCTTCAGATAAACAGAAGCACTGCTGGATCCAGAAGGGGCGGTGGAGCCACAGTAAGGCTCCCTCCCCAAGGGCACCTTGAACATTCTTCTCCAGCTGTTATGAACACAAACAAATTCTTTCAGAGTCTCTTGAACCTTGACAGCACTTACACAGCTTTAATAATTAACTTGCATCTATTTCTAAGAGGCTGTCTTCATTTACTTTTAAGGATAAAGGCACAGGGTAGGAGCCAAATCTTACCTCCCACCACCCAACCATGTTCTCTGGGGAACCTCTTAGGTCCAAGCTGTCAGGTTACTCTTCATTTACGCATTTCTACTTGAATACAGATGCCTCCAGATCTTCTGCATTTAACAGCTGATCAGCACCATTGAGTGAAACCCCTAAAAGTGCCCATCTGATACTGAGAGTTTGATACTGAGATACTGAGAGTACATTTCCCATGCTGGGCATGCACACAGGTTACTTGATGTAGAGTTCCCCATCTGTACAGCAGTCTGTCATGTTGTACACGTTAAAGCTGTACTCCAAGTGTGGAAATGTACCATGAATCACTCCCACTGGGTAAGGGTGAATCTGGTTAGGATCAAGGAGTTCACAAACAAACAAAAAATGCTGCATGTAAACTGAATAACCTTTTGCCACTAAGACAACTTACTCTAGGATGAAGCATTCCTTATGGTGTTGGAGACATTGTGTTATTCAAATGAACACAGTGATATGAACTGAGAACATGCAGCATAGAACTGTTGCTTGAACTAATGTTTAAACAATGCCCCAAGCAATCTGATTAAGGGCCAGAATAGCCTTACTGGCATCAGCAACACATGGGACCTAAACAAATAAATAAATGCTTTGTTTCAGGTCTCAAGTGATAAATGCTGCCAAATTAGATTTATGTATATTTAAGACTCTGGAGAAACTTATAAAGCAGGGATGGGGAACCCCAGGCCTGTGGGGCCAATCTTTATTTGGCCCTCAGGAGGCCCTCCACCCCACATGCTCCTTGAGTGCTTTCGCCTAACTGAAATGTGTTCCTAAACTGTGATAACGCTTCTTTGCTTGCCTGGATGAAGGGTGGAGGTTTGTGTGTGGAAAAGTGGTTCCCTACTCCTGCAGTAAAGTCTTCTATTGATGATAAAGCAAAAGTAAGTATTCTGGCACCTTAATAGACTAACAAATTACTATGGAATAAACTCTAGGCCCGTACAGTTGAAATCAACAATACTGTTGGTGGATCCTAGCATATAGAACCATATACAGTGGTGCCCCGCAAGACGAATGCCTCGCAAGACGAAAAACTCGCTAGACGAAAGAGTTTTCCGTTTTTTGAGTCGTTCCGCAAGACGAATTTCCCTATGGGCTTGCTTCGCAAGACGAAACGTCTTGCGAGTTCTTGCCCTTTTTCTTAAAGCCGCTAAGCCGCTAATAGCCGCTAAGCCACTAATAGCCGTGCTTCGCAAGACAAAAAAACCGCAAGACGAAGAGACTCGCGGAACGGATTAATTTCGTCTTGCGAGGCACCACTGTATGCTAAGTTTTCAAGTACTTTAGCCAACCGGCGCAGACATGTGTTTGGTGCCAAAAAAGCGATAACAATGGTAACTAATGCAGCAGATGAAAACATTGTAGAGTTTACAGATTCCTGAGAAACCTGAGGCATGTCTCCGACCCTCACAGCTCCAGTTAGGATCAAATCTATCAATCTTAATTTTCATCTGAAGCTGCAAAGCAACACACTGGCTATTCAGTGATACTCCACCCCCAACAATATACCTTCTTTTACAATAATATCCAAATAGCAAAGTGACAGACCTTGCTTCTAATTCAGACCTTTCAGCAACAGCTGTGAATGGCATTTAAGAATTCATGAAGGGAATTGCAGAAAACCACTGCATCATCCATGTGCCTTACAGAACCAACCAATGATGTTTCATTGTGCTAGAACTGAACTGTCAACAATTTGTGGATGCAGGCTTAAAGTGCAGAACTATGAACACAAACAAACAGAGACTGACAAATTTAGAGAGGACCATTCCATCAACTCTCCTGATCAATTCTTGTTAAGTAGATTCTCCACATCCAGAGGCAGTACATATTTGGACACAATTCCAGGAGATCCCAATCATCATGAAATCTTGCTTCTAGGCAGTGGCCTCTGGCTGGCAGTGATTGAGAGAAAATGCTGGACAAGAGGGGTTATTTGCTCAATTCAATAAGGAGAAGTTAATGTTGATGTTATTGCTACCTGCTTGGGGAATGCAAGACAGAGTCTGGGCATATACATGCAGCAGAAGGAAGTGGTAAAGAATCCACAGATGGCAGGATGGACTGTACCTTTTTGGACTGTATGTGTGCAGGGAGTCATTTTATTTATTGGTCCCATGTCTTAAAAAAATCATTGTAACTAGAACACTAGCACAGCAAGGATCAGGCTGGGCAATAAGACTTGGCTCTGATGAAGAAGCCTTTTAAGACATCAAAGAAGCTTTCAAAAAAGCAATGACTTCCACATCTTGCAGTGTAAAATGCTACAGTCATACTATCACCAACTCAAAGGATGAGAGCATCTCTGCTGGTTTTGACAGAAGTCCACCTAGTCTAGCATCATTTCCTTTTTTTTTAAATGATATTTATTAAAGTTTCACAAAAATACAGAAAACAAAGAAAAAAGTATAAATTACAGCAAAAAAGTAAAAAGTAAGAAAAAACATACAAAATAAAACAGTTAAAAACACAATAATGTTCCATAGCCTATCTTCCTTACTCTTATTTCCCCAGACCTCCTCATACCTCCCTTCTTTGTATTCCAATTCAATTTGTTGGTTCAGCAAATCCTTACCATTAATCTTTTACCCAATTGTTAACCTTTTTTTTCCCATGTCTCTTAAAGCATTACAGCTAAAAACCTCTTAGTTTCTATCCAACATCCTTCTAAAGTTCCTTAGTTTTGCAGTATTTCTGTAAGTAGTCCTTAAATTTTTTCCAGTCTTCTTTCACCGACTCTTCTCCCTGGTCTCGGATGTCTAGCATCATTTCCAACATGTGTCAAACAGAGGTCTCTTGCAGCCCTTCCTGGATAGATTAGGAATCTACAGTGGTGCCTCGCAAGACGAAATTAATTCGTTCCGCAAGTCTCTTCGTCTTGCGAGTTTTTCGTCTTGCGATGCACGGTTTCCCATAGGAATGCATTGAAAATCAATTAATGCGTTCCTAGGGAAACCGCCTTCAGACCAGGTCCGGGGACAGTCTGTCCCCGGACCTCTTCTGAAGGCTGGGGGGGGCAAGGGCTTTTCTTCCCACCCCCAGCATTTTAAAAAACCGTGGGACAGCGGAGGACTTCTCCGCTGTCTGGGCGATCTTAAAATGCTGGCGGGCGGCATTTTAAAATCACCCCGGACAGCGGAGAAGTCCTCCGCTGTCCCGGGGCAATTTAAAGCCCCTGGGAAGGCAGGCAGGGGGACAAAGACTTTTGCCCCCGCCAGCCTTCAGAAGAGGTCCTGGACCTCTTCTGAAGGCGGGCGGGGCGAAAGTCTTGCTCCCCCCGCCTTCAAAAGCCCTCCGGGACAGGCAGGCAGGGGGGAGCAAAGACTTTCGCCCCCCGCCCGCCTTCAGAAGGTCTTCCCTCCCCCCCGCCCGGCGGCGGGGCACCGGTGCCCAGCCGGGCGGCGGCGGAGGTCTTCCCTCCCCCGCCCGGCCCGGGCACCGTTCCGAAGCCGGGCGGCGGCGGAGGTGTTCCCTCCCCCGCCCGGCCCGGAGCACCGTTCCGAAGCCGGGCGGCGGGGAGGTCTTCCCTCCCCACCGCCCGGCCGGGCACCGTTCCGAAGCCGGGCGGCAGCGGCAGGTGTTCCCTCCCCCCGCCCGGCCGGGCACCGTTCCCGAAGCCGGGCGGCGGCGGCAGGTGTTCCCTCCCCCGCCCGGCCGGAGCACCGTTCCGAGCCGGGCGGCGGCGGAGGTGTTCCCTCCCCCGCCCGGCCGGGCACCGTTCCGAGCCGGGCGGCGGGGAGGTCTTCCCTCCCCACCGCCCGGCCCGGAGCACCGTTCCGAAGCCGGGCGGCGGCGGCAGGTGTTCCCTCCCCCCGCCCGGCCGGAGCACCGTTCCGAAGCCGGGCGGCGGCGGCAGGTGTTCCCTCCCCCCCGCCCGGCGTCGGGGCACCGTTCCGAAGCCGGGCGGCGGCGGCAGGTGTTCCCGCCCCCCGCCCGGCCGGAGGAGCCTTCCGAAGCCCGGCGGCGGCGGGAGGAGGTGTCCCCGCCCCGCCGCCAGGCTTCGGAGGAGGTCCGAGGACAGTGGGAAGACGCGCTGCGCTTCCCCGCTGTCCCTGAGATTTCCCTATGGGCTGTCGTCTTGCGAAGCAAGCCCATAGGAAATTCGTTTGCGAAGCGCCTCCAAAACGGAAAACCCTTTCGTCTAGCGGGTTTTCCGTCTTGCGAGGCGTTCGTCTTGCGGGGTACCACTGTATATTGGGACCTTTTGCATGCAAAGCATATGCTGTGCTACTGAGCTACAACCCCTCCCTGCTCCATGCTTTTGCTCTGCCTAACCTACTTCAGAAGACCAAAGAAGCCTGTGGCAGACTAAAGCCTAAAAAAGTATTATGACATTAGCTTGTGTGGACTACAATCTACCCCTCCGGTGTAACAGGCACACTTGCACACACACAATGTTTTGAGGAATCAGAGGGCAAGGAAATGCAAAAAAAAACAAGTGCTAGAGACTCAACATCCTCTGGAAATCACAACCTCACAAGTATGCTGTAAGATAAAGTGGGGTCCCTTGTGGGAAGGAACTTTGCCCACCACCCTGAACTCCTTGAAGAAATTGTTAAGTGGGGTGCAAATCTTATCTAACATGAGTGGTTTTCAAATCATGTCCTGGAGTTCGTTGGAAGTATATTGGGTGATTTTACTCCTCAAAGAGGAGATCAGTAAGAGTGAACAAATTGCCCCTGAAGACAGAATGCATCAATTCACAAACTCTTGGGCTGGACTCCTTTAAATGCAGTTTAAATGTGCAGCTGAAACTCTCAGCCCAGTTTCCCCCCGGCCATTCATAGAAAGCAGGGGAAATAACATCAACAGAGCCTGGCTGCTGGATCAGGCCAATGGCCCATCTGGTCCACCATCCTGCTACCTCAGTGGCCAACCAGATGCATCTATAGGGAAACCCACAAGCAGGACCTGAGTATAGGGAAATCCACAAGCAGCACTCTCTCGGTGCTGGCAACATATTTCAGGATGGTGATGATGACGCCGATGATAAATATCATTATGAAATAAGGTAATTATAATTTCATGGGAGGAGGCGGCGCCGGCTCTGCGATGCTGTGGAGTGACGTCACGCACCGCCGATGCCGGCGCGGATGACGTCACGCACGGCCCCGCTCCACACCAAAGGGGTTGAGCCAGGCAGAGCCGCTGTCGGTCCCTCAGGGCTGAACAGAGGCGCCTCGGCTTCTCCCGGCCAAGTGGGAAGGAGACGCCGCCGCCGCCGCCTCCGAACCCAGCTGCAGCTGCAACAGCAACGCGGCCGGCCGCCCCAGCCGCTCTCTCACCAGTACAGCCCTCTCGGCCGCGCTCGCCAGCGCCGCCATCCTCATAGCCGCGCCGCCTCTCGTCCGCCGCTCGCCAGACCCAGATCGATAACCGCCTCACGGAGATGCTCCACGGACCCGACCGCTTGACTTGAGGCGATGCGTGAAGCGCGGGCTCTTCCCTCCCCTGCGCTCCTTATTGGGCAGGAGCTTCAAGAGAAGCCGTTCTTATTGGCCAGTTCTGAAAGGCCTTGCCTAGACGCCTCCGCGAGGCTCCGCCCACTTCTCGGCTTTTAAATAACCCTAGAGATGGGAGGAGTTTACAACCACTTCCGGTCTGAACGTTTTCTCTCTCTCGGTGCCTTTATGTTTATCAATGCCAAATGGGTTTTACCATAGAGGTTGGTGCCAAGGGCTAGAGCGGCATCAATTTGCATTTTATTTTTTTTGAGTGTGCCTACATCTATTTATTAATTGCATATTTTAGACACAAGTGGGCATACCCTGGTGCAGAATGCGGCGTAAACTCTTACCGCAGCATACACGCACGCCTCCTTAGACTATCTCTTACAGTTCATGCTTTCTCCTTTTTACCCGAGGATCATATTACATAAAACAGCTTTCCTATGTACATCCCCGGTGACAACTCTGACCTGCAATTTGCATTCCTTCCGAGTAATACCCCTTCCCACCCTCTCACGATATATAAGGGTCTGGTGACCCTTCAGTGTATCTGAAGAAGTGTGCATGCACACGAAAGCTCATACCAATGACAAACTTAGTCTCCAAGGTGCTACTGGAAGGAATTTTTAAATTTTGTTTCTACTGGGGTCCTTCAGTTTTCACCGGAATTTCAGGGCGATAGTGTTATAAAGACTATATAGTGTGTTTTATCTCTACGTTTTAAAAACTGAAGCCTAGCAACCTGGAAGTCAGGCGACACTCATGTATTTCTGCTTTCCTACCTTTTCCAGCTTCTGAGGGTTGTGGCGTCATAGAGCCTAGTGACGTAATAAAGCAGGCTAGTCCGCCCAAGCGTTTTGGGGGGGACGTAGAGCGAGAATTGTGAAAACAACCAACGGCAGATAATGCGAAATCCACCAATTTTAATGTGTATACTATTTTAAACTGTATCTAAGGGATATAAAGATAAGAGTACTGTACAATTCTCTTTGTTTCCAAAGTGCAGTGTTATGTGCTGGTCAAAACGACATTACTGTATTCACAACCAAGGAGACAGGAAAAACCCTGCTGATGACTGAGCATGCTCAGTGGCCACGGATTAGTAATTGACTGTGCTTGAAAATAGCCACAGAAAGGGGAGGGGCATGGAATGGAAAATCCTGAAAAAGACATAGCTGTATAAAACTCGAGCAGGCACATTCCATTCCGCAACACACCAAATATAATTCAGATTAATATTGTAAACTAACAGGAGTTATCACATCCAGATTATAAACCATATAGCACTTCTTTGATTGGCATTATGTTCCCAGTGAAATAGTTACCATAAATTCTTCAGCTTGCGCTTTCCTTCTGTTTATATCCCACCTTTCTTTCCCAAGGTTGGAATAGTGACTGGGCCAATGTTACCCGAATTAGTTTTATGGTTGAGAAGGTACCTGCATCAAAGATCTCCATATAACCACAACGGCAAGCAACTTTCATTCCCAATGCTATTTGAAATAGAAAGTTATGTTTACTGACATGATTTATCATACTGTGAAGTTATTTTTCTATAGTGTATAGCAGAAATTCGCTTCCAAAGACTTCCCCTTTGAAGCAGTTTAGTTTTTCAGAGAAATGGATACTCTCATTCTTGTAGTATTAAACAAGTTGATGTTTAATACTTAAGATAAACAAGTTGTATGCCTAAACAGAACCCCCATATTTAAATATTTACACAAAACAAAACTTTGTGCTAAAGCTGGCCTCTTCCAGTTCAAAACCTATCCAACCTGTTTGGGTAGCAATGTCTTAAAGGAGGGGGAACAGGAAATTCTTGCTTCCTACTTTGCTGCAGGACACAAAAATCATTGTGTAGCCAAACAGACATATGCATTAACAATCCCAAAAGCCAAAGGCAGGCAATTCTTCTCATTAGGATCAACTAGCCAAGTCATTTTATTATGGTCAATAACCAGTATCAAGACAAAGATACCAATTACAAAATTATAAAACTCTAGACAAAATAAGATGTAAAATCACATATAAACAAGCAGTTCTAGGTGGTCGTTTATATCAGAAAGGAATCCTTCTGATCTAGGGATATCCATCGTAGAACCCACTAAAACACCAGAATTTCATGTCCTCCTGAACTCTTTTGGCTTAAGAACTCCCCAAGGTAGCAAGCAGCCTGCAGCTAGAAACAGAAGGGGAAGGGCCATAGCTCAGAGTATATTATCAACTTTGCATGCAGCAGGCCTCAGGTTCAATCTCCAGGTAGGGCTGGGAGGGAATCTCACTTGAAACGCCAGAGAGCCACCACTAGTCAGTGCAGACAGTATTGTGGTAAGATGCTCTGGTGATCTCACTCCATATAAGGCAGCTTCCTTTGAAAAAGAGCACCTGCCGTGTCTAGAGCAAAGCTGTTGTCTGTCACTGTTGAATGACACTGCTAGATTGCTCTTTTAAGTCCTTCAAGCCTAGTTCTGTATACTCTGACTGGCAGAGGCTCTCTAGAGTGTCTCTCCCCAGCACTACCTGGAGATTTCAGGGATTGAACCTGGGACTTTCGCCATGCAAAGCTGATACTCTTAACATTATTCAGAAAACACAGCAGTTCTAGAGCTGACAGAGGAAAAAAGAGTAGGAAAATGGAAACAACTTTAACTGGGTTGTCTTGCAACAGACAGGAAGAAAAACTGCCTGTCATCATGGGATCTGAGTGTATAAAAGTGTGATGTGTATCTTCAGTTTTAATACAGGAAAAACATAACATTGTGCTCTATGAATCAAAAGTAAGGGGAATGTTAGGCTTAACATATTTCTTTTGATTTAATGGCTGGTGAAGGAGAGAAAAGAGAATATTGGTGGGGAGAGCTTAGAAACAGACAAGTAACATTGTGTTACCAAGAAAGGTTTTATTTCCTTTTGCCAGTAGCTTTGTTAATTGCACAAGAAAAAAAATCATTTCTTCTGTTTTTGCCATTTAATCATCACCACACATCCTATTCTGAATGACAAACGTTAATTAAAAACAAGGCAAAAAATTAAAAAAAAATTCACAACCTTAATTAACTATAGATCGGTCATTGAAGGAGAGGGAATTAAAAGAAAACTGCTTTTTCTTACAAGCTTTCCACAAGTGTCACATTTTTTTTTCTCTTTAAAAAGGAAGGATCCAAAATAAAAAGCAATTGCTAAAACAGAAATCCCCATTAAAAAGTAACTTTACAGTATTGTCAACAATATTAAGACAACAATGACCAAGCCAGTTCAATCACACAGTCTTGTAATCCAAGCTTCCCCTCCTGCAACATCAACAGCTGGAATCTGAAGGGACCCACAAAAAATGGATTTTGGAGAAATTGGCTCCTGAAGGTGAGAAACTGAATAGAATGTATAGCGAGTCTTGCGGCCCCTTAAAAAAACCACCACAAATATATTGTGGCATAAAACCTGTGGGCCATAGCACACTTCTGACCCGTGAAAGTTTATGCCACAATAAAAGCTTTAAGGCACCACAACTCGCTCCCATTTTGCTGCAAGAAATGAAGGCGGCTATTCTTCTGAAGTGGCATTTGAGACTGCAGAGTGCTCGGCCCACCCTTGGCTTCTATCTGAGAGTGTTCTCGGCTGTTCTTGGTTTATCAGTAACTGTAGAGTCCTGCAGGAAGAACCACACCCGCTAGCAGATCTTTATTCTCCTTGCCAAAGAAGCCACAAGATAGGCCTTCAATACAAGGGGTTACAGTTCTCTGTTACTCCTACACCCAGCCTAGTTTGGATTTTTCGCTCCAAGGCAAAATAAAGTGTACTGAAGTCTGCTGTTTCTGTTTACACCTTTTAAAGTTTTCTGAAGACAGCCTTTATCACAAGATTAAGAAATCCCCCCCACACACCCTGGACCTCTTTGGGATAGTACCTTAAGATCCTTGCAACTACTTCTATCATTTATAAATCACGCTATGTGAAGACTGCAAAGTATGTCCTCCAAAATTAAACTGCTCTTTCTGCAAGATCCTAAGCTGTCCTAGCAGGATCCAACAGGGAATCCATAAACTCACAACTGTTGTGTGCTCATTTCCACCGCTCATCAAGATAAAATTTCAGCACAGGGCAGAGTAGCAGTCTCTGATGGCTATCTATGGCCAGAGATCACACAAGCAGGAATGGAAGACCCTAGGGAGAGAAGGCTTCCTCAACCTGGTACTCTCCAGAAGATTTTGACTAATTCCCATCATGATGGCTGGAGCTGATGGGAGCTGTAGTGCAAAACACCAGGAAGGCATCAGTTTGAGGAAGGCTGCTCCAGAGGAACACTTAACTGGTTCTGTTTCCTTTCCCAGGCCGACTGCTAAAATACCACAGAAGTAACAAGCAACTAGAGGAGTGTGGCTTTTGTTTTTGTACTGGATCTACAAATGTGAAGGTCCTGATCAAGGTAACGTCCTGGTCCATGTGGTATATGCACTACAAAATGTAAGTACGGATTACTGTGCAGACTGGGTCTGTGCATATTAGGACTCTACAGCTGCAGGACACCCATGGAAAATGAAATCTGATGTGTGAACAGCAAGGGGTGTCCATCCTGCTGCTTTCCAAGTGTGAACACGGGATTCTCTTCCAAGACTAACACGGAGTTGATGTACTTAAGACATGGGGGCATTTTCTCTGCTATTTGTACGGCACCCACTTTGTATATCCTTGTATTCAGTTTTGAAAGTTCAGGAGCTGCCAGAGAGAACTAAGGACTGTTCATTTGACACCAGCCATTTTTCACATGGAAGCATGTGGTCAAGTTCTGTTGGGCTCAAAAGCTCACCCTCCCTCAACGGCAGCTCTGGTTGATTCAAATAGATTTATTTGAATTCTCTGGGACCCTACTTGACTTCCAGTGAGACCCAGCATGGTAAATGGCCTCAACAACAGGAGCCATTCCCCACTTTCCTTTACTAGGTTATTTCCAAAGCACGGGTACTTGGCCAATCTGCTGGAGCACTCACAACTTCACCAACAGATGACAGCATATCAATTCAAAGCTTGTCGTCACTGCCATTCATGCAAGCAGAGTTTATTAGGCTGTATTAAAGTTCTTGCCAACAAATAGGCATATTTCCCCCACTTTTACAGAAAGGGAAACATGGAAGTCAAGATTCTGCGTTTAGATTTTGGGTCTTCCTGAAGCCACTTTCTCTTACCTTGCCCTATGGCTCTCTGGCAATATGAGAAGAATCCTAATAATCTTTGCCAACACTAACAGCCACAGAAGATCGGGTGCGTGCACACTGTGCATGCTCTCAGGACATAAAACCAAAGGAAGACCCCAAAGTTTCTACCTTCGCTCTTTAAAACACATCCCAGTTCATTTTCTGAATTATAAAAAGCAATAGGGTTTTACAGCAATATTCAAGACTGGATTAACCTTTTGGGAACTGGAGTCTTTTTAAAATCAACAATGGGGAATCTGTGCCCTCCAGATGCTGGGGGACAAAAATCCCTTTGTTCCAAGACTGCCTTGGATTTGGAGTTCAACAATGCTTGGAAAGCCAAAGGCTGTTCTAAATGCATTTGGCATATCCAAGTGCCACAGGCATATGCTAGATCCTGTGTACACTAAAAACTAAGCTGTCTGAATGGGAAGGGCCATGGATGGAGCCTGTTTTGGTTCTTGTAACTAATTCCACTGAGATACTGAGGTGGGGATTATCCGAAACTACAATGCTAATTTTAGCCCTGTCGCCTTCTTGATTGTGACTGCTTTCCTCCTAGGAAAAAAAAGAGGAGCCAGGTTCCCAGGGTCTAGACCAGGTGTGGGAAATCTCTGGCACTCCAGATGTTGCTGAACGACAACTCCCATCACGACTGGGCCACTGATCTTGCTTGTGGAAGCTGTAGTGCATCAGCATCTAGAGGGCCTGAGATTGAGCCACCCAGGTTCACAGGCAGGTGAGACAGCCTTCTTTCAATTGTCCCTAGTGCATAAGAGAGGACAATGAACACATTACCCACAGCAAATAAGTGAAACAGCAGTTAAAAACAAACAAACAACCTCTTGAGGACACTGGTACAAAAGTGAACACCAGAAGAAGTCAAGCAGCAGACTTCCTGGCAAGAGTCACCTCAGGGTTTGAGATGACCTGCAGCCAATTCCATTCTGTGACTCCGAGAATGTGGTATAATTTGTTGTCAAGAAGGCAATGATCCAAGCCCTTTCCCTCCTACTCTTGCTGCTGCTGGCACAGGAAGGCTTGCTGTAGAATCTGCCCTTGTGGCAGATCCCAGGAGAGTTTTTGTATTTTAAAAAAGGAAAAACAATTGAAGAGAGGTGGGGGGAAGAAAAAGAGAGAGAGACAGAGAGACAGAGATGGACTGGTCCAGAGTTAAAACCCAGTATTCATCATCATCATCATAATTAATAATCATGGTATTAACAAGAATGGGGTAGCCTAGTGGATGTAGGCCCTGTACACAGCAGACATGTCATTGTCAGATTGGTCCAATGCTTTTGCTCGTTTGTAGACCTGAAGAAAGAGAAAGGCAATAAGAGAGCAGTCCTTTCAGAAAGCAAGTATTCTCATAATACTATTGGTTTCCCACTAGAATACAGAACTGCCTCAGCAATATCTATAAACACTTCCCTTCAAGGAATGCTATGTGAGTTGGGGAATTGGGGTCACAGCCAGCACCTATGTGTAGCTCACTATGAGGAAAAGCCTGCTGGCCATAATTAGCCCCAACAAAGCTTCCCCCCACAGGAAAGACGATACTGTGTCATGTAAAAGAGCAAAAATATCCCATTAAAATATAAACTTTCAACAGCCATAAGCAGTATTAAATCACCAAACTCTAAACCAGGATGGGCAACCTGTGGCCTTCCAGATGTTGTTAGACTTCAGGCCTGCCAAGCATGGCCAGGGATGATGGGAGTTGAACAACAAATGTTCTACAGGTTTAATTTTAACCATGAGAAGCCAAGGCAAACAAAAATGTTTTACAATGCTTTGAAAAAATGGCTGAACCCCAGAGGACTTGGCAAATCAAGGGAAGAGTGTCATAATCAAGGGGCACCATCAAGATCACCTCCGTATAAGTGCCTGCTGTCTTTTAAAAAAAGGTGTGTGTATGGAATTATCAAGAAGATCAGGGTTTAAGAAGTCTGCTTGACATGGCAAGCGTGCAGATGTGAAGGCCCATTAAAAATAGGTGAAAAAAATGGTCGTTTCCCATTCACCTCTTTTTCCCAGCCATCACTTATCTAAGCAAGTGTGATGCATCCCTCTGGCGAGGATGGTGGGTGGTCCAGCCTATTTCCAAATTTTGAAGCTAAGGAGGGTGGGAGTCCTTTGCCAGTGAGCCATACCTCCAAAGTTGGAAGACTGGGGGCTGCGTGGCCAAGGCACCCAAAGAGGCTTGGCCATGCAGGGCCAAAGTGGTAACTCCCCTGACCTTTACAAAAGGGGTATCAGGAGATCTCCTAAAGATGGAACTGGAGAAAGAGAGGAGGCCTGGGCAGCACACATACCTCATTGGCTGCAGCTGCCATGGGAGTTGGGTGGTTAACAGAATCGCCTAGTGCAATGGCTAATCTGAGATCCTTCTGGATGTATTTCAGGTAGAAATCTGGTTTAAAATTTCCTTGCAGGATGTCTGGAAAAAAAGAAAAGAAACAAAACCCCAAGTACATTTCACATTCCACTTTCCCAGCTGCTGACTTGCTTTCTCTCTTCCCTTGCAGATTTCACTAGTGCCAGAATCAAACTGATCCTGCTTAAAGACGTCAAGTAGAGTGAGATTGCTACTCTAAAAGTGACCTTCAAGGCAGATATCTTTCCTAACCCTCCTTTTGGTGACAAAACCTAGGACACTGCTAAACTGTGACCCTCCCCCAAACATGGACTTCCTGTATCACCCCATATTTTTAAAAGCCTGGCTGTGAAGACAGATGAAGTAGCAACAAGCATGCAATGTTCAGTAGATAAAATCTTTGGCTTGGATGTGGGAGTGTGAATTTGCAGCAAATCCATCCTACACTACACTAATGGAACAGTGAATCCAGAAGCAATGCTTATCTCCTCTCCCCCACTCTTTGAACCCCACTATGCAAGTGTTTGGTGACACTTAAAAAGAGATACTAGCTTTCTGGTGAAGAAGGAAAGATGGGAGAGAACTTTACTTTGGCACTTCTGGTCCAAGAAGATGCTGGCGAGCTGTCCCTGGTTGAGGATATCCAGAAGAGTCTGCTGCGACTGACCAGTCACTTGAGCCAGAGTTAGTCCTTCTGCTATTGTGGCCATGAAGCTTCCTTGGACCATGTTCACAATGAGCATCATCTTGGCAGCGTTGCCCACTTCCCCTGTGAGAGAGGCACACACTGTTGGACAGCTCTATATAAGGAAAAAAACAAGAACCTGCACCATGCCCACTGACATCTAAGCCGTTCTGAAAGACACCCAGTGAAAGCAACCATATCTTCTGTTTGGGGTGGGCGGGCTGAATCCCTAATATGAATGCGTGCATGACAGCAACCTGAAAGCGGCCAGAAAAGGGGGCATAACAGGGGTGGGAGCATAGTGGGCTTATGTGTGCGCCGCAGTTGTGCACATGACTCCTTACACAACCCTTCTGCAAATCAGGGGTTGCCTGTATCACTGCTTCAGAGATACTTTGGATTCCAAAACAATTTTTTGACCACACAGTTTTATGTTCTCTTGCCTAAACTTGCTGAGGAGAGACTCACCTTCCTATTCCACCTCTCAGAATGGAGATACTGATAGCAAGGGTGGGCAACATGGTGCCCTCCAGATCAACTCCTGATTACTGGCCATCAGCTGGCCTGGAGCTGCTGGGAATTTTAGTTGAACAACAGTGTGGAGGACCACAGATTGCCCATCCTTACTATACAAATCGAGGCACCCTAAAGCCAACTTAATTCAGTGGGCTTAAACTCTATTCTGCCTATGATCAGCCTACTATAATTCTCTTCAGCTCTGGGATGGAAGGTATTACCTAGAAAAAAAGAGGTTTTCCCCATTGCTTGGAAACAACTACTGCAGTCTTCATATAAGCCCCTGTCACCGGCGGCTAGTATCACCAGCATGCCATCATTAGAGAGTTGTTGGTTCCCTGAAACTGGTGCCTCCAGGAAGCGACCACCCCTGGATACGATCACCTGGAAGAAATGAGAAGAAATGTCCCAATTACATACACATGGGGCACACACATACTGCACCAACCAAGAGGTCAAAGAGGAAAGCTACACCTTGAAAACCATCAGGAAATACAGGAAACCCCAAACACCTATTAATGACAGGAGCACCCATGAACTCCCTCTAGCTATTGGGATAATCTGCTGTGGTGACACTGAAGTTCAAAACACCTCATATATTGGCTAATGTTGAGTATGTCAGCAAGAGACTATTGACAGTGCAGCTACTTTTGAGGGAACTGAAAGGTCACATCAATTTAGGGGCAGCCAACTTGGTGCCCTCCAGTTGTTCGTGGACTCCAACAGTATCTGGAGGGCACCACACTGGCTACCATTTCTTTAGATCGAAGAAAAAGTTCAGAGATCCTAAGGACAGTAGGCAGGTGCATGTGTGTGCAAAAGGGCATACAGTTTGCAAGAAGGAAATGGAGACATGGAACTTTGACATGGAGAGAACGTGGTACAGGGAGGTGAGGCAGACTTTCACAAATCATTTGAATCAAAAATCCGAATCTCTGGTTACAGGTCTCAATTTTTAGTAGGCTTGCAAATTGCCTGGCTCTTTTAAGGCAGAATTTGCATGTAGCAGAAAAAGAGTGAATGAACACCATCCTGAAGGAGAGCTAACCCTATTACATGATTTAAAATAACACCAGGCACTCAGTTTGCAATGCTTACCTGAGCCAGTTCTGTAACAGTGTCTGCATCCACGGTGGACATGTCCACGTAGCACTTTCCTGGACGTATACCCTGGAGCACTCCACTAGGACCAAGCACCAGCTGTGGGAATAGAAGAGCGCCAAAGCAATAGGGTGTCTGCAAAGGAAATCCACCTGTGCCAATGCTAAAGGGCCTCCTGCTAACAATCTCTGCACAAGGGCTTGCTGAAAGTGCCCACATGACTTGAGTGGCCTCAACATTATTTACCTTGAAGGATGCTGCTGCTCACTTTAGACAGAGGATAGTTTTAAGGAAGCTCTAACAAAGGATCAGGAAGATGATGGCATTACTGCCTTGGGCTACATTTTCTCTCTATCTTGGATAAGGGATGTCTGGTTGAAGCTCCATTAGGATGTGTTACTATCTGCAGTTCCAGGCAGAGGGGAGGAACTGGACCACACAGAAATAAGACTAGTTTCTCACAGCCGAGCATGCGCACAAATCTGCAGTGCTATACTGTAGCACCTGTATAAAACAGAAACTCAAAAGGAATCCAAAATTCATGCAGCCCAACTTCTTACTCAAGGATGAAACCTCCCATTCTATTAACTTCACAGCCTTGCAGTTACATATATATAAAACAGCAAGGGTAAGATTTGGTTTATTGTGTTGACATTGTAGGGCTCTGGATGGGTGCTGGTTATGACAGCAGGCCATTTTAAATGATATGGGGAGGGAAAATCCTTTTTTAAAAAGGTAGAAGATGAAGAGTTGCCTAACTCCTGGGCTAGATGGACTTGGTCTGACCTGGCACAATGGTAGCTTCTTAGGTCCTATTAGGAGGAGCAGATCATACATTTTGTGTTACTCTGCTTCATATACACTCAGCCACACAATTATTTTTGTGTATTTTACTTGTATTGTGCATTGGTTGAGTTGTATGGATAACATGAGCTTAGGTAGGACCCTGGAGCAAAATCACTTAATAAATAGAAAAATATACTTAACTGTGCCAGGGGATTCTCTGCTGCTTTTCTGAGATTTTGCTAAGCACAGATAACAGTTTTTCAAGCCTACTCTTACAGCCACGTAAGAGCTACAAAACTTGCAGCACAAGCATTTATTCCACCCTCTATTAGTAGTCTCGGGTTTTAGGAGTGTGCTACTGGGAAAGCACACACCAATTAAACTCCATCTGACCTCAGCCTTTGAGACCGAGGTTCAAGCTCCACCTCTTGGTGGTCTCATCCAAGTCACTCTCAGCCTCTGTTCCTCAGCTGTAAAATGGGAACAATAGCAACCTCTCACAGGGTTGGCTACAGTTATGGAAAAGTCACAATAAAGTTATCTAAAACATTTTAAACTGTGAAGTGATACAATTTGCTTCTGTGGCTGACTGTGGTTATCCTATCCCATAGTGCGCACAGTCCTTTATTTGTTTTATATATTGCCTTTAGACTACAGCCTTCAAAGAGGATCATGAAAATTATAAACATACACTACATCAGCAACCACACAAAATGAAGAAAACAAAAAGCAAAAGTAACCAGCTCTGCCCAAATCTACTGTGAACTATTCCAGTCATTTGACAGCAAAGCTTTTAGAAGGAGATTAAGCATTTGGGCAGAAAATGTCAACACACAGCTGAAAAGACAGGCTGACCTTGTTCTAAATACTAGAGCCATGTTTTGATACTCTGATCAGTTTCCACCCATGATTTAAAACTGGGAGGCACACCTCACTCTTAATTCTCACAATTTCTGTTCCTAGAACAGCAGCCAGGCTTCCTCCTTGAAACTACCACTACCTCCTATTTCCCCCTTCCCAGTCAAGGCAAGACAACAGTGATGCTTCTGGGCTTTTCCTGCATCCTTCAGCAATTGCATAAGGGAATCCTAGCACACACTTATTCCAACTGAATATTCCGATACTATTCAAATATTCAAATTCTAGCATGTCCTTATACAGTGGTGCCTCGCTAGACGAATGCCTCGCTAGATGAAAGAGTTTTCCGTTTTTTGAGTCGTTCCGCAAGACGAATTTCCCTATGGGCTTGCTTCACAAGACGAAATGTCTTGTGAGTTCTTGCAAGTTTGTTTCCTTTTTCTTAAAGCCGCTAAGCCGTTAATAGCCGCTAAGCCGCTAATAGCCGTGCTTCGCAAGACGAAAAATCCACAAGACGAAGAGACTCGCGGAACGGATTAATTTCGTCTTGCGAGGCACCACTGTATATATATGCTAAGTAAACAGTGAGGAGGGTTAATCAATGTTGCACGGGCCCTCACTGCTATAAGGAGCACAGAATGGAGGACGCCTCCAGTCTATTAATTTTTTCAAGGCACACTTCAGCCTCTCTTGCAGTACACTAGCATGCCCTGATGCACAGTTTGGGAATTACTGTACCAGACAAACTTTTGGGCATCCATTATAGGAAGCTTACAATGAGGAGTATGATTTCTGCACTTTCTTGGCTTACAATTAAAGAGCTGCAGAGATTCATGTCTAGAATCAGTGGAGGGATTCATTCATCAGGACTCAGTATATTTTGGAAGAGATTTTGGTCATGGAAAGTCAGCGCTGTGTACAGCACTGAGAGAAAGGTGAGAGCGTGCAAGAAAAAGAGATAATCCTTACATCCTTGGCTGCCTTTGGATCAGATACGCAGGCGAAAGTGATGTCACAGGTGGAGACCACTTCAGCGGGGGTTCTTCCCAACCTTGCCCCCTCCTGGATGAACAAATCACACTGCAAAAGTCACAGACCCAAATGTAAGAAATGGAAACCACTGAATAATAAAGGTCAAAGCTGGCTTCGCTCTACCAGGGACCCTGATGTGCCCATGGTGAACTGAAGAGGATTGCATCCTGGACCACATTCACATGAACAAAATGAAACAGGGCTAGGCTATTTAGAATAACCTTGTTTTCTGGGGTGTGGAGATCACGTTCAGTGATGTCAGGTTCTCTTCTCTGCTTTCTAGAGTGGTTAGCTATTCCCTTACTTTAGGCAGTGCATTTCAAGGAGTACTCCAAAGACCCCAGGAGTTCCATAGCGACTTATCAGGCCCTCAGCTCAAGAGGCCAATGATAGCAGGCTACCTTCTAACAGCCAAACAGGTAGCAACAGCTGGAGCCCAGTTCCAAAACACAGCCCATATGGGCTGGTGGGGAATAGAAAACCTCACCTGTCCTGAATGACAGAAGACAACCTGCTACTTTCTACTGGTGGCAGTAGGTGGGGATGGGTCCTGGCACTAGCTTTCATCATCTCTGTGTGGGCACTGAACATTTGGGCCATTCCCCTGCTGTCACAGGCTGCTAGATGGTAGCTCTGAAACCAAGTCTCTTGATTGCTTTCACCCCAGAATAAGGGGGGGGGAACCATTGTGTGTTTGAGCACTGCTTTTGAGAATTAGACATGCACACTATCTCTCACTCCACTGTGCTCAAGCAATCTATAGACTAGCCATTCCAGCTGGCTGTAGCAGAGGGACAGAGGGGCTTCAGGGTCCACTCCATTGACTCTGCTGAGACAGGCTGCCACTGGCCTCCTCTCATTCAAATCTTCCCATTCAAAAGCTATTTATGTGTTCACTACGAACTGATGCCTGAGTCGGCTTCTCTTCCCTCTTGTGTTGTATCTGTTAGGTTGCAAGCCTGAAGGGACTGGCTTGTATGATACTGATCTCATATACAAGCTATTCCAGGAGCCTTTTTGGCTGAAGGGCAGGGTAAACCAATGCTTCAAATAAATAAATCCATCTCCAAAAACTTGATACAAGAATGATGTGGGCACAGCTGTTCCAGAGATCAGAAGGCAGAGCTTCTGCTACTAGCCACAAAAATAGCACAAAATGAGAGGAAAGAACATGAAGCAGAGGGAGGGAAAATGTTACCATGGCTACTACGTTCTGGTGTGATAATTTAAGCTGACCTTGTCACAGCAGTGGTGGAGCTCAGAAATGCATGTCTCAGACGTGACTGACAGAAAGGCATACTTTTTGTCTAAATGGCTTCTCCTCATTACTATACTTCCAAGCTCAGTGAAACCCCACTGTTCACATTTGGGAGGATGGCTTAAGGTCAGCCAAGCTGAAAGTTGCCAAAGCTTCATAATGAAGTTTCTCTGCAGATGCATAAGCTTAGACTAGGTGACTAAGATCATGTATGATATCGCCTCATACTTCCCAAAGAATGAACTCACCTTTTCAGCAGTCCGGTTCCAGACCGTGACAGTGTGACCCATTTTTAGTAAGTTGGACACGATGCCACTCCCCATCAGGCCAAGGCCAAGGAACCCTATCCTGGGGAGGAGAGAAGGAAGTTTGTAGCGTTGGAAATTTGCATAAGGGCTTAATGTGAGGTTGGAGATATAGAAGCAGAGGCTCTTCGAGGCCTTGTGGGGTTCAAGCTTCATGGAAACAGACATACAGAGGCAGGCAGCAAAGTGCGTAATTCATAGTAACAGAGGATTTATTGAGTGAGCACCAATGTTCTCAGGAGCAGGAACACCAAAAGGATCACATTTATATCCCTAGCAAAGAGCCAATGGCTGACAGACATCAAAAATCTGCTCTATACAGCATGCCTAAACAAGCAGTCCAGACTTAAGAGACATTACTTTCTGCTCAGGCAGATAAGAGAACCTCATCCTAGGAGGACCAAGAACTGGGTGCACAAAGTCATACTCATTGATAGCACAAAACGGACTAGGACGGTGCAGTGAAAAATGTCTTGGGTCTGCATGTGCAAGGTCTAAATTTGAGTACAGTTCAGCAATGACTGGGCAACTCCCTCTCTTAGCTAGTTTGCCTCAGAAGGCTCAACACAGCATTTGGTATCCTGGTGCACAACTCACAGATCAAAAGTCACTTATGTTTTTGTAAATCTTTCTGCCATGCCACTTAAATAGAATTAAGTGCTTGTTTAAGCTACAGTTCACATGTTAGCAGCCACTCTGGTTTCATGCTTAGGAAAAGCCACTGCTAATATACAACATTCCTTATCCAAATTAGTAAGGAGGGGAGGGGGGTATTGGAAGAATTTTGGTTGAGAGGGCCCTGCATGCACTTTAAGTAAACTATAAAGAGGCAGTGGCAAGAACAAGGGATACCAGAATGGAACAAAGACAAATTACCCTTGGAAACTTACAAAGAGTACAAGTGACTGTTTCCCTCCTCAATTAACAAAGGCGTTTCAAAACTGATCTTAATAAAGCTAACACATTTTAGCTTCCTGTATGTCTGCTGTTCCGTTCACAGCTGGCAGCACTTGCAATGCTTAACTAAACCACCATGAGACACTTGCGGCAAGCCACTGCTAAGACATTTTCACACTAACAGAGCCCAACCCAGAGGGACACATTGTCTGCTTCCGAATTGCTAAGGGGAAAGGGTTTACCTGAATACTTTCATTGTTATATATTAAGTTTCCCTTCAGCAAGCCTGAAAAACGGACATTCCGAGACAGCTCCAGCGACAAACAGGCCACAGCCTGTTCTGCATCGGAGCAGGAGGGAAATTGCTTCCGAGAGCGAGGCAGGAAGTGCAACCGTAGCTCCTGTCACTCTAGAAAGGAGAGGGGGGGAAGCACAGGAAGTGCCAGAGGACACAAGTGTCACAGAGTGCTGTTCTTGGAAGGTACAATGCTTCCGCCTCTACCCATGTGTCTGGTGGTTTGGGGTTGGTGGTTAAACAGATTAGGCCACCTGACCTGCCTTGCAGGACAATGCTTTCACCCACATATAGACTAGGCAACTCCCAGCACATTCATGCAATGACCCTAGAGTTGTGATAAAAGCAACTTTCATTTTTCAAAATGCATTCATCAGACCAGCAGGCAGGCTCATTACGATACCCAGGAAGTCTTGCTAATTTTATTTATCATAGTTTGATCATGCTCTTCAAGAAACTCATTGCTTTTGACTTTCTTGCATCTCTTGGAGCCTTTTTTTTTTATCCTGGAAGGCCTTTGCAGCTATTTAAATTTCTAATGTTTAGACTAGCCAGTTACTTTAGTGATTCTCTGAATTGTTTTTAATGGTGTTTAATGTTTTGTTGTACATCACCCTTATATTTTATAATATGGTGATGCAGAAATACTTTTATAAAAACACAAACTCACTCAGCCATTCCTCTTTTAACAAGCCTTCTAAAATCTTTATCCCAACTGGTATCTGCTTTGAATCTGAATTAGTTTTCCATATGTGATCTTATTTTCAACTGCTGTAACACATATAACTATGGTTTTTAAAAATGTTTTATATATGCAATTGTTATAACTGTTTACATATATGTATCATATGTGTTATATTGCAAATTGCTCCTTAAGCCAACAGGCAGACACGACAGCCTTCAGAATCAGAGGGAAATGAAAGAAAAGGAGGTTCTTACTTCTTGTCTGTGGGAGTGATGCTGCCATTGATAGCCGTGCTGTCGGCTGCCTGGATAGACGTGGACCCTGTTTCCTAAGGGGTAGAAAAAACACAGCCATAAAAGATAATTTTACTTTACAGAAACAGGCAGTCTCAAAACTTTAATGCAGGCAAGTCAAAAAGGAAGTCTGCTATACCTCTTCACACACCTTCAGCTTCTTTGTGATGGCTTGGTAGCAAACAGCCGGCTGCATAGAGAGGAAAAGGAAAATAACAAATTTTGGGGGAAACTCTTTTGCTGTCTTGCAGGGCAAGTAGACCTATATACTCAGCATGAATAGACAATTAATTATGATCAAGCCAGAGACACCCCACCCTACTTTCTGTATGAGAAAAACAGTTCTTATGCTCAACACCTTCCCTCCAGGGCAATCCCAGATAACACTGTGAACTCATAGGTGAAGAACCAAGCTTAGAGAGATCTGGCAAAAAAAACCCCCAAGTAAATACTTATTGCAGGAGAACAGCTGCAGGTCAGTGGGTAGAGCACTTGCTTTGCATACAGAAGGACCCAGTTTCAATCACCAGCATTGGAGAGCAGCTGCCAGTCAGTGGAGAGTCTAGGCTTAGGGTGATACTGAGCTAGATGGATCAATGATCTGGCTCAGTATAAGGCAACATCCTATTTCCTACTCCCCAACCATGCTCCCTTAGGATGGAGGAATCTTTATGAAATGCATGTGGGGTGAAATAAATGACTGTTATCTCCCTATAGCTGCCTTATGCGCAACTTCTGGTGACCTGCTCCAAGAACTTTTAAAATCATACCTGTCCCATATGTACAAGTGAAAAACTGCTGTTCCTCAAGGAAATCTGAGGATGTCACGGCTCAGCTTTAAAGGCATTTTCACTTATGAATGCCAAAGCAAAACTAATGAAACCTGGCACAGAGACTTCAACTCCTGAAGTGCCACAAGCAATGAACTCATCAGCCAAACCTATTGCTCACCTTCTCTGTCTGGCTAAGCAGGAAGTGATGGAAATGAGGGTCGCCATCTTTCACAGGCTGCAATTGCAAAGAGGCAAACTTAGAAACCAAGGCAACCAAACTTCAAGTCTGAAAAGCCTCCACACACATTTTAATGGGTTGTCACTTTCTCAATTCTGAGGAGACTTCTTGATGTCTGCCACAGACTAGCAAGAGTCTTGTTTTTATCTCTGTGCCTAATACAGGATGTGTGTCAAGAAGTTATCATTATGCTTGGTAATAGAGGTGGGAATTAAGAGAGTCCAGGAGAGGCAGGCTGGGGAGTTCAGCTCAGAAAGAATTGGCAGGAGAAGGAAAGTAATTTCCAGGACATAATACACACAATAGCCTCTTCAGTGAAAGCCACCCATGGCAACATTATGGGAGGCTGCTTGAAAATGACTCCTTGGGATATATTTAAGCTTGTGATATATCCCATAAAAGCACTTTCCTTTTAAAAACAGGACTCATCTGAATGTATTGGTTTCTAAGTTGCAATCCTAAGCACACTATTAAGCAGCAAGCAATTTACTTTTGAGTAAACATGCTTAAAATTCTGCTACAGGTCTGTGCTCTCAAATCTTTTTTTTTTTTTTTTTGTCTGAAGAGCGGTTTATTACTCCTTTAAATAAATCAGTTAAGTACTACCCATTCTAAGAGCATGTTCATGTTAGATGGAAATCATCAATTTAAGTGAAATGTTTCTGATAAATATTAAACGGTGAGGGACACAGTTTGCCAACTCCAAAAACCAAACCTAAGGTGATATCTCAGAAACTACTTTGACTACTTTTTTTATCTTCTGCCTCTTGGCACCAGCCACTATCAACTCTTCAACTAATAATTGGTGTTGACTGGTTATCTAATCATCCTTACCCCTCCTTATATTTTCTACCAATGGTCACACAACAAAGAGAAAGACAAGATTCAATTGGTATTGCATTAACAGTGTAATAGGTTTTGATGTTCGACATCACTGCCTCTTTCCATATGAACCAGCCCAGATACAGAGATCATCCTCTGAGGCCCTTCTTTGTGTGCTTCCTCCACGAAAGGACCAGAGGGTGGAAACACAAAAAATGAGCCTTTCCTGTGGTGGCTGCCATTTTGTGGAATGCCTTCATTACCTATCTGCAGACGCCAGGCAAAAATGTTTCTCTATAACCACGTCTTTGGCTGCTTAACATTCTATGGCTGTTTAAATGTGTTTGTAGGCGGGAGATTACTGGTTTGTTTTTGTTTTATTATATATTTTGGGTTCACATTTTGTGTTTTTATGTTGTGAACCACCCTGTGATCTTCGGATGAAGGCCGGTATACAAATCTGACTAATAATAAATAAACAAGCAAACAAATAATTGTGATAAATATACAAAATTTGGTTTGGAAGGAAATTTGTATTTAAAACCCCTGCAAGCCAAATGCAAAGATGTATTTAATTTTTTGTGTAGTTTGGCCCTCAGAACTGAGCAATGAAGGGTAGGAGGGGAGGGGAAATTGCAGGGAGAATCACGTGACAAGACTTCTATCAGCCAACAATTCCATGAGTTCTATCCCCTCTCTGCTATTGGACCTAGTACAGGAGTAGCCCATGTGGTGCCCGCCCCTCAAGGCATTGCTAGACTATAACACCCTTCATCCCTCACCAGTGGTTATGCTGGCTGGGGCTGATGGGAGTTCAGCAACAGTGGAGGGCACCACATTGACTAACCCTGCCCTACCAACTTTGCCAACTGCTGCATTCTTTATAGGAAGCCCTGCTGCCTCCTCACTGCTGCCAGAGGGCTGTAAAGTGGTAGCCCTGGAGCCCCAGACAATCACCTGTGCTGCTAAGCTTCCACCCTTACCTTCTAGCTTATGAGTATTGCATTTCAAAGATCAAAGAGGCAACAATGAACATACTGAGCTATGCAAAAAGCAAATTCTGAACATGATGTGTGTTTGCCTTTGGATTCTTTCCTCCTTTCTTTCTAGGACAGACCTGCATGACTTCTGTGTTGCAGGGATTTTGCCTGGTAGTGTGAGGGGTCATTCTTTACTATAACTACATAACATTGGAGTCTAAGGGGTGGGAGAGAATAGGAAATTTGAAGTTGAGCATGCTAGTGTTTCTGGCAAGGAGAAGAGTGGTATCTTGCTCTGCATTGCTTCACTTTGTGGGTCTCATCCCCATTTCCCAAGTTATTTTCTCTAGCCCCCAAAATGATGAAAGACAGGAGCATTTCTGTTCATGTTCACAAGTTACCGTATTTTTTTGCTCTATAAGACTCACTTTTTCCCTCCTAAAAAGTAAGGGGAAATGTGTGTGCGTCTTATGGAGCGAATGCAGGCTGCACAGCTATCCCTGAAGCCAGAACAGCAAGAGGGATTGCTGCTTTCACTGCGCAGCGATCCCTCTTGCTGTTCTGGCTTCTGAGATTCAGAATATTTTTTTCTTGTTTTCCTCCTCCAAAAACTAGGTGCGTCTTGTGGTCTGGTGCGTCTTATAGACCGAAAAATATGGTATATTTTTGCATTTGAGCCACTATGTTCATAACGTAACAGCTTTTTTTTTAATATTTCCAAAGTGAGTTTCTCAGAACACTTTACAAGTAAACAGGGAATAAGCCTTACTGAAATAGATGGGCCTTACTTTTGAGTAAACATATATAAGAACATGCTTATAGCTTGATTCTCAGGCCTGGCATGCCTAGTGCAATAGTAATCTGAGACCTTTAAACACTAGTAAATGCACTGTTCATGGTATGTGATTTAAACCATTTTAAAGAGCTGCCCTAAGAAATGACTTATATAAAAATATATTTATTATTTATATAAATTTAATTTTAAAATGTTTTAAAAAGCTAGGGCATAGCTATTAGACTAATTAAACTAGGCTATTAGATGAAGACTACTATTGTCATCTTAAGACTGAAAGACTGCAGAATGGGTTTTGTCAGGAATGAGGAATGGCCGGATCCCAAGCTCCTCACACACACACACAACCCGACCATTTTGATAGGTAAACAGGGCTACACAACTGTCAATCACCTGACATCACCATGGCACCAGGTGACCCAACTTAAAGCACCAATGCATGGAAAAGTAACGCCTCTTCTACAGTGGGCTGGTTTGTATGCAACCGTAAACTATGGTTTGGTACTATGTACAAGTGCTGGAATGAGCAAGAGCAAATCATCTTCTCCCATGCAACCAGAAGGCCTTCTATAGATTTGAAATCTAACTTGTCATCACAATATAACTGAGGTTTAAAACAAGCTTTGGTTAAATTGAGCAAGCCAGCTTCATAATCCATGGTTAGTAGTTGGTTTGCTCAGAAACTGACCAAAACATCTTTAAACCACAACTCCTGGTTTGCACATAATAAGCCAGGTTTCATTGGAAGCAAATCTAAACGCTGCAGAAATCCTTCTCTTGGCTGATGGTGAGTCCAAGACTTTATTCAGGTTTGTTTCAGTTCATGCTAAACCATGGTTTAGTGTTATGTTAGAATGAGCCTAGTGGCTCCTCCTCTTGTTTCCCTTCGCCCATATGAAACAGACAGTAACCAGGGCAATGCAGAGATGGGTACAGGAATAGGGACAGTAAGAGAGAGGAGATGAAGTAATACAAGAGGTGAGTATTTGAAACTGGAAAAGGGGCATGATGCAAGTCATGCACAGAGAAGACTGGAAATGTAAGAGCAAGGAAGGAAAGGGTCTCTTGCACAAAATATGGGGAACCAAGCCTTCCATTAAGAAACTCTGATGTATGCAAAGTAGAGGATTATTGTGCTCCACCCCACTGTGCTTCGTACAACAGCAGAAATGCTAGAATTTTTTCCACTGAGGAAAAGACAAAGAATTAAATCACCTCGCTTACACTCGGTGGCCATTTAAAGCCAGCCATGGTGCCAGTCATCATTCTCTTCACTGTGCTCGATTCAGGGATTGTCAGATCCTGTGAAGCAAGGAGGAGATTGAATAAGAACAAAGTTTACGGACAGAATCCCAAAACTCTGTGCGCAGGATATTTGAATAGCAGCTAAATGAATATGTAACAAATATAATGAAGCATATTTTCCTCTTCCACATCCCCCAATCACTCTTTGGAAAATGTTGCTCTTACAAAGGAATATAACTTCCAAAATCAAGTAGTGGAACGTGCTTGCAAAATGGCATATGAAAAGCTCTCAGTGGAAGAAAGGGGTTTGCGCTAGGAGCAAATGGCTGGGCTGGTTAGGAGAGTGTCATCTCTCATGTGCAAAAAGGGAAAGGAATGAATGGTGAGGAAGGGTCCATCTGTATTTTCTATACACAGAGGACAGAGAAGTGTTGACTCTACAATAAAAAATGTTCTCTTTCCCAAGGTCTGAGCTTATAGTACTTGGTGAAAGTTGGGCAAGTAATAATTTATTGGGGCCAGTTTTTAATGGGTAGCGTTAAATGAGACCAGAGATAATTTGAATTCTGGTAACGTACAGTATTTTTAAAAAATGGGTTAATTTATTGATTTGATTTAATTTCTGTTACATCTAGGAACTTGGGGTGGGTGGCATGGACAATAAATCCAATAAAAGCAAATTAACCAAAATAAGCAAGGACTTTTAGCAGCTTCAAGGTGACTCAAAGCAATCAAGCAATAATCCATGCAGCAAGATCCTATTGTAAACTTGGAAGCAAGTCCCCACCCCACCCTCAGGTTCACTAAGACTTACACCCTATTAGGTGTGCTTAACATCATGAACGTAACATAATCAATGCACATGACAATGATTCAATACATGCTATCCAGTAAATTTCACAAGCCAGAATGACATTTATTTCCAAGAAGGACTCCCTCATCTTATTTCCCTCTGCCATTATTGTCATGGAGAAATGTACTGAGAACACAGTGCATCTTAGCTTGCTCTTCTACCATTATTAACCTCTTGTTATATATATATATATATAAACATCAATTTGCATCCCTTTCCTTGACTCAAACAGAACCCACCCTTCACCTCTAACCTAGTTTCTTCTTAACGGGTCCCAACTTCTGGAATGAAGAATTGTGCCAAAAGCACATTACACTCTAATCTATATCTACTGCTGAGGGAGAAGGAAAGCGATGAACAAAAGACAAAATCTTTACTGGTTTTGGAATCTTGGCCAATTTTCACTGCATGTCTTCTAAGCACCACCACTTTTTGCTTTCTATTTTAATAAATGATCTGGCTAAGATTTTTAGGTTTTTCAACGGACCAAAACATTATGATTCATACTATCAACCTTGGCTATTCTAAGCCACTATTCTTTTTATATGGTAGTTCTTACAACTCTACCATCAATCTTCAGCTGGGCCAAGTCCACACATTGGCAACCCTTATTAAGTATTAAATCCCTTTGGTGTAAGAGTTGCAAGAGTAACAAAATAGCCACCCAGTCACATAATAGGCTCCTTATCTCTTGCTAAACAAATGCTGGATTTTGATAGTTACAATCCTATACATACAGTAGTTACCTAAAATGAAGTGAACTTGATGGAAATTACTTTTGAGCGAACATGTGTAGAGTTGATGGTAAAGATGCCCTTGCTTGTCTTCTCAAGCCTGTGCCATCTGGCTCTATTGGTTCTGCAGTAAATTCCTTGTTTGTGTGTATATAAGTATTTTGTATATTATATATACGTGGGGGGCTGGACTGTAGAGGCTGATTTGGCTAGGGCGGTGGAGAGATTACCCTGAATGATAGCAGAACCTTCCCATTCCTTCCAAACCTATGATCAAGAACAATCATTTTCATCTCCTACCCCTGGAATCACCATGAATTTGCGTACCGTGTAAAATGCATGTATATGGTACTGGATCTCTTGAATATAAACAAAGAGCGACCAAGAGTCATCCAGTACTGCTCTGCAACCTCTAAACATTGTGTGTGGATGTGATGTGATGACTGGTGTCACAGAATTGTAGAGTTGGAAGGGACCCTAAGGGCCATCTAGTTCAACCACCTGCACTGTAGGAAGTTTCTCCCCAGTGTAGGGGTTGAACCCACGACCCTGAGATTAAGAGTCATACGTTCTACCCATTGAGCTATCACCTTGAAAGACATCTGCAGGGGTTGAAAGGTGGGTATAAATTATTTTACAACAACCACCTGAAGGTGTAGAGGGAGTTGCCATAGCCTCATCATAATCTAGGAAGCATATTATAGCATCACCGTCTTTGGAAGCTGGTGACAACAATAACTCTACTATCCTCCTACATTAAACCTCCCATCTCCACCACATCTTAAGTAAAAGGCTAAACCAACCAACCAACCAACCAACCAACCAGTGTCCATTTAGTGCACAGATTAATAGACCTCTCAGTGAGATGTTTTCTAGCCATCTTCTACAGCAGCTTGCAATCCCTTTTGATTTTAGGCAGAGTGAGATTCCACAACAGTAACAAACCAGGACCATTTCAGTTGCGAAGAGGACTTGGACTGTCACAGCCAGTGCTATCTGGTCCAACAGCCATTCTTACAAAAGCAGGGCTCTCCTCCACTGGAACGGGGCTCCCACACTCTTTTGATGATTATATTTTGAAAAATTACTGAATATTCTTCAATGGGCAAGAGAGTACGCAGCAGTGGTAGCTGAATGAGCAGCGTCATCAAGAAGTCTGTTGCTTTCAGTAGCCTCTTTTCTTTCCAAACTTCTTGATGCTGCTGCTCCATCAGCCAGAAAATCCATCCATAACTGCCAATATTTCTGCAATCAACCATGTAAAAAGGGACACCCCCCTCACCTGGTATTCAGCCAGTGACTTAGTATACTTCTGAAATTAAAAGGGCTAAATTTACTACAGTCATACCTCAGGTTGCGAACGCTGTGGGCTGCGCGTTTTCGAGTTACGGATGCGCCAAACCCGGAAGTACCGTAACGGTTACTTCCGGATTTCGGTGCTCGCACACGCGCAGAAGCACCAAAACCGCACTTTGTGCATACGCAGAAGCGCCGAATCGCACCGTGCGCGTGTGCAAAGGCGGTGCTGTGGGTTGCAAATGTGCCTCCCACACGGATCACGTTCGCAACTCGAGGTTCCACTGTACTGATACACTCTCCAAAAGAACAAGTTAGCAAATATGCACACCCTCAAGCCAACTGTTTTGGAAATGTAGAACCTAAAATAAAATCTCAGGGAAAATCCTACTTGCAAGCATTTCATCACATCTAAACGCAGGGATCTGGTCAGTCACCAATAAAGTATCAATAATGGTTTTCCCAGGAATTCCTGCAGGAATCTAAACCTCAAACTAGTAAAGATGAGAGTCACAACTGTGACCTAATAAAAGATAGCAGTGCGAAAGAGGGAAGCACTTTGTACCATTCAACTGAAAATGAGTGGAATGCAATTCTAGTAAATCTTAGCTGATTAGTAATCCTGTCTTATGCTTCTTAGTGGCATTCAGATTCAGCCTCGTGGAGCATTAGCATTATAGTAATCCATTCAACTGGTAAGAATTGAAGTAGGTAACATCAACCGCCAGGAGATTCCAACTTTCTTGAATAGACAGAGGTGGCCACGTTCCGCTAGTGAACATCTGTCAAGTGTCCAAGGATGGGACAGACCACAACGGGGGGTGAGCAATCAAAGGCTGGCAAAGAATTAGGAATGCATAGAAACGGACGTCTTCTGGCTACGTAATCCACTTCTAGAAGCTTTCTTCGTGCTCATCTATCAAGGCAACTGGCCCTTTTCCAGCCTGACCGCACCGGAGAAAGGATGAGATGGAAAGGGCTGTCATCTGACCAAACGCACAAATGAGATGGAGATGTTAACATATACCACTATTGACGGTGAAATTGTGCTCCATTTCCTTGGTTAGCGTGCAACAAGATGGAAAAATGGTGTTATCTCGTTGGATTTCCCAGAGAGAGGAGCCACTCCATGAAACTTCTAAAGCTGAGCACTTTGGAAGAGCCAACTAATATAAATGATTATGGCTGAGGAATAAAGGAATTGCCTGGTGGACCCTTGAACAGTTAACACATGCAACTTTTCAAATGGCCACAACAATGAAGTCATCTGGTTGGCTGTTAAGGTTACATTCCATCTGGACAAGCTCACAGAGCATGGGAGGAGATGCAAAACACAAACCTTCTCATCTTTAGGGGGGCGCCCTCGCTTCCGGGGGCTTTGCTCATACGTTCTCTTCAGAGGGGATTTTGAGCCTCGCTCTGAAGAAACGGAAGACACCCTCTTCTTCGGCTTCCCTTCAGACAAATTGGCTTTGTGTTTCTCTTCTCCCACTGACTGCTTGCCCCTCTCTTCACTCGAATTCCGCCGATTCTTCTCTTCGGTGGAGTTATGAGAAGCCTGAGAGATTACAGAACAGAGAGGATGAGGAAAAGAAGGGGCATGAGCTGGCATGGATTTTGTTGTCCCCAAGCTCACAAAATCCAAACATGAGTTTTGCCAGATATCCGAAGAATGCCAAGGACCCTGAACTCAGGGTTTTAGCAGGTTCAAGCTACTATTTAGAATAGACAAGGAGAGGCAAAGCACAGCTGTGTGTTCTAGGCAGACACCTACTTTATAAGGAAAAAAAAGTTCTAACTCCAGAGTGCATAGCAAACACATTCCAACGCTGTAAGGAGATCCAGCCGATCCTTTTGTCACTGTTCACTTTAAGGGAGTCAGAGAGGTGACAGAATTGTGAAACTTAACTGCTTTACAACTTTAAATGTGACCCTAATCACTGTTCCATAGTATAATTCTTGAGACATTGTCTGTCACACCTACCTGGCAATGAAGTAAAAACAGAAGCATTTCATTCATTATTCCAGGGAACGGTGTCAGCAGGCAAAACTAAATGAAAGGACACTCACCTGGTCCTTGCCTTTGCCTTTTTTGAGGAATTCTTCCACAGCATCCACAGCTTGCTGGAACCTCTTGCCTTTGTTAATTTTGATCATTTCCTCTTTGTGGGCATGATAAGGCTTCAGCTGCTCCACTTTAATCCAAGCACTAATAAAAGAGAAATCAAAATGGTATTTTCCAGTCATATCACTCCCAGAGGTAATTGGCAGCCCTTCCAAGCAAGATGTGTGGATAAAACCTGAATACTTTGTCCCCCCACCCCCGTATTCCAAAAGCCTTCCTTGGAAGTGGCATACTACCTAGCGCCCACAGCAAATCCTCTTCTTAGCTAACTTTATACTGCTTCAGTTATCTGTAAGCATTCCCTCCCATACCTCCTCAATTAGTGGTGAACCCAAGGTGCTGAAAAAGCAGTTTACTTGTTAACAAACCACATCTCAAACATGTTTGTGCCTGATGTTTTTCAAGCAGAATAGTTCTTCCTCAGATGCCACTGATGGTTTTCAATGTGAGAGTGTCTTCTGTGTTCAAGGAAATCACTAGTGAAGTCACTTCCAACTAAGAGCTCTTTTGCTTATAATGAATTATAAGCTATTAAGCCCCTTCATGGATCACTGCCTTGCCGTGGCGAAGGGGCTTGAATAACTCAGAGAAGCTATGAGCTATGCCGTGCAGGGCCACCCAAGATGGACAGGTCATAGTGGAGAGTTTTGACCAAACGTGATCCACCTGGAGCAGGAACCGGCAAGCCACTCCAGTATCCCTGCCAAGAAAACTCCATGGACAAAGACAAAAGGCATATAAAAGTTATGACGCTGGAAGATGAGCCCCCCAGGTCGGAAGGCGTCCAACATGCTACTGAGGAAGAGCGGAGGACAAGTACAAGTAGATTCAGAGCTGATGAAGCGGCTGGGCCAAAGCCGAAAGGACGCTCAGTTGCGGATATGCCTGGAAGCGAAAGGAAAGTCCAATGCTGTAAAGAAAAATATTGCATAGGAACCTGGAATGTAAGAACCATGAACCTTGGTAAGTTGGATGTGGTCAAAAATGAGATGGCAAGAATAAATATTGACATCCTGGGCATCAGTGAACTAAAATGGACGGGAATGGGCGAATTCAGTTCGGATGACCATCATATCTACTACTGTGGGCAAGAATCCCGTAAAAGAAATGGAGTGGCCCTCATAGTCAACAAAAGAGTGGCAAATGCTGTATTGGGATGCAATCTCAAAAACGATAGAATGATCTCGATACGAATCCAAGGCAGACCTTTTAACATCACAGTAATCCAAGTTTAAGCACCAACCACTGGTGCTGAAGAAACTGAAATTGACCAATTCTATGAAGACTTACAACACCTTATAGAATTGACACCAAAGAAGGATGTTCTTCTCATTATAGGGGATTGGAATGCTAAAGTAGGGAGTCAAGAGATAAAAGGAACAACTGGCAAGTTTGGCCTTGGAGTTCAAAACGAAGCAGGGCAAAGGCTAATAGAGTTCTGCCAAGAGAACAAGCTGGTCATCACAAACACTCTTTTCCAACAACACAAGAGACGACTCTACACATGGACATCACCAGATGGGAAGCATCGAAATCAGATTGATTATATTCTCTGCAGCCAAAGATAGAGAAGCTCTATACAGTCAGCAAAAACAAGACCTGGAGTGGACTGTGGCTCAGATCATCAGCTTCTTATAGCACAATTCAAGCTTAAACTGAAAAAAGTAGGAAAAACCACTGGGCCGGCAAGATACAATCTAAGTCAAATCCCTTATGAATACACAGTGGAAGTGAGGAATAGGTTTAAGGATTTAGATTTGGTGGACAGAGTGCCTGAAGAACTATGGATGGAGGCTCGCAACATTATAAAGGAGGCAGCAACGAAAACCATCCCAATGAAAAGGAAATGCAAGAAAGCAAAGTGGCTGTCTAACGAGGCCTTACAAATAGCGGAGGAGAGAAGGCAAGCAAAATGCGAGGGAGCTAGTGAAAGATACAGGAAATTGAATGCAGATTTCTAAAAAATAGCAAGGAGAGACAAGAAGGCCTTCTTAAACGAGCAATGCAAAGAAATAGAGGAAAACAACAGAATGGGAAGAACCAGAGATCTGTTCAAGAAAATTGGAGATATGAAAGGAACATTTCGTACAAAGATTACCATAATAAAGGACAAAAGTGGTAAGGACCTAACAGAAGCAGAAGACATCAAGAAGAGGTGGCAAGAATACACAGAGGAATTATACCAGAAAGATATGGATGGCTCGTACACCCCAGGTAGTGTGGTTGCTGACCTTGAGCCAGACATCCTGGAGAGTGAAGTCAAATGGTCCTTAGAAAGCACTGCAAATAACAAGGCCAGTGGAAGTGATGGTATTCCAGCTGAACTACTTAAAATTTTAAAAGATGATGCTGTTAAGGTGCTACACTCAATATGCCAGCAAGTTTGGAAAACTCAGCAGTGGCCAGAGGATTGGAGAAGATCAGTCTACATCCCAATCCCAAAGAAGGGCAGTGCCAAAGAATGCTCCAACTACCGCACAATTGCACTCATTTCACACACTAGCAAGGTTATGCTTAAAATTCTACAAGGAAGGCTCAAGCAGTATATGGACCGAGAACGTGCAAGCTGGATTTAGAAGAGGCAGAGGAACCAGAAACCAAATTGCAAACATGCGCTGGATTATGGAGAAAGCTAGAGAGTTCCAGAAAGTCATCTACTTTTGCTTCATTGACTATGCAAAAGCCTTTGACTGTGTCGACCACAGCAAACTATGGCAAGCTCTTAAAGAAATGAAGCTGATGGACTACATGGAACTGGCGGAAATGACTGGCAGAATTTGAGACCAGGGAGAAGAGTCAGTGGAAGAAGATTGGAAAAAAATTAAAGTATACTTACAGAAACATTGTAAAATTAATGAGTGTTAGAAGGATGCGGGAATGATGTTACATGGTTTTAGTAAAAATGCAACAAAGAATTAAGTATAAGTTGATTGATAATGGGTTAAATTGAAAAAATTTAAGGTTAGACCGTTAAGACAAATTATAGAATAAAAATTGAGAAAGACGGGAAGAACTTGCTGAAATAGTGAATTGAACTAGAATACAAAAAAAGGGAGGTGTGAGGAGGTCGATGAAACAAGTAAAGGAAAGGTAAAGATATGGAATACTGGATGTGTGTTTTAGTTTCTTTTTTGTTTTTTGCTGTATTGTTGTATGGCTTTTATATGTTTTGTTATTGTTCTTTTTCTTTTTTATTGTTATTTTTTTTCTTTTTTCTGTAATTTTTAAACTTTTAATAAATATCATTTTAAAAAAAAGAAAAAAAGAAATGGGAGTGCCTGATCACCTCATCTGTCTCCTGAGAAATCTCTATGTGGGACAAGAAGCTACAGTTAGAACTGGATATGGAACAACTGATTGGTTCAAAATTGGGAAAGGAGTACGGCAAGGCTGTATATTGTCTCCTGCTTATTTAACTTATATGCAGAATTCATCATGCGAAAGGCTGGGCTGGATGAATCCCAAGCCGGAATTAAGATTGCCGGAAGAAATATCAACAACCTCAGATATGCAGATGACACAACCTTGCTGGCAGAAAGTGAGGAGGAATTAAAGAACCTTATAATGAGGGTGAAAGAGGAGAGCGCAAAATATGGTCTGAAGCTCAACATCAAAAAAACGAAGATCATGGCCACTGGGCCCATCACCTCCTGGCAAATAGAAGGGGAAGAAATGGAGGCAGTAAGAGATTTTACTTTTTGGGCTCCATGATCACTGCAGATGGTGACAGCAGTCATGAAATTAAAAGACGCCTGCTCCTTGGGGGAAAGGCGATGGCAAACCTAGACAGCATCTTAAAAAGCAGAGACATCACCTTGCCAACAAAGGTCCGTATAGTTAAAGCCATGGTTTTCCCAGTAGTGATGTATGGAAGTGAGAGCTGGACCATAAAGAAGGCTGATCGCCGAAGAATTGATGCTTTGGAATTATGGTGCTGGAGGAGACTCTTGAGAGTCCCATGGACTGCAAGAAGATCAAACGCATCCATTCTTAAGGAAATTAGCCCTGAGTGGTCACTGGAAGGACAGATCGTGAAGCTGAGGCTCCAATACTTTGGCCACCTCATGAGAAGAGAAGACTCCCTGGAAAAGACCCTGATGTTGGGAAAGATTGAGGGCACAAGGAGAAGGGGACGGCAGAGGACGAGATGGTTGGACAGTGTTCTCGAAGCTACAAACATGAGTCTGACCAAACTGCAGGAGGCAGTGGAAGACAGACATGCCTGGCATGCTCTGGTCCATGGGGTCACGAAGAGTCGGACACGACTAAACGATTAAACAACAACAAAAAGCTATTAAGGTTTTGCTTTGGTTTTCCTAATTCAATTTGGTGATACCCCTCACACTGCCAGACTTTCAACTCCCAAACAACTGAGTGGGATGGTGCTTTTTTTTGTTTTTGTTCTTCAGTTAGTCGTCCAACTAGGATACCTGTGCAAAACACTGATTCCTTAGCAGCACCTAGCTGAATTAGGAAAAACACCTGTCTTTAACTGAACTCAACTATTACAGAATGGAGGGGAACTTATTCACCTCTTCTGTTTTCTTTTATATGCATTTCCATAGCATTTCTGATATTTCAAGTCCTAGACTTTGTTCCTAATGACATGTTTTAAATGAAATTTCTCCTTCTCAGTAGGTATGTTGCTATATGTAATCTATTAACTTTACAACTTCTGTCACAGAAACAAAGAATCAGAATCCATGCATATCATTTTATAAGATAAATCAATATTCTATCTACAGAATTCCAGTGGAGTTGCAAAAACCATTGTTTAAAGGAGTTGTTGCCTCAATAAAATGCTTAAACACCAACTCAAGAAAATCACATTCCACCTGACTTTTAAGCACCACACCAAGGAATAGTATGCAGTTTTAGTAGACAAAACAATGTGGGAAGAAATTTTGGTCCATTAGAAAAAGGGTATCCAAAAGCAATAGTAGAGTAATTTGTTTATTAGAACCAAAAGTCTAAATAAAAAAAGGGGTTTTTTAATTATTATTTATGAAGTTTATTAGTCATTTTTTTGCCACAGCAACTCAAAGCGAGTTAGAATATTTTAAGCAAAAAACCAAACACATAGACATTAAAACCAGCATTGGAAAATAACCATCTATATTAAAACATCTCACCAACACAAAAAGGCCACTGATAGTTAAAATGTATGTTTTTGCATAGCACTTAAGGATATGCAACAATGGTGCCAGGCAAACCTGCCCTGAGCAAGCATTCCACTAGCAGGGAGCTAGACCAATGAAAAGACCCTTTCTCATGTTGCCATCTTCCAGAACGCCTGTGGAGGGGCCCAAAAAGAAGGGCCTCAGATACTGATTGCAGGGTTTGGGTCAGTTCGGAGGGGGGGGGGCACCTAAGACTTTATAGGTCAAAACCAGCACTTTGAATTGTGCCTGGAAACTAACTCATAATCAGCGCTGTCAGGCCAGAATTATTGTTGTATGCTCAGCCTTTCTTGCCCCAGTGAGCAACCTGGGCAATCTATCCTCCATTCAATCTTCAGCTATTACCACAAACTGGGCTCTCCATTATGCCAAGTAACTATTACATCTGTCTTCCTCACAATCCCTACTCACCCGGCCTGATAAAAGTTATGAACTCAAAAAAGCTTTAATTCACTTCTTCTATGACTTGAATTGGTCCTAGTAGAATTATGCTACTACAGTGGTACCTCGGGTTACATACGCTTCAGGTTACAGACTCCGCTAACCCAGAAATAGTACCTCGGGTGAAGAACTTTGCTTCAGGATGAGAACAGAAATTGTGCTCCGGTGGCGCGGCGGCAGCAGGAGGCCCCATTAGCTAAAATGGTGCTTCAGGTTAAGAACAGTTTCAGGTTAAGAACGGACCTCTGGAACGAATGAAGTACTTAACCCGAGGTACCACTGTATTGATTTCAAACTTTAGTGTTATAAAGCAGTTTATCCTGACAACATATCCACACACACAAATATTTAAGCTTGCAGAAAAAAATGTATTATTATTATTATTAATAATAATATACAGTGCAATGCTAGCCAGACCTACTCAGAAATAAGTCCTAATGAATTAAATTGAGCTTACGTCTAGGTAAGCAGTTAGGCACCAAGCAGCCTTAGTCAGGAGGCTGGGCACTGAGAATGTGTACAGATTAACTCATTTCCTTGTTTTGGCATCACAGTTGTGCCCTTTTGTTCCAAAATTGGGGAAGATATTATGAACTAGGCCATGTATATGACCATTCTGGCATTATTCCTTCTACAAACAGCAGCCATAAGTCAACAGAACGAGAGCTTTTCCTTTTATTTTTATTTTAAAACCAAAAATGCCCCTTCACTTATTAAAGTTGGTTATAGTCATGTTCAGCGTTGGGTATTCCCAGTGCTTATACGGGAGCTTATACCAGGAAGCAGCCCGGGAGTGTGGGGCAGCGCTGTGCCACCTGCCTGCCGCTCCCAAGCCTCCTAAGGAAGTAGCGGGGGGGGGGGGCAGGCTGCCGGCAAAGCACTGCAGTCCCCCCCCCCGCAGGAAGCAGCACGGGCGCGCAGGGCAGCGGTGTGCAGCCCACCTACCCACCGTTGCCCAGGCCTAGAGGTAACTCAATTGTGCATCAAGGAAAGCTGTATGAATGGCACCTGTCTGCTTATTTTGAAAAAGGGAACTATGGGGAAGAATAGGAAGGCAAGCATAGCACTAAAGCCGTATATCTAACTCTGAATGTCTTATTCAGCAAACCCTCAAGAGTTAAGATTTCTCAAGATTCACAGATGCATACTTTCAAGAATATTTCTATTAGAAACTTGCCTTTAAAAATAAATAAAAAGGAAGTTGAATTGTGAGGCAACAGTTTGCAATCAAATTGCACACATAAACAGAGTTTCAGCAGCAATATATGAATTTACCTGCCTCACCCTGACATCATATATGACATCACATTCAGGGCAGGTGGCTGTGGCTTGGCTAAAATGGTCTCTCAAGCCAAAAGGAGAGGCTTGGTGGACATAACTGGGCCCATAAGCCATAGCTATTACTTGGTTAAATATTTATGCATTAATATTTTTTTTAAAAAAGGTCAACCGTGACTATTCAGTTTCTTCCTAGAAGCCTACAATCAGCTGTTTTAGGGAGATATACACTATAAAAACATGCATACTGACTTCTTCCTGTTTCTGGCAGGAGAGGGAGGTTGTTCAACCAAATACAGCACAAAAGAGTCACTTGGGAAGTCCTCCATTGTGAAGTCTTGTGAAATGCACATAGCATACATAGGCATACCAGCACAATATGCCAGAAACTCTCTCCTAGGTGCACAAATTTTCTGCATCTGGCAAGATCTACAGTTTTAAGTCGTATTCCCAAATGGCTCTATAATATGATGTTCCTAATCATACATAGAGAGCTGGTGTGGCGTAGTAGCTAAGAGGTTAAAATACGTCAGGGTGACCCAGGTTCAAACTTTACCTCTACCATGAATCTCAGCCTCCCCCCACTATTTGCACTTTGGGGGTAATACTGATCTCCCTTACAGGGTAGATCACGTAGATCAGCGTACATCAATAAAATAATGCACGTAAAGTACTTTGAGTGGTGAAAAACATCATATAGTTTTTGTTTAGGGAAGTTTTTAATGTTTGATGTTTTCTCGTGTTTTTAATATTCTGTTGGGAGCCACCCAGAGTGGCTGGGGAGGCCCGGCCAGATGGGCAGGGTATAAGTAACATATTTATTATTATTATTAGTTGTATTGTTGCAAATATTATACAAATGAGCTGTAAATTAGTTTGTCAGAAAGTAGATTGGGTTTTTTCCTTGACTACTTCAGGTTTATGTTGTTTTTCCTCAAAAGTATGGGTGGAGAGCACTTGCCTGAATGCTGCTTCATTACTGGAGGTATTGCTTTGTTTCCATTACAGAAACTGGAGGAGATAACCAGGATTAACAGAGCATTATCACACTTTGTCAGATGGTAACTAAATTCCCACTTAAAGTGAATGACTGTGACTCAAAGGCTCACCCCAGGATTAGACACAGATCACAAAGGGCCCATTTCACTGAATGGTTTTTTTTTTAAAAAAAATTTTTAATCCCACTCTTATCCCAGTTATGTGATAAGAATAAATTCTGCATCATGGACATTCTTATTTTTTATTTAATAATTTTATATACTGCCCTTCAGCCAAAGATGACAGGACAGTTTAAAGTATAAATGTACTTTGCATCAACTCTCCTGTTTCTATAAACACAGTAAGGGCTAGAAACTTACTTTGCTTGCCTCAGGAAACTATTTTTTTTGCAATACAATATTCTATGCCCCCCTCAAATTGCAGAACACAGAGCCCTGCTTATATCTTGCCTTTCCCTTATACATAAGATGTAACCTGTACTTGAATGAAATATCCACTGCTCAGCAGACAGAAATCATTCAACAGGACATGATTAATACATTCCTCAGGGCTTGCTCTTTAGCCAACCTCCTCCACCGAATTATATTATAAACTACATGCCATACTGCTATTTGGTTTGGTTTGGTACATCAACGTTTTCATTTGCAATCTGTTCATTAATCTATGCTGGAACTAAACAGCATTCCAGACCATTCGACCCACTTTTCAAATGTTTCCACTGCAAATAAAAACATACTGCAGTTTCTCCCTTCTCCTTTTTTGTTCCCATCTCATGATGTTGTATTACTTCCTACCTGCTCTTCACCATAAGCTCCCACAGCAGGTTACAACAATATAAAAATGTAAGGTTAAAACCAGTTTAAAGAATTTACAAAAAATGGAACTACCTAAGGGTGAGGAATAGCAACAGCCTTGAAGCACTGACAGGTACACCCCAATTATTAGAGGACATATGCCTGGCTAGAAAATAAGCACTCTCTCATGTGGCACTGTCAGTCCAAATATTTAAACTTCAGAAAAAGAAAAAGCAAGTATAAAGGAGGAGTTTATGCTGTTGTCTAAAGCATAATGTGTTGAATACTGACACAATGGCCCAGTTTTTAAATGAAATTATCATACGTGGGTGCTTACAGCATCAGATCATTGGTCCATATATGTCAGTAGAAATACTTTGTATAAGTGCAACCTGCAACAAAATGTAGCAACACGGAGTACTTTTTGTTCACTCCCCTTTACATTTCTCCTTCCACATGGTTATCAGGTTTTTATTTTTCCTCCTTCAACATTTTGTATCATTGAATTCTTAATGGGATGTTCAGGGGATTTCCCAAACCCCTTTGTTGTTGTTTTCCACTGAAGATTACTGAGCACCCGCAAACCTCTATTGTATCTTGAATCTGCTAATACCTCTCTCTTGTACGTGGTTGATGCAGTTTGGGCTCCAGCTCCTCAAGCACGGGAAGACTTGAAGCAGAAACAGAGGGATGGATGATTATGATACAATATAGAAGGTTCTCCTGGGATTGTTCACGCAGTTCCCAATGGGCTGTGCAGACCAAACTGTTTGCAAAATCCACCATGAGGCAAATGCCTGACCCCTTCCCTTGGTTCTCTGTACATGCCACAGAGATCCCTCTTTACTTCCTGCTCCACTTGTTTATGGAACCCAGAAGTTTGAATTTTGCAAATGAAGATGGTCAAAAATGCCTGCCTTTGATGGGGGCGGGGAGAGAATGAACTAGACTGCTTTTCAGTTTTTTTTACACCAACCAGTTTCTTCCTATTTCACTGGACATCACTGATATCAACTGCAACAATATTCAACATGTAAGTCTGACTTTCAAATTAACAAACCGTACATTAAACCTGAAGCCCTCCAGGTATTACTTGACTAGAATGCCCATCATCCCTGACCACTGGTCATGCTAGCTGGGCTGATGGGAGCTGAAGTCCAACATCTGGAGGGCCACAGGTTCCCCGGCCTTGATATAAATCTCAATGCCAACTACATGCTGTCAAATTCTTCCTAATGCAGGGACTGTGGATGTGTGTTAAACTGTCTAAAAAAAGCTATGGACATTTCTGATGCCTAGGTAAGCTGGTACATCAGCTTCTTCAGCCTTGACCAGCACATAGGCTCTAGAGGTTTCTGCTGCTAGCTGATAAATTAAGACTATTTTTACTGGTCATGAAATTGCACTGTGCCAGCTTTTCTACAAGGCTCTAAAGTTTAAAAATAGATCCCCCTGGCAGAAAAGAAGTGGGTACATACTGATCTTCAGTCCCAAAAAACTTCACAAAGAAGCACTTCTTCCCACGAGGCTTCTTCAGGTCCTTAGGCGGGTTAACAATCTGAGAGAGAAACACAGGAAGCCACAATTAGAGGTAATAAAAACGGAACTTTTTAAACATTCTCCACCCCCCCGCTCCAAAATCTTTGCATATATTGGTAAAAACTGTTGTGAAACAAGATTATTTGGGGGGGGGGAGATACCTTGTAACTAAAGGTATATTCACACCAGAAAAAGAAGGCCCATATTCCTGAGTGCAGTGCTACTCTTAAAACTTTGGGCTAAGCTTATTACAAAAATGCATGTAACATGTTTTTACAGGTATATGTAAAAATATCCAATCAACGAGCAAATGAGGCTATCTGTGTATTATGCTGTTCACAGCATGATGCCTCGCAATCACGCCAGTTACGCTGATATAGACTAAGTTTAGATGGTAATTCTGCAACAGGCTTTGCATAGTTAAGTACACCATACACAACACAGGATCAGGACAGACTGTAATTATCCCTACAGTAACAAACTGATTGCAAGGTAAATGCTACAAAAGCACCAGCTTTTCAGGAGATAAATCCAGACATTTGTCACACTCGTCAATCATTTATCCGAGTGAATGGAAATAACTAAACACTGTACTAATCGGTGACATATCAAATAATGAAATAAAGTAATTGCAGTAACTGTGCCTTTGATTCTAGCAGACACAGATACTGAATTGATATTGAAACGCCCACACTGACCTCCTCCTACTAAAATTTTGCTAAGATCTCTTCCATTCTTTTATAGACAGCAGAACTGTGAGAGGCCAGAGAATGAAAAACAGGCTGACAGTTGCCATTGAGGCAACTCCTTTTCACCGGCCTGGCTGAACCGATTAATCTCTACAGGGCCCCCAAGGGCCTGCCCCCAGCAACTGCAGGCCAGGTCAACTATGTGTGATTCTACCAGCATGGCATCTCTTAGCATAACATCATGGAACTTCTGGTGGATATTTAGGCCTAAATCTGGAGCTTTTGCAAAACAAAAATTCATTTACAAATAAATCCTTAGCCTTCAAAATTGTCCTTTGGCTGTTATTCATTGTCATTTGAGTGAAAGTCCCACTGAACACAAATGGGACTTATTTCATTCATAAGATCTGATTGCACATTTTATTTGAGGGTGGTGTCAGGGCTTATTTATGAAGAAAGGGAAAGCAGTTTTTCAGAAAGACAGAAAAAGGATTAAGTAGCTACATCCAGGAATACAACTGATTAAAAAACCCACCTAAACTGGTCTAGATTCACTTTGGTTTATGTAACATGCTGTGGGTCAACTGATAACTGCAGGAAATGTAGATCTACACATTGCATTTGACATTAATAAAAATATGTTACCCCAACAAAGAGAACACAAAAAGTAAGTGAAGTGCACACTAGAACTCACCTTTCCTGGCCAAGGAGGGTATCGGCCCAGCTTCCCCCTATAGAAAAAACAGAAGTCAGCCAATGGCTATGACAAACAGCAGCAACTCTTCAACATTCTTCACTTACACAGTACTATTAGAAAAGAAAACTGAGAGCAATTTAGGGGGGGGGGAGGAGGAATCCAGAACAATCTTCTTCCATGGATGCTAAAGAATGTCCCCTTCCCTGGAACTGAGGCAAAATCTCGCTAGTATCTTCTTTTGCGCATGTTCCCAAGCATAGCAAGTTGACTTACAAACATATCCAGACACATTTGCTGGACTGCCTGCAAAATCAGTCTTTTTTTAATCATCAAATTTCCCAGCTTCTTCACCTGAAGGGAATTCTTTTTTGCCACAGGCATTCAGGTCAGTGGCTATTTACAATCCTTGTGACAAGCCTCCCAAGGGCAGATGTCAGTAGGACAAATAAAGCAACCAGAAAAATAAAGCAACCAGAAACATGCTTGGTTTTCCTAAATTTCAACTACCCCTTTTCATTTCTCCTGCATAAATTGGTTGCATGCATGTTTAGCTTGCAACGAGTACAGATTGCCTCAGGACCACACCAGGTTGAATCTCATAACTGTATTATCCATCGAATCCCAGATCAAAGCCAGCAATTCCTTAAATGCACCACTTTTCAAATTAAAATAGTATCTCTTGGGTCCCACAATATTTGAAGAGCCCAGATCCAAGGACTGTTCACATCTGACTGTTTCCTCACAAAGAGAGCTGCCATACATGGAATAACATTGACACCTATCTACATGATTATATATGAAAACTGAGCTCCCTGGAACACATGGTCTCATCTAGACACGTATTCATGACAAAAGACAGGCATGTGAGTTTCAAGCTTACAGCTTACAAAATTCTCTACACACACCATGTTGTACTCCTTAGAGATACAGGTGTTCATGTTATGCCCCATCAATTTTCTTTCATCACTAAAACCATTAAATCACTTCCCCACAGCAAATGAAGGGGGGAAACAGATTACATATGCTCACAGTATCACTAGACCCTTAGCTTAGGTAGGGTGAATGGTTTTATACATCTTCCATTGTCACAGAACAGAAATGGTTTAAAGTTAAGATTCTACAAACAATAAAATATGAGCTAACGTATAAGAAGCCAATGTTGTGCCTTCCGGATGTTATTGGACAATGGACGCTAATTCCCAACATTTCTGACCTTTGTCTATTCAGCTTCTTTTCCATGATGCTTCCACAAATCATGTTAATATCTTGTGGATCTTTTTCAGTGGTTCCAAACCTTCTAGGGCCCAAGTTGGGCAAAGAATATGAAGGGTTTTGCCTCAAACTCTTACACAAACCAAATTTTGGGAAGAATTTTTAACCCAAGAAATGGAGGGTTGTCTAGAAAAATAATAATGCAGATTAAGTAATCACCTAAGGTAACCACAAAACACTGCAATAATGGTCCTGATTTTGTAGTCTACTAGATAATATACATAAATACGGTTTCCAATGAATGTTATTCACAATATCGAGGCCATTGCTTATATTTACGTTGCCTTTCCTTGTCGTCTACAAAATCCATGTAAAACAACTTATCATAAAGCTCGTTTTAAATTCATATAGTTTAACACACAAGATGCATAGTCCTTGACTTAAGGCCTGTTTATCTCAGTTTAGATTAAACCAGCACAGGCAAGCCATACTGCTAAGCTCTATCAAAATAGTCTGTTTCCATGACTCCACAGGCTTGTTTACAAAAAAAGAAAGAAAAAGCAATAGTGTAACTTGGGCTTAGACTGCAAGAGATAATAGACTGCACAGATCATTATATGCTAAAAGATATAGGCTTGGGACTAGAATGTGCCTTGTGTTTGCAGTAGAGGATGAGTGCCTATGGAGGCTCCCCCCAAAGGGGGGGGGGAAGGGGAGCAGAAATATATTAGCTGATTCCTCTTCCCCCTCCTGCACTTCCTCTGATACAGTTGCCAACGTTCCTTTTGGAGCAGATTTTCGGGGGACCCAGGGTGAGGAAGAAGTAAATGACAGAAAGCACCTCCCCCCCTTCCTACAGCAGGAGCATCCAGTGCCTTGACTTGACTCACAGGAACTCTGGATCCTGTCCATACTGTATAAAATACTAAATAATAAATAATTTACGTTTCTTGCAATATGAAACACCTGGGGATCCACTGCCAACCCAAAGCTTAAGCTCTCTCTCACACAATCATATTTCTAAGCAATAGTTTGCAGAGCTTTGGTGACAGTTTGCACACTTAGCCATCATAAGACAAGTTTAAAACACCATGGTAGGTCAAGGTGAAAATAGCTAGTCCACACAGGAGAAAGACTAATAGGCATGGTTGGGTGGGGGGAAAGGATTTCCAGTAATTAGGTGGCTGAATCAAATTAAGCAGCAAGTCCTAAAGAATGGGGAAATGTCATAATTCTTAGCCTAGACCAGTGTTTCTCAAACTTGGGTCTTAACTGTTGTTGGTACTAGAAGTCTCATCATCCCTGACCACTAGTTCTCCCAGCTAGGGAGTTGTAGTCCAACAACAGCTGGCAACCCAAGTTTGAGAAACACTGGCCTAGATGATCAGGCCCCTCATATTTTTCAAATTCTACCAGCAGTTATTGGTCAAGCTGTGCACTTTAAGGCTGCTTGGAACCTGAAGTTAACAACTAAGATAGGCTAAATGCACTGGATTAGACAAACATCATACTTTATTACTATTTGAGAAGCAGTGATGCGGGTTTTCCAGGTAATTTTTAGTTAGAAAAATATTGATGCTTTAAACAGAGCATAATTTGATTTTGAATATTTGACTTCAACTAAATATAAACACACTTGCAGCCCCAAGTTTATATGGATTTTAGGTTTGGCTTTGATTTTAACTGCACAACCAATCTGATGAATTCATGTTTGGTTTGTATTTGTATTTTACCTATTTACAAAATAAAATGTACTCTCTTCCTTTTTCTAAGATCACATGAAAAACATTTAATTACAACTTTGAAACTGCCATGCAGAAAACATGTTTGTCTAATGTTACACTGTCATCAACTAATGAATTTTACAAAGCAATGAATTTTTAGAAATGAAAATATTTCAGCCCTACATCACTGCTGAGAAGTGAAACTGACACAGATCCTTACACCTCCTAGACAATTCAATATTATACAATATGTAGATGGAAGTCTTGTAATCCAAATCTTGCTATGGTTTCATTCATTATTAAAAACTGGTGCAACCCTGATGACACCCATGAATACATGATTAAATAGGTAACAATAAAAAACATGCAACAAAATAGCCAACCGGCAGTCAGCAACATTCAAGCTTAATTTAAAAAAACCCTCAAGAAAAAATGCAGATTCGGGGTTAGATATGAAAGGTGTATATAGGTGCATAAAAATATGGAGTCTTTTTTTATAGGGAGGTCTCATACAGGAATCTACAAGTTTTAGCTGGTGGTCTTAGCCAGCTGTTACTTGCAGATGACCAATGACCTTTTTTCCATGACACCCAACAAAAAAAGCAGATCTGGAGAGAAAATGTGTCAGTTTCTCACTGCTTTTCAGTACCTTCAAACTGTAATACAAAGAGTTATGATGCTTCCAAGTGTATGAGAACACCAACCCAAAGTGAGCAGCTGGTCCCTTCCCTCAAATCTTCTGTACAAGTGCTGGGAGATTTGAGGGAAGGGCAGGTCTGTATTTCCTGCTTGGCACAAAACAAGCCCCCCTGCCACCATAATGCAGGGGAAGAGGACTAAGGGATTACTTTCCCTTTTATACAAAACTTATTGAGAAGCAATTTTGCCCCAACAAAATATAAAAAGCTGGTGGGAATTAAATTGGGATATAAACATTGAAGAAGATAAATAGATTTTTTTATGGACCAAAGCACCATATAAATATGTCAGCAAAACCTAGGGAGTATTCACTAAAAACTGCATGGGTGTTATTTAACACTGAGATGCCTATCTTATACACAGCCCAATAGTTCTCTGTTGTGTTGCAGAGGATGGCAATTTATAGGTACATACCAACATATGTGTTGGGAATGTCCACAAAAAGTAGAATGTTGGAAGAAAGTTTTTAAAAAGTTATCTCAGATTATAGTTCAGACAATTCCAGTAACACCAGCATTAGCCTTACTTAATTTATATATTCCAGATATGGACAAAATAGGAAGGGATTAATAACACATTTATTAACAGCAACTAGAACGGTAATAGCCAGAACTTGGAAAACCTTGAATTTAATGAATATTGATCACTGGTATAGTATAGTCTGGGGAACAATGGAAAAGCTGTCGTAAAAATTGAAGTTGGCAAGGGGACAGAGAAACAAGAAGTTTTACAAGGTATGGTGTGATTTTATTAAATATGCAAATAAAATAACACATACATTGCAATATAGCATAGATAAGCAGATACTATTCATTAGCTTTCCCATATTACTCTGTGTTTTCTAAGTTGATTTATTGGCGAATTCATTTTACTGGTTTATTGAAATCACTTGATTATTATGTACTGTAAAATAATGTTTAGTATTTTACTTCCCTAGTGATCCATTTTTTGTTAGTCACGTCATGTTTTATTATTTACGTTTGTACAAAAAAATGCAGGGGAAAAGATATCATGTGCTGAGATTTGAGTTTGTGAGTGTGCTTTAATTAGATTCACAGTCGCTAACAGCAATTTGGCAAGTGCATTTGTGGAACCCTGACTTCATGCCACTGAAAATTCATCTTCTCCTGCTAGTGTAGGTAGAAGTTGTATCAGAAAGCACAAAGGGAAATGAAAGCAATTACCTTTCTCCTGGTGTGGAAGACAGACCGCAAATGCCCCTTTCCCTTAGGACAGGCTTTTCCAATCTGTTGCCCTCCAGAAGCTGTTGGACTACAATGCCTATCATCCCTGCCGATGCTTACTTCACTGATACTCCTAACACCACTCCTTTTACTGGCTTTGCTGTCCATAAATCAAGAGTGGAGGAACTGTGTGGCCCTCTAGGGGTTACTTGACTACAACTTCCATAATCTATGGCTACTAGCCATGCTGGCTCATAGAAATTAGAGAAGAAGAACGTTGTTCTACAAAGTGAGCACTACACTTTATAGATCCAAAAGTTCAAGCAAGCACCAGTTTTTGAAAGTTTGTCAAGGGTCACATGTAGGGAACATACCTTTCCCCCTACTTTGGTGATATTAACAGCCATTACACAAGTCCCCATGTTAATCTTGGACCTATTTACAGGGCTAGGAAACAACATTCCTGCCAATAAGCAAAGCAAAGCAATTAAGGAAGGGCCAAAAGCTGCCGTACTAGACACAAACCTGGAAGCAAAAGACCAAGAATCAGCACTGGCATATAGAACAAGCAACAAGGAAGTTGATTGTTACTATTATTATTATTATATACAATATATAATATATATAATATATATTATATTATATATATTATATATTATTATTATTATGTGATTAAGTTAGGCTGGCATTCACTCACTCACTCTGCTGCCATCCCTCTTTATAGCACATCTCTCAATATATTAGCACATGACTAAATAATCATCAAAGTCTATCCACAAAGCTACATGTGAATTCCAACTTGAACTCATATTTAATGACTTCACAAGTTGAGTACAACAGCCAACACAGACTGGAAATGCATCATCTGAATAAATCACATTCTAGCTTCTCTGTTAGCAAGTCAGATGAGAAATCTGAGATGGTTATTGCCAGGATTGTATAATTAGTTTTTTTCGTATATAAACTAATACAAACTTGCAAGTTGAGTACCGTATTTTTCGCACCATAGGACGCACCGGACAATAGGACGCACCTTGTTTTAGAGGGGGGAGAACAAGAAAAAATTCTCCCCTCTCTGCCCAGTGCCCCTTCAGCGAAGCAGCAGGAGGCGCTGCGCAGAGAGGGGAAGAATTTCCCCCCTCTTGTTTTCCCCCTCTAAAACAAGGTGCCGTTTAAGGTGCGTTCAGTCACCTTCAGGCGGCTACCTTGGAAGCCTGGAGAGCGAGAGGGGTTGGTGCGCACTGACCCCCCTCTCTCTCCAGGCTTCAGGTTCCTTTCGACCTGCTCTTTGGGGCTGGCGGGGGGAAGCCCACCACCAGCCTCAAAGAGCAGGTCGGGGAGCAGCGGAAAGTCGCGCAGCGGAGAGGCTGCTGCCATAGTCGCGCGTCACCTCTCCAGCTGGGAGAGGGTTGTGGGGGGCTTCTTTAGCCCCGTGCGCGCTCTCCCGGCTGGAGAGGTGGCGCGCGGCTATGGCAGGAGCCTCTTTAGCCGCGCATCACCTCTCCAGCCGGGAGAGGGTTGCGGGACTATGGCGTCTTCGCTCCATAGGACGCACACACATCTCCCCTTAATTTTTGAAGGGGAAAAAGTGCATCCTATAGAGCGAAAAATACGGTATATAGCTATTTGTTTCAAAGTTAAAACAAATCTGTTTAAGACCACGATTTAGAAGAATTAGCAGAAACACTAAATAAGACAGTGCTTAATAGAGGTCATTATTAGAGCAAAAAACGATAGGAATATGATTTCTTCGCATGGCAGAGGTATCTGCCAATAAGCCACACTTATATGTAAAGATGAATAAATGCCAGTTTTTCCAGATTCTCAATAGCTGATCCCAAAATTTTACCATTCACCATGTTCTCTTGGGAGCAAAATCTGTGTACTGTAGTTCTGGTGGTATATGACCCATCTTGAGGACACAAAAATAAATTGCTCAGTGGCTCTTGAAATAAGTCATATTGCTCAGACACCACTGCTCAATTAAGACAGGGCTTTAACTACCAGAAGCAGACTCACTACTTGCTTGGCATTCAATGGCCTTGAGCTACTACCCTGGAAAAAACCCAGGCTTCACAGGCCCAGATAAAAATTTCGTAGAATTAAGTCTTGCTTCCAGTTCTGTATTTGTGCACCAACTCCAGCACAGTCACATATAATTACTGGCTCCTTCTCTTACAAAAGGTGCCCATTACACTGGCAATTCCAGATGATTACCCCATTTGGTACCTCAACCCTAACACAGCCAAGCAATGACACCAACCCTGCATTTAAGCACCAGCCTAGAAACCATAAAGGGACTAATGCATAAAACTGAGTGTATAAAATTCTATGCTAGTGAATGAATGGGCTGGCAGAGAAACAATCAGATGAGGAAAGTGCCCACCCCCAGCACAGAAACACAACAGTTTGCTGCAAGAGTGCGGCCCTCCATCTCTTTTTCGCCAGTCCTCAGAAGGCTAGCAAACATTTTTGCAGACTAGCAATGTTATTTCCAGAGTATCCTCACTGCATTATGTGGGATTTTCAACAATCACTTTGTGTTTGTTAATTAAGAACATAATTTGAAGTTCTGGTTTTTGAAAAAAATATTTTTGGGCATATAATGAAGAGACAGTCAAGATGTATCAAATAATTTTATGGAACAGCTCCCTTGTGGCTCTTAGTGCATAATATGATTGTGCAGGGAGAAAAGGTTTTGTACTACTCATTGAACAAATTCCAATGTAGCTCAACTTATTTGCCCACTTCTAAACTATGGATTAACAATAGCCACACATTCTGTTGTTATAACATTCTAGAAAGGATCCAAATTTAGAAAGCATTTTTTGCAGAGTAACTACTACACTTCATTATAATTTAAACCTGGTTAGCTGTTGTACTGGGGGCAGGTTCCTCGGTTTTTCAAGTAACTTGATTGGACTAACTAGTGTAAAAAAGGAAAGTATCCTTTTGGTAGAGAAGCCATTACACTTTTCATGCTTCCCATTCGTAAAGTGGCTGCATTGGTGATCTATCCCACAAGACGAAATGAGAATAAAAATGAGAACAAAAGCTTGTGAGGACACTACCCAGTGCACACTTACGTGGAAGTATGCTCCCCTAAACTTAGTGGAACTTACTTCAGAGTAAATATCAATAGGATTACAATATAAAACCTGAATTTAAATCCCAGCTCAGCTATGGACTAACTCGGTGGCTTTGGCCAAGTCACTACCTCTCCACTTCAGATCCTGCAAAGAAGAACAGCAGCAACCTGAATCACAGGGTTGCTGTAAAAGTAAAATTAAACAGTAAGACATTTGTACATAAGTGTGTTATTTAAAATAACTATCACTATTAATAACTTTGTGTGTGACAACTCTGCTTTAAGTACTCACTGCAATTTACAATGATTTCAACAAGTCAGATTTCAACAGTAAACAATAGCTTCCAGAACAACTCTCACTGAATTTAGTCGGTCCAATTAAAAGGATCACTCATCAAGTCACCTAGAGCTCCATTTATTTAGCAGTAACCTTCATTTGAATTTTCAAAGTACTTTTAATTAATTCATTATCGTACAATTCTAATTACAATCTTTGCTCCATTCCGGAATATGTCAGTGCCATTTTCTCCACAATGCTGTCTAAAAACTAAAACTAAAGGAAAAAAGTAGCTTGCTTAAGGCTTCAATAAGTTTGATCCTAAGACTTCCTGGCTCACACTGAGTGCTGGCAGGAATTTACCCTTGGCTCCATTTCTAGTACCAAAAGACCAACCCAACTGATGTGGAATATCTTCCTCACAAGTTTGCCAGCTTACTGAGAATATTAGCACGCGCTCCCCTCCCCACAACCAAGTTTGCCTCTTTACCTCAGTTTCTTCCAGTACTAGAAATGCAGAAAACCACAGGAGGCCCAAGCCTCTTAACTATTGAAGTTGCGTGTTTAGGAAACTGTAGTGGCCCCCAATATGGCTACATTTAATGGAAGCCATGGGGTGGTGTTTCAGATTTAACTCCTCCCCATCTCCCGACCACCCGGATAATGTTACTCGTTTTCGTCTTTCTTCTCCGCTCACACCAAAGCTTACCTTTTTCTGTCTCTTAAAAGTGAACTCCTCTCACTCGCAACATGCCCCAGTCCGCGCCGCCCTTCGAGTCGAGTCGCCCTTCGCCACCTCCAGCAGCCCCCCTACGAAGCGACTTACTCCCCCCCCTCCTTAAAGGTGGCAAATTTCCCCTCTAGGAAGGTGGTCGGGAGGCAAGTCTAGCCCCACATCCCGCCCCAAGTCCTCGCGGGGCTGACTTGCCCGTGCCTCCTCCCACAAGGCGAGTCCGTGTTTGTGCCTGAGGAAGGGGGGGGTGTCCCTCCTTCGCAGGGCTCTGCCCACAAACGGCGGCGATGGCCGCCTGCGGGCTTACGAGGCCCAGGCCAGAAGATTCAGCTTTCCCCGTTTCACCCCTTTCTAGAGGGGAGGCGCCCCCCAACCGCCCCGGTGCCACCCCGCAACTCACCACACCAGGTCTCCGAGCCGCAGGTTCACAGGAACAGCAGCCGCAGCCGCAGCCATTTTCCTGACCCGGCCGGCACCGTCGCTGTTGCTGCTGCTGCCGCCGCTGCTACCACCTCCTCCTCCTCTACAGCCGACGCCGCCACACCCCTCCTCAGGCTCCCCCTCCTTCCGCCCCTCAGCAGCCAGAATTGGCAGCGACGACGATCCCTACTGCTATTCCTCTTCCTTCCTTCTCTCTCTCGCTCTCTCTCTCCCCCCCACTCTGCCGCAGAGCCTACCGGGACACTGGCTGGCGCGCGCGCAGCACGCACTCCGTCGCCGCCCCCCCCTCCTTTCCTCAACAGCAGCAGCAATACAAAGACCGACGGGAGGGGAAGAGGAGAGATGGATGGAAAGCGATGCCCTGTAAGATCAGCGCTCTCTCTGATAGGCCGGCCCTTTGCATGTGACGCGGGAGCACTCCGCGCGTGACCTCCCCCCGCCCCCTCCTCCTCCTGCTCTGCTTGTCAAAAAGCGAAGAGCGCGAGCGCGTTCCGTTGGCGTCACGTGACGCGGGCCTCGGGGGTTTCCCTCCAACCCTGGCTTGTTGTTTTTCGTTCTCTCCGCCCTCTCCCCTCGCACGTGACTTGAGGGAGCGAGGAATTGGATCCGGCGGCGGCGGCAGTTGCAGCAGCAGCGGCGGCGCTTGCGAGAAGGGTTAGCTGCTGAGGCCGCGTCAACGGTTTGAGGTAGCCGGAGGGAAGGCGGAGAGGTGCCGCGAGGCGAGCTTGGAGTCGAAGAAATGGAGGCGCGCCGGTAAGCGTTGCTTTCGAGTAGAGGGCGGGAGAAGGGACAAACCTCCCCAGGCGCTCCAAAGCGCCTCCCTCGTTACCAGGGGCAACGGGGCCTTCCTTTCGCCACCTCGCCGGCTGGGAATAACCGACACCTTTTCTTTGAACCCCCGCCCCCCCCCGCCCGATTAACCCGGACTTGGAGATGAGCTTCGGCCTTCTCCGCTCTTTCTCCCTAATACATAATGCAGGGGAAATGTGCGCGTGGGTGGGCAGCCCTTGCAGAGTGTTGGAAATTGCCATTTGTGCTTCTGCATTTATTTTGGGTGCATGGATCGGTGGGGAAGAGGGGAATTGGATACCGCGAAGCCTGAACGAGGAGGAGGGGGAATCTTTTCATAGCCTCTTACACGCCACACCGGAAAACCCCTAGTGAGTTACATCAGTAGCTACTACCTGGGATGTCTGTAAACAAAACCTCCATGTGCTGGAGCAGTCTACGTCAGCGGTAGATGCTGTGGGTTAATAAAGGTGCAGGCGTGTTGTGGGGGGCGGGAAGGACCAGGGTTCTGCTTTTGTGGCTTCCTGGAGAAGCTTTCTTGACTGCTTTTGGAAATTGGGAGCGTTGGATCAGACCAGCAGTGGAGGGAACTTGTACACCTCCAGATTTTCTTGGCCTCTGCACTCCCATCACCCCTCAAAATTATTGGCCATGTTGCTGTGGCTGGTGGGAGTTGGGCCTCAGATTTCCCCACTTTGGGGGTTAAGTAGATATGTCAAGATAGATCTTGTACCCTTGCTGGTGTCTTTTGGACAACAGCACAATGAGGCTTCCCTATACTGAGACAGTGTACCTCTGAATACTAGGGGCAAGTCCAGAGGATACAGCCAGGCATCTATCTGATCTATCAGTGTGTGAGAATGTTGAAGCAGGTGGACTTTGTTCAGATCCTGCAAGGCAATTAACCTATTTCTGTGTTCCAAATAACTTTGCACTTGCATTAGTTACATTTCCTTAGTGTCCAGAGCATGCCACACATGTTATTTCAATCATTCTTTTAGTCATAAAATGTGAGCTAGTGGTTTTATCTCTGTATTCCAAATTATGAGGTGGTTGTGGTGAAGTTGAAGGGTGGGTTGTTCAAAGGCCACCTTCTAAGTTTATATGATTTAAACTTTGGACTTCCCAGCTTTGCTAAGCAGCACATCATGCCAACTTTTCTACCTAAACTTGAGCTTAGCTTTGCTACAGTGAACCTCACTTAGATAAAGGAGGCGGGTGGGGAGTGACTAAATGCCAGGAAACAATAAAGAAAAATTGGCCTGTTGTTGCCATGGGGACCAGAAGCATTCATTCCATTAACTCTCTGGAAACTGAAATAAGTTTTATAAATAAAGGAATGCTATATGTGAATGTCTGGGCTACTTGGATCTTGCAGACCTAATCCTGTTATTGTGCCATTGCACTGACAGGAAAGTGGATGGGTTTTGTTCTAACACTCAATCTGATGCTGTCAAGACAGAGCAGAACAGAGTGTAGTTCTTAGCATCTATCTGCCTCGAGAGACAATGGAATGTGTCTCCAGGGGTGAAGTCAAACCACTAGAGAGTCACAGCGCTTGCTGTGGCTGCAGAGACTTGTAACTGTTGCCTCCTGCATTGTTTTTGCTGCGTTAGCGGCACTGAAGTAATCTCTCCGGGGTGCCAACCTGGGCAGTGTGTATGGAGGCTTTGGGTTACCCAGACAACAAGAACCCACTCTTGGCCTTGCTGATGTGGTCCAAAGGGAAGCATAGCAATACATTTGGCACCAGCTTGAGCTGTAGGAGTTGCTGGAAAGAGGCATACAAGACAACTGTCTTAGGGACTCCGCTCCGGATTTGTGTAGGGTTTACTCCTTAGCCTTTTCTTCTCCCAAGGATTTCCCACAAGACAGCGGGTACAGATTTTTCCTTGGGGTTTACTCACAAAGCAACGGGTGGGGGAGTCATTTGAATGTGTAAGAGACTTTTGTAGCAGGTGCCCCCAAGGACATGACTCACACAAATGTATTCTCCAAAGCATGTTGTTTGTGTGCATCTCACTTTCTGTGTCATGGGGAAACAAAGTACTATGTTACTGCTGTATATTGAACAGTCAGTCGTTCAGCGGTGACATCTCCAGTTGAAGATATTTTATTTGGGGACTGTTCCTCATCCAAGCTGCCGCAATTGGCTTTTTCTCTCATCACTATTTAGAGGACTTTCTGTCTGCCAGTTTTCACTCTAGAGAGTGGATCATCTAATACTTTGTGTAATAATTTTGCTGATTATCTTCTATTGGCATAAAACATTTGCATCCACAATCTGTCAGAGCCCAAACCATGTCTATTGGTTACTGCCAATCCCAAAAAAATAAGAGTTGCTTTGTTGGGTTAAGAACAAATGCTTATGCTTAGCACTCTGTTCCCAAATGTGCCCCGATGAGTGCTCAGAGAGGGTGTAATAGTGACTAAGCTTTTATTGGTTGGTCTCTGCCAACTGGTAAGGACAAGCATGCTTTTTCTGAACACGGAGCTTCCATTTCTGCCTGTTATGGCTAATATTTTTGGGCATGCATGTTCTCTATGAGTTTAATGCTTTTCTGAAATCATTTGTTTAGTAGCAATTACTACATTTCATGACATCCAACTGTGTAATTGAGTTTTGTGTGGAAGAATTATTTGCTTGGACATTCAGAGATCTCATCCAGTTACAGCAGGAGTGGGGAACATTTGGACCTCCAGATGTTGCTGAACTACAGCTCCTATCAGCCCTGGCCATTGGTCATACATGCTAGGGCTGATGGCACTTGTAGTTCAGCAGCATCTGGAGGGCTAGAGTATCCCTACCTGAGTTAAAGGGTACAGTCATTATTCAGTACAGCACCAGACCTGCCAGACAGGCCTCATTTGAAACATAGCCCATGGAGGAACAAAAATTGTGTGTTCACCTGTGCTGTTTTTTGTGGCTGGAATTTTCTGATTTTGTCTTTTAGGTAGAAATATGAAGATACGTCTTTGGAAAGAAGTTTCAGAGTGTTATCTACATGCCACGGATCTGGAGTCGTTTGGGTCTGAATGCTAGCAGATCGGCATTTGTATTCAGCAGAAGGCTGGAGCATATGTGTTCAGTGTTTTTTGCATTATGTCAGTTCCCAGTGAGGGAAATTCTCTGATGTGGAGTAACATAGCCCAGACTGACCTTTCCGGCCAATGTCACAATGAAACTGATTCCATAAAAGTTGCTCTGTTCAGAAAGTTCTTTCTTTCTTTCCTTCACGTTTGGCTTGAAGCAGAGTTGTGCTGCATAAACTTCAAGGGCCACATGCTAACCTGCAGTGGTGTGGCTATGGGATGATGATTCTTCTCCTCTTATGAAAGCAGAGATTGTTGCGTTGTTTTTCTTAAAACGCAGGAATCTAGCATATCTATTAATTTCTGCATTTGGCATCCATCTGTGTGTGTGTGTGTTTTCCAGTGGTGATGCCCTCATGTATATACTAGTCCAGACTTTGGCCTAGACTGTTGGAAACCATGCCATGATAGCAACTACAACGTAAGTCTAGCCATGACGGAACCCCACAGGGTCCAGCTCACCTCTCTGTCTGGTCCACTGAGCACCACTTTACTGAAAAAGCCTCGCCGGGAGGACATCACAGGAACAGAGCACCCCCCGGAATCTGAACCTGCGGCTGCAGCAGTTCGCATTGCCCTCACCCTTTTTGAGCCAGATCACAAGCGCTGTCCAGAGTTCTTTTATCCAGAGCTGCTGAAGAATACACGAGGGAAAGGGAAAAGCAGTTCCACGGGAGAAAAGGTATGTTGCACATTCTTTAGCTGTGCATTTCAAAACCCCCACAACAAAGCTTTGAGATCTCTTGAGAATGGTGGACACTTGGCTTGACAGCAGTATATGTAAAAAAAATCTAGGGGTCTTAGTAGACCTCAAGCCTTAACATGGGTAAAGAGTGTGATGCAGCAGCAAAAAAAATTAATACACTTCTAAGGTGCATCAACAGAAGTATAGTGTCCAGATCAAGGGAAGTAATAGTGCCACTGTATTCTGCCTTGTCAGACCCCACCTGGAGCACTGTGACCATCCATCCATCTTTTTATTTGTATTCCAAATTTCCATAGCCATAACCATGCTCAAGGCGGCTTACAACATGGGGGGAATCAAAATTGCAAATGTAACAAGGCTAGCTATGAAGAAGCAAACTGTCAAAAAGTACACAACCAAACTAAACAATTTCCACATAATAAAATCTAAAAGAAAGATATGAAAGATTAATATCAATAATGGCAACCCCCCTCCACCACAAACAATACCCCAGCCCAGTTCTGAGCACCACAGTTTAAGAAATATATTTACAAGCTGGAATGTGTGTGGAGGAGGGCAACCAAGATGATCAGGGGTCTGGAAACAAAGCCTTATGAGGAACAGTTGAGGGAGTTAGGTATGTTTAGCCTGTAGAAGAGAAGACTGAGGGGTTATGGCGGCCATCTTCAAGTGTCCTTCCTTGGAGGTTTTTTAAACAGGTTGGATGGGCATATCTTACTGGGAAGATAACAGAAAATCTATAAGATATTGATGGATTTAATTATTAAGCAAATCAAATGAGATGGGAATATAATTAATCAAATAAGATGGGAAGGAGAACTGGGATGACTTATTTTAGAGAAGCAAGGGAATAAGATTTGTAGTTAGGTGCATAGTTCTTCACTAAGTTTATCAAGTACAAAGGCACAATATAAGTCATTGTTGAGATGGTATTTGACACCTGCAAGACTCAGTAGGATATATTCAGTAAATCAATTTAAATGCTGGAAACATACAGTGTGGAATGCACATTTGTTGCCTATGTGGTGGGCTTGCCTGAGCGCAGCTATCACTGACATAATAGGGACTATATTGAGGCCCACTCCAATGCTGGTTTTATTCAGTGTAATTTAAGATGAGATGGGGAATAGATTGAAACTATTGTTTATGTATTCTGTTGATAGCAGACAATATACTGTGGGCTAGAAAATGGAAGAATCAAGAAGCTCTCTTTGAGTGGGATTGGTTAATAACATGTCTGGAATTGGCAGACATTTGTTTAAAAGAGGGAAGGCAGTTTTGTAGAAGGTTGATTTCTCTGGAAGAATAAGCTTTTTACTTGAATTTTGAAACACAAAATATGGATATAGTAAGGCTTTGTCAAGGATGGCTGATGCTAATATTTGAGCTGGGACTAAAACTTGAATCTCTATGGTCTTCAGATACATTCTTGCTGCTAAACAACACTGAAAAGTTTGTTTACAATTATCATTTTTTGGGCACATACTTGACAAATTTCTTTCCCGTGTGGCTGCTGGGTGTGGTTTTTTGTGTGTGATTGTGTGTTTTTAGTCTTTTAGACTGGAAGCCCAAGGGCAAGCTCTCCTGGTTTTGTCAATGCGATCTCCTACAAGCATGAACCAAGTCCCCACCTTTGCAACACACCGCGTCTACAAGCATGAATCTCCACTGGATATTCCAGACTCTCTCTTGGCCCTTAGATAAAAGAGGCATCTCTGTGAAACAGTGTGATAACTGATTCAATTCTGATGTTGTTCACCTCCCTTTTTGCTTCCCCGCTACAGAAAAAAGACCTTGCCGATCCCTTCAATGATGAGGAAAAGGAGAGGCATAAAGCAGAGGCGCTTGCCAGGAAGCTTGAAGAGAAATATGTACGTTTCTTCATTGTGGCTATGTACCAGAATGAAGTCTTGGTTTTAGCTTTCTTCATAGAAATGTTGTCTTTAACACCAGGGTGATTCTTGTGTTTATATTCATGTTAGGAGTGTGTATACAACTAAGAACTGCTATGGTAATTACTATGGGCTGGTGCCTGATAAAGTGATGTGTGCAGCACCAGTATTCAGGGAATATGAATATTTACATCTCTCCCTTCCTTCAAAAAGCTCATGGCTGTGTGCATGGTTCTCCCCTATCCATTTTATCTTCACAACAATCCTACTGGGTAGGCTGAGATAAGGAATAATGACTAGTGGAAAGTTACCTAGTGATCTTCAGGCTGGTTTGTTTGGGCTGTGGGATATGGGAATTCAGGTCCAGGCTTCCACATCTGCCCCTGCCACCAGCAGGAGGTTCTGCAGGTGACAGGTTTAGCAATGGAAGTGTATTTGATCCATTGGACCAAAGAGCTTCTATGAATGGTTGCAATTGGGGGGGAGGGGGACCAAGAAGAAGAAGAGGAGGAAGAAGAGTTTGGATTTGATATCCCGCTTTATCACTACCCTAGGGAGTCTCAAAGTGGCTAACATTCTCCTTTCCCTTCCTCCCCCGCAACAAACACTCTGTGAGGTGAGTGGGGCTGAGAGACTTCAAAGAAGTGTGACTAGCCCAAGGTCACCCAGCAGCTGCATGTGGAGGAGCGGGGAAGCGGACTCTGCTCCCCAGATTACGAGACTACCGCTCTTAACTACTACACCATACTGGCTCAAATACACAATGGAAGTGTATTTAATCCATTGGACCAAAGAGCTTCTATGAATGGTTGCAATTGGGGGGGGGGACCAATGGCTAAAATGTTTTTATTTGGAATAAAGTTAAATTGATATTTTAATCTACACCTTGACAATACCTGATGGATGTTTATTTTTATATGTTTTATTACAAGTACTGTGTATGTGTGTTTTAAATTCTATTTCCCCTCTCTGATTATTTATATGGGGTTATTGGATTGTTCTTGTTTTTATTTTGATTATGTATTTTGTGTTTTTATGTTGTGATTTTAGCCTGTGAACCGCCCTGAAACCTGTGGGTATAGGGCAGTATGTAAATTTAAATAATAATAATAGCTTGCCTTCTTTGGGGCCATAAGGGGTAACCATCAGCCTTTCTTGTTTCAGGGTGGAAAGAAGCGCAGGAAAGATCGTGTCCAGGACCTGATAGATATGGGATATGGATACGATGAATCCGATTCTTTCATTGATAATTCTGAAGCAGTGAGTAGCAGTGGAGGGCTCTGGTTCCCAACAATAAAGCAGGTGATGAAGCTGTCTGCCCTAGCAGCAGTGGGTGCTCCAGGTAGGGTGAACATCCAGGCCACATCTGCACAGAGACCTGGTTTGGAGGCTGTGTTTCCGGGTTCCAGAGCTATGTTGTTTTTCCAGCCTGCACAGAGGCCCATAGCAGGCATTTGAGCCATTCCCTCAGTCATGTCCCTCTGCCACAAAGGCCAAAACTATTGCTTGTTACTGTCTAGAGCAGGCATAGGCAGATTTCAGGCTTGTTGAACCTTTTTTTAAAAAAACTAGAATTCTGACATCCACCAACTAGAGCTAAGACTTTGGGTTGTAGCCAATGTTGGTCATACTCAGAGTAGACACATTAACATTAACAGACATGACTAAATTAGGTTTTTTAATTTCAATGGGTCTACTCTTGCTTAGATGTCAGAATTAAGAAATAGACTTCTTTTGACCAGGAACTTGTTTTCAGTAGCAGAGTAGGTCATTCCTTACATCAGGCATGGCCAAACTTGGCCCTCCAGCTGTTTTGGGACTACAACTCCCATCATCTCTAGCTAACAGGACCAGTGGTCAGGGATGATGGGAATTGTAGTCCCAAAACAGCTGGAGAGCCAAGTTTGGCCATGCCTGCCTTACATGCACATATTCACTTCTGGTTTTCCTTCAGACTTTCTTGATTTCAGTGACCTAATTGGGAGACGGATTGGTAGAGCATAATCTTTCCATGCAGAGTGTCCCAACTTCAGTCCCCCTTCCATCTCCAGGTAGGGCTGGTAGTGTTCTCTTGTCTGACAGTAAGAGCTGTTTGACAGTGGAACAGTCTCCCTGAAATGTGGGTGTGGACTCTCCTTCCTTGGAGGTTTTTAAGCAGAGTTTAGACAGCCATCTGTCAGGGTTGCCTTAGCTGAGATTCCTGCATTGCAGGGGGTTGAACTAGATGACCTTTGGGGTATCTTCCAACTGATTCTGTGAAAGCCTGGATAAGCGCTACCAGTCAGTGTAGATGATACTGACCTCGATGGGCCAGTGAAATGACTTGGTGTAAGGCAGCATCTTATCTTCCTGTGATTTCTAGGTCATCTTCAGGTTCATTCTCCTGCATGTGCCTTTTACTCTGTAGACTCTTTGGGTCTTAAATATTGCAATTGCATGGGGAAATAAATTAAACAATTCACAGTATTAAACAGTTGCCATTTGGAACCCCTCCCCAACCTACTTCAAATTGCCCAATGATTGGTTGATCTTCCCGTCCTTGTTCTAGAGGACCCTAGGACCTGGGTGCATGCTTAGAGCTTTTTTCCCTTTCTTTTCTTCCTAGAAGACTGGATTTTAGCATACATGCCTGAAGGGGGGGAAAGGGTTTGGGAGTGGGAGCTGTTGCACCCAAAACAAAACAGGGAAAATCAGGGCACAAAGCTAGGCATTATAGTCAGGGCAGTTAATAAAGATGAGGGAAGAGAAGTAAAGCTGTTGCCAAAATGTATTTCTGTACAAAATAATGCAGCTGTAAGAATCTGGTGTTTTTGCATGTCCAAAGTGACTTCAAGGCCAATTCACTGGAAAAATGAGCATGGTTTCATTGGGGTTCTTTCACATGTACACCCATCGGTTCTACAAGAATGCTGACTGATCTCTCCTCTTTGCCCCCAGTACGATGAGCTCGTTCCAGCATCTCTAACAACCAAGTATGGAGGCTTTTACATCAACTCTGGAACTCTACAGTTCCGGCAGGCTTCGGAGTCGGAGGATGACTTTATCAAAGAGAAAAAGAAGAAATCACCTAAGGTCTGGGAATAAGACGCTCTGGGTGCTTTCTTTTTTAAATAGAGCCTTCAATAAAGTATGGTTTTTGTTGGCTGACAAAATGTGACTGCAGACGAAGGGGTCAGTGGGTGGATGTAATATTTTGTTACCTGAAAGAAGCTCAAAGGCTGAAATTATGTGTGTACTTACTTACCCGAAGCAAAGCAGAAAATATAAAAATAGTAGTTCAGCATAGAGGACATAAAGACCTTCAGTGCACTTTTGACAAGTCAGGAAGTAGATGGTTTATAATTTACTCTGCTTGCAGTTCATACTGTAAGCAGCACAGAGTGATCCCTTTAATGGAAGGTTATAGTGACTGAGGTCACCTCATAGCTAGTAGGCTTTCCCTCCCTTTAAAAAGAAATGAAAGTGCTACCTGTGGTTTATAGTTCATGGGTAGGAGGAAATCAATGGACTTACATTAGTCACGTCCATTAATTTGTTCAGAGTGTTTCTCTGGGTTCCATCTGCAATGTACATTTAAAGCAATATACCACTTTAAATAGTCATGGCTTCCCCCAAAGTATCATGGGAATTGTTGTTTGTTACGGGTGCTGAGAGAGCTACAGTTCCCAGAGTGGTTTAACAATCAATCCCTCTTTTCAGAGAACTTCGTGAATTAAAGCTCTGGAATGGGAATAGTGTTCTCCAAATCGCTTTCAGCATCCTTAACAGTTCATAGGATGTCTTGTGAGAAGCCATGGCTGTTTAAAGTCGTAGTGCTTTAAATGTATAGTGCAGATGGGGCCTTAGTTGGATCCAACTCACTAATTTCATTCTGTGGGTGACTTCATTGAATCTGGTGGCTGAAAGAGATGAGAAATCTTCTCTTGGTCTTTGCATGACTCTAAGCTGCTGTTCTAGTAGTAGGGGCTGCCTGAGAAAGTGTTTTGCAGCCCTCTTTGGGCTTCGAGACGATCCTTAACAACCTTATATCTTCCTTGCCCTTAGAGATGCTTCATCTTTTCCTTTTACCATCATGGAGAGTTAATCACTTGTTAGCAAGCGTGTTCATGAATGACTACATGCCTGAGTGGCACCTTTCTCTCTTTTCATAAAGGTGCTGCTCAGGCATGTAAATCCATCCATGAACACTCTTGCTAACAAGTGATTAAATCACTTAGTGTCTTCTTAGTACTACGTAATGACAATTGTTAAAATTATTTAATCCCCAGAAACGAAAATTAAAAGAAGGAGGTGAGAAGATGAAGAAAAAGAAGAAAGATGATTCTTATGAGAAAGAAAAGAAATCTAAAAAATCGAAGTTTCCCAAAACTGGGTAAGTCAGCTATTTGTATCAAAGTGCTTTTTTTAATAGACGGGTATCATCTTTCTCCTAGATGGAACTTCTTTTGTGGATTTAAAAAAGGGAAACTCTAGAAAAACAATTTTAAGCCTTGGAGTGTGATATCTAAATTAGGCTCAAATCCTTCTTTTTGCCACCAATTTTCCAGATTTGTGTTAATCAAATCTCTGTCATAAACAAACCAGGAAGGTTGTGAGGGTGAGCAAGATAAGGATTATGAATTATTTTGCATGATGCAGAAATAAATGCTATAGATGATTTTAAAAATGAGTTGGCAAGAATTTATTTTGATACAGAGCTTGTTCAGATGACCCAGCAGCGAAAAGGGGTCAAATGGTCATAATTTCCTTTGTGATAGAACAGTAAAATGAATAATGATTCTAGAAGAAATGACTCTTAAGTTATTGACTTCCACAAATACGCGTACGTTCACGCAAATAACTTTATTTCACCTGTCCTCTAAAATAGCACAAAAAAATCTTCCTCTTACCAATTTGCAGTTAGGACAGAATGTGTCACCTTATATAAGCTGCACTGCCTCAAGCATTGCTGAAGGTTGGAGAGTTTATATGATTTACTCACAGGCTGAAAGTCTGTCTGCATTTCCCTGCAAGTTCCATGGAACATAGTGTGACATCTGAAATAACACGTTTAGGATTCTACCATAACAATCAAATTAAAGTTCAGTGCTTGGGCACTGTTAGGTTGTAGGTGCTCAAATGGCTGGACATCTTACTTCCCTCATATGTACCATGTTTCCTTTATAGTTTCACAGCCCTGAATGCAAGCAAGGAGAAGAAGAAGAAGAAATACTCTGGAGCCCCGAGTTACAAGGAAATGCTGAAGAAGTTTCAAAAGGAAAAGGAAGCTCAGAAGAAGCAAGACGACGAGCCAAAGCTTATTGTCCCTTCTCTGGCTGAAACTCCAACACCACGGGAAGTGGAAAGCCTGCCCGATCCGCTCCTCTCTTTCTTTGGCCACAGCAGTGACAATGAGCTCCTTCAAGCTGCATCAGCCATGGACTCCCTGACTGATCTTGATCTAGAACAGCTGTTCAATGAATCTCCAGAAGAAAGCCCTTTCCATGACATGGAAGATGGGAGTGACCCCCTTGGGATGGGTCTAGAGCAGGACATCAAGCAGCCTCTCTCCCTCCCTGAAGGACTTCCAGGATCACTGGAGAAGCGCATTGAGGAACTGACACAGGTAACAGCAAATCATACCGGATGTGGCAAGTGATGTCTCTTGCAGGGTAGACAATAGGTACAGTTCTTCATGCTAGGAAGCAGCCTTAGGCAGAGTCAAGAACGCTGGTCCATCTAGCCCAGTCTTGTCTTCACTTCCTGGCCGTGGCTTTTCAGAGTTTTAGGCAGGGGTTTTTCTTTACTTGGGGCTGCCAGGGATGGAAACTGACCTTTTGCATTCAAAGCATGTGATCTCCCCTATAGTTGCTGCTTGCTTCCATGTTTTGAAGAGGTTCTTTATGGAAAGTCAGTTTGAAATATGGTGCACCCAGGACAGCAGTCGAGGACAGAAGGCCGTCAGATTCTTGCTGTGGTCTGATGTGAGGTGGCATTATTCAGAGAAGTTGGGTTGTTAATGAGTGGCAACAGCCAAGCTGGCATTCCTAGAGCCCAACTGAGCTGGGTGCTTAGGCAGTTGTGAGGTGTGTGTTCACATAGTGCCGTTCTGAGTTACTTATTGCATAGGTTTGTGGAATAAGTGGTTGTACTGCTACACCTGTGGACTCTGGAGTAAAGTTTGAGGTTTAGGTGGAGAGAATCTTTGTATTATGGTTTCAATCTATAGCAGAGCTACCTCTGTTCTAGATTAACTATGCATGTCTTAGAAGGTTAAGGCACCTGATTCCAGTAATGAGATGTGGAATGATTTCCATAACATTTTTTCCTTAGAAAAAATCCTTAAAATGCATATTTGCATCAAAAATACCTTAAGACCCAACTGTACCCAAAAAACGTAATAATGAATGGCTACATTGCCAATCTAATTGTGCAGTTTCAAAGTTATAATTAACTTTTTTCATATTGACTAAGAAGCATATAGTAAAAAAAATTTCTCTAACGCACGTACCCATTATATTGATTTGTGACTGGGAGTTGTTCGGGATGTGCATAAAATTAGAACCAAACGTATGCATATTCCAAGCAGTTTAGCACATGGAAAAATTTTATAGTAAAATTGTATCCTTCCCCATTTTTCCTCCAAGAATGCAAAGGGCTTTTTGAGAAAAGGCACCTTTTGAAATTGTATTCCTCATTGAACCTGTTGCCTGAAAGGATGTTTGAGTCTGGAGTATCACATTACAATAAAATCTAGATAATCAATTAAATGCAGATGTTGAAACACAAATGGCAAAAAGGCAACCCAAGCAGAAGGATTCCATGCTGCTTCTGAAGATGTCCAGACTTTGGGGAACCTTCCAGAGCAGATTGGGGCTCAGGGGGTAGAGGTTAGGAGAAGGGGGAAGCTCCATTGCATTTGCTGGCATGACATTGAATCTCTCCCTCAGATTTTGGCCATGTTGTAGAAGTGAATCTAGGCTTCCAGAACTGCTGGGGGAAAGTTCCAATGGAGGAATCAATTCTGACTCATTTCAGTGTTAATATCGCTGCAGCTTTCTACAGCTTTGGACATTAATTTGGTTAGGAGTAATTGAATCACCTTTCCTATGAGGAAATGCTATGGGACTGTGACTTCTGTAGAATATACTGACTTCCTCCCCCCCCTTTCCCCTACACCCCCCCTGCCCCCGGGTTGACCCTTTTCCTGCATCTCTGGTTATTAACTATTCTGTGTTGGTCTTTTTGTGAACTCCAGGCTGCCAGGGTGGCTGAAGGAGAAGGCAAACACAAGTTCTTCAACCAAGAAATGAATAGCATATTGTTGGAGTAAGTCACTTTCCCAAATGTACCATCCGAACCCTGTGAGCTCAGAGAATGAAAGTGAGAATGGTGTTTGCATAAGGCAGATGTAGGCAGAAGGTACTAGTAGTTCTCTGGGTGCTTTCCAGTAGATTAAAAAGGGTTACGGTCTTCCAGCCATCAGCAATAGCAGCAACAATACAACTTCTTTGCTGCTGAAATCTGGCTGCCGAAATGAAAAACCCTTGGGGCATAACCAGGAATGGTCATGGCAAGGGCCAGGGGTGTTTTGCCTCATCTAGGGCACATCTAATGGGGGCCCGTTTGTGCCAATTCAAGGTGCTGGGTCTTAAGCTTCCAAAGCTCTGCTTGACCTCAAATACTTGAGAGAACTATATCTACCATAGGTTTCGCTCCACGTGTTCAGTCCTAATAGTGCAAGAGACTGCTATATAAAAATGAGTGGCAACAACCAAGGAAATCTGCCCATAGTCCTTGGAAACTCTTGTTCAGATTAGCTTTTGACTTCTACATAATACGTCTTTTAGACTTTGCCATTACTGTTTGCCACTAATTTCCCCCCCTTGTTAATATAATTTTTACATATCAGTTATCATTCATACAAAGAAACTTCACATCTTATACAATCTTTTTGGACTTCCATCAGCCCCTCTGATGGTCTTCCGTTCTTATCACTTATTCTGCATTTATTAAATTCCTATTGCCTTTAATTATCTTAACTAACAGTCCCCCTCGTTACCTTTTTTTTTTTTTTTTGCAATATTCAAATAGTCCAGCTTACAAAACTTCTTGCAAACATACAAGTGTAATATGATCATCACAATTACTGTCCAAATAGTCCGTAAATTTATGTCAGTCTTCTGTGAATCTCTGGTCCCGCAGATTTCGAATTCTTCCTGTTAATTTATCTAATTCTGCATAGTCCATCAGTTTCATCCTCCATTCTTCTTTTGTCGGTAATTCTTCTTGTTTCCAATTTTGTGCCAATAATATTCTGATTCCCGCCCCCCTTGTTATTCTTGTTTCATTTGTTTTTAACCTTTAACTTTTTTTATTTAGATTTTAAATTGAAGCTTTTTTAAAGGGCCTTTGCAGTATTTTACTTTACCATGTTTTGCTTGGGCTCCCTTACTCTGCTGTCAAAGGGAGGCATTTGGATCAGAGCTAAATAGTTTTGCCTTTTTCTGCCCTCAGTATAGAGCTGCAAACTCGGGAGTTGAACAGCCAGGTCCGCTCAGGGGTGTATGCTCACCTGGCCTCCTTCCTGCCTTGCAACAAAGACACCCTGCTCAAACGTGCCCGCCGGCTTTACGCCTATGAACAGGTGAGTGGTCACGTAAATGCAGTGCTACTAGTCAGTGTTAGGTAATTCCCTCCTGAGGCCCCTGAGTGGCGGATGGGTTCAGAGGCAAAAGTGGGTGGACCAATAAATGTCTTAACTTTGTACCCTAAGGCAGTTTTGTCTCACACATCAGTTGTCAAGCCAAACAAGCAAGAAGCATAATCAGAGTTCAAGGACATCCTCGTCAGGTAAAAACAAGGAGGGTGTGTGGCCTAGGGAGAGTCCCAAGAGACAGATGGGTTGTATTTGGCACTCAGGCCCTTGGTGTAAGTGATAGCGGTGTCAGCCATAGAAAGAAATGTCATAAACTGGATTTGTGAACATCTCTTTTTGGGCTCAGTGGCTGCTCATGGAGAAGGGAATGTGTGTCTCTGAATTTCGATGCCATCGCCATTTCTAATAAGGGATAAAAGGTTTCCACATGAGGGCTGGTCTAGATTTCCCTTTCTTTAACCTTGCAAAAAACAAGTTCTTGGTGATGAAAAGGGAATTTTATTTATTAAAATCTTTTTTATACCTCTTTTCCAAATAGCCCAAAGTAATTCCTAACACATGAAAGAATAGAGCCATACAAAACCCACTATAAATTTCACAAAATCAAAGAGCTACAGGTTAAAACAGGAGATGACCCAGGCCAGCCAAATGCCCATCAGAAGAGAAGGGCCTTGCCACTCCACTGGAAATGTGATGAGGTAGCTTTCCAGTCTTCTTTAGAATGTAGTTTCTATAATTTTGAAGCCATGTCTGAAAATATTTGGCTCCTACCTCTTGCTGTCTGAACCAGCTCTAAATATTATTATTATTATTCATTTCATTTCTATACCGCTTTATATTTTTAAGGAAAAAATCTCCAAGCAGTTTTCATTAAAATGTCAAATAAAAGAATCCAGAAGAAAACATTATAGAAGAAAGTCAAATATAAAGTATAACATTCAAAGCAACATAATTAACAGGAAGTTAAATATGAAAGATGGATGGTAAGCAAACTGCATCTGAAGTCTAGACTTCATTTAGTGGTTAGGCTTAGATGAGTAAGTGAGGGGTGTGCAAAAGGAGTGCTTTCCTCTCACAAACAATCTCACTGCCTATATGGGCACAACTTAGCATGAATACTGGGTCAGAGTCCTTAACTCTTTGTTTTTCTGCAGGGAGGGCGGATGAAGGACCCTCTTCAGAAACTCAAGGAAGCCATTGGCAGGGCAATGCCAGAGCAGATGGCCAAATACCAGGAAGAGTGCCAAGCGCACACCCAGGCCAAGTTTGCGAAGTGCGTTTTCAACTTGTTTTTTGTTTTAGTCCCTGCATTCCACTCTGTGTACACCCAAAGCTTATATTAGTGGGGCGGGGGCATATGTTAGAAGTGGATCCAATTACCATTCTGCACTTCAGTGTCCCTCTTCTCTTCTCCTCTCAGGATGTTAGAAGAGGAAAAGGACAAGGACCAGAGAGAACGGGTTTGTTCAGATGACGAGGAAGATGACGATAAAGGAGGAAGGCGGATCATGGGACCTCGGAAGAAGTTTCAGTGGATTGATGAAATCAGGTTGGCAAAGTCAGAGGGGACAAGACTGGGTTTTAGAGCCTTGTTCCCTGGCTTCAGGGAAAATACACCTGTATTTGCCTTTCTGGGCATTACAGCTTTATTTGTTGCCGAGTTGGTTCAAAGGTATGGGGGCTGCAGTTTTCACCTAGGTCTTGGTGTGTTTTGAATTTAAGACCCAGGGTGGGGTATCTGGTATGAAGATGTCACCTGGCTTCAGCATTTTGGCCTTGGCGTTCATCTTGAATTTGAAGCCCAAGATTGCTGCTAGATTTAGGACAGATCTGTTGTCTGGTTCATAGTGGTGTATACACTATAGTCCAAATACAAGGGCTGAACTTATTAAGGCTGTGCTTAAAATAACCTTCCCAAACTGAATCAATTGAGGGCAGTCTACACGTGGGGTTGGGGGACAGGGGGCAAAGAGTATGGTCTGGGTAACCTAGGTAAACTTCCTCCTCTAGGGATTTGCTCTGTCAGGCGGTGAAAATCAAGCTGGACGGGTATGACCGTGAAAAGAACAAGGCTCAGTCAATGGAGGATTATGTGAAGACTTTCCTGGATGCAGAAGTCAAGCCACTTTGGCCAAAGGGCTGGATGCAGTCCAGGTGAGAGGGAACAAGGCTGACTAATCACTGTGTGCTATAATTTAGACATAGCAGAGGCATCCCCAACATCCGAAAGGTACTCTAGGCCCCATCTCTGACCCTATTGGCAATGCTGGCTCTGTCCCACAACATCCTGAGGGACACAGGTTCCTCAACCCTGCTTTCAATGTAGAGAAGGCAAGCCCACAATAATGGTCACTTTGAATGTCAGGAAATGGCAGTTCAGCCATTTTATTGATACCTGTAGTTAGGGCTGTGCAATAAATTGCCATACCCTTGAATACCGGTATTGACATAACATTGTGATAGTGTTTCAACAAGGCAATATACCCATGAACGAAAGGTTGAAACTTGACAGCTTATGAGGAGGTAGCACAGCCGAACAGATACTTTACATATACTTTGCAGGCTTTGTTTGCTCTCTCCCCTCCTATAAGCCCTCACACAAACTCGGAAACTCTTTCAGCTTCACTGGTATGTTTCTTGCTACTTTCCTCAGTGAGAAGGTAGTCACATCTCTCCTTGCTTTGTTGTCCCTCCCCTCTCTGAGAAATAAGGATAGAAGCCCTTAGCTGCAGCCAGTTTTAATCCCTAGCAAGCACACAAACCAACTCTTTCAGCAGAACTTCCTGCTCTCAAAAGTCTGAGCTCAGCTAATTATGCAGAGCCAGCTAACAATCCAGGAGCAACTCCCCTGGCTAGGCTATCAAAGATCCAGGGGAAAAGTAAACAGGGAATGTAAACAAAGAACTGGAGAGCACTTCTTCCTTTCTTCCCTCCCACTCACCCACCCTCACTGGTGGAAAAAAGGGGAGGAAGTGTGTTTGTTTCCTCCCTAAATAGCTTTCCTCTATATTAAAAAGGAAGGTTTATTTATTTATTTATTTAAAGGAGACCATGTCTTTGCTTGCTTGCCCTCCCTCCCTCCCTTTGATACGAAGGGAGAGATTGATGGGGTGAGGGCTTTTGCAGGGGGTGGGAGGCTTCTCTGTCGGGGAAATGGAGAGAAGATTTAACTGGTTGCCTTCTGCTGAAATGGGAGGTTGGCTATTGTGTGAGAATGGTGCGGAGGGTGTTTGTCGGTAAGCAGTGCAAGCAAATGTGTATCTACTCACAAGCAAGCCCTACTGACTTCAGTGGGGCTTACTCCCAGGAAAGTTGAAGTTTAGCTGAACTCAGTGGGGCTTATGCATGCATAGATTCCGCTTAGACCTCTGAGTGGGGAAGCAGATGCAACTTTACTAGTAAATCACTTGAACTATTTTTAATTTAGTTGAAAATATAGTATATGGAAGTCATTTTTATTAAATCTACTACTTCCTTACATTGTAAACCACCATGGGGAGACGCAGCAAGGCCCCCCACCACTGTCGGGAGGTGCGGCAAAGCTCTCTGCCGCCCCAGGGAAGCGCAGCACATCATCCTCTGTGATGGGGCCCTCCACCACTGTGGGGATTCCTGGTCAGGCCCTCTGCCTGCAGATAGGTGCAGTGAGGACCTCCTCCATCGTGGGGATTCCCAGTGAAGCCCTTGTCTTCCTTGGGGAGGCGCAGCAGGGCCATTCTCCCCCGCGGGGCAGTCCTCAGCCGCCATGGATATGTATCATGTTATATTGAGACATCATGATGTCTATTTGGTGATCTATTATGATATTGAAAACCAGATATCACCCAGCCCTACCTGTAGTGTGAGTGTCAGTGGCATGACTGCGAGTAGAGCTTCTCCTGCCACATGGGCCAGGCAGCTGCATATGATGAAAGGAGACCTGCAAAAGAGGTTGCTTCAGATGTTTAACAGTCAAAGCAATTTTAGAAGTCTAAAGGGGTCTTCAGAAGGACAATATGCAGGGTTGCAACATGATTGCTGATGGCTCACTTGCTGCTGAAGTTGGTCGTCGTCTTCTTTGATTTACATACATGGTTTCTAACCCACAGCAAGTGCTGTCTGCATGTTTTTGTGTAACCTTTCTTTACAACAGTGGGGTCTAGAAACTTCCTTTTAAGAACAGAAAGTTTCTGTTCTCGGAATTCTGCTAGAGGCACTAGGATCTTAAGCTTGAAGGGCTCATTTCTGCTGCTTGGAGATTGATCCCCAATAGATCTGGCTCACCTTCCTCTCTCCTTTTTCAGGACCCTCTTTAAAGAAAGCAGGCGAGTGCATGGTCACCTTACATCAATTCCGTGAGTATCTGTCCGTGCTTGCAGCACAGGAAATCTGCCCTGTGCTCCTGCTGTTTAGTCCTTGGTCACGTTTTGTCACTCAGATGGCAACTGTGCACGTGGATATCCTCCAGCATGGACAAACATGAACTTCTGCAGGGCCTTCTGCCTTATTGCTGTTTTTTATTGGTGGATCAGGCATGAGAAATGGTGGAATAGCACTGCCAGCACATCTTCAGTGGAATAGCAATGCTGGCAAAATCAGATAAAGTTTGAAGGAACAATCTGGGATCAGTATGTGCTATACTGCACAGCAGCAGGCATCCTTGGCGAATGTACATGTGAAGCTGCCTTGTGCAGAGTCAGGTCACTGACCCACATGGCCTAGTACTGTCTGCTCTGACTGGCAGCAGCTTTCCCACTGTTTCCCTCCCCCCCCCCCCCCCCCCCGCTATGTGAGATGCTTTTAACTGGAGATCCCACAACTTAAAGGTGGGACCTGGCACATGCCAACCAGGTCCTCTGCCACAGAACAACAGCTCATCTTTATATGTGTCTGCACCACAAAAACACACAGCACTCCCCAAGGTTGTTCACCATTTGAGCACATGTATCAGTTGTAACTGGTCCCCAGGGATTGTCGTAGGCACTAGAAGGCTTAAGGTTCTCTAGCCAGGCTCCCCTGGCAGGTTACATCATGCTGACCTGGAAGTAAGATAATCTCTTCTCTTACTTGTGTTTCCCTATAGAACAAAGAAGAAAGTCATGGCACCTCCAAAGGTGAAAGGAAAGGTGAGCAGTTACACCTGGGCTCCTATTAGCACTCATCCCTGATTGCGTCTTCTTGGGACATATGAGAATATGGGGAAGATACAGTTGCTTCTTGTGTACTTTGAAACAGCTCTCCAGGACCCACTCCTATGAGTTGTGCCCTGTGTTTACATGGTGCTTTTCCAGATTTGATTGTCAAAGCAATGTAAGCCCAGCTAGTTCCCTGCTATGATGGCCTTGGAGTCTAACATTAGACTTTAAGCATGTGTGTTTGGCAGGGGTAGAGGCAGACAACTAAGAAGAGTGAGGCCAAGGTCCAAGTGAACAAGATGAGTGTAAGCCAATGTAGTTACAGGATGCTTAGGTACTGGCTTTGAGGGTTTTGAGCCAAAAACTTCATGGAAAAGAGGTATAGCAAATTGGTATCCTTTCTGGATTAATTGCCTTCAAGTAGGCTTTGTCCTGATAGAAGAACTGAAGTAGTCTCTACAGCATTCAGCACTACAACTGGAGGAAGTATCACGTTCTAGGAAAATGCATGTCTAGCAGCATCCAAAGCTCTCTCCAGATGTTCATATTCCTGCATTGCTTTTAATTTTGCTGTTGAAATTGCACAACTCGGGAATGTATGGTATAAAGAACGCTGCCACTTTTAACTTAATAGCAACCCCATTTTAATATTCTCTTCCTGGTACCAATTGTGCCTTTGCACAGCATGTACACAGCTCCTTCTGTAATCCATTTTATCTAGAGCCTTTGGCCAAGTAATACTCCTTCAATTTAAAATGACTAAGAAAAAAATAGCTGGGCAAATAGCATTAAGCCTACAACCTGTCTAATCTCCCTTTCTGTCTTCCAGGAGTCGTCCTGTAAGCCAGATAAGAAGTTGCCCCTTCCTATGCCCTTGATCCACTCAAGCAGCGGAGTTACGCTTTCTCCAGAGTCGCAGGGAGTTGCAGTTGGCCTCAGCCCTCAGACCAGGGAACTCTTGGCCATGAGTTCAACCCCAACTCCCAGCAGCACAGCTGCTGCTCCTCCCACTTTCAGCATGGACGACTCTCTGGATGAAGACTTGATCCACAATGCTGCCTCATCTTTGGAAGCTGTCTCCAAGGAACTGGCTGTTCTTAACAGCCGGACGGGGGGAAGCCCTGACTTCACCCTCCCTGCCACTCCAAAGGTGCCTTTGGAGAAACCCCCCGTTCAGACCACATTGGAAGAGAAGAGGAGCTTCTCCAAGCCAAGCCCCTCACCTGCCCCATCTCCAGCCGCCAGCTCTCTGCAGTCACCGCTCAACTTCCTGGCCGAACAGGCCTTGGCACTGGGCCAGTCTCCTCCGGACAAAAAGACTGAGAGCTCCAGCTACAGAGAACTCTCCTGCCAGGCTACCCCTGCAAAGACTCTGGATGCCCACCAGTCTAAGCCGAAGCATCACAGCCTGCCACGCACCGTTCATGGGCCCCAGACCTCGACCCCAGTCCAAATGCCCCAGGTGAAGGTGTTCACCCTGGCCTCCCAGCAGCGGAAAAACTTTTCCACATCCCCTCCCTTTGTCAAGCTGCAGGGTCCCAAGATCATCTCCCCTTTGCCCCAGCGGCCTCCTCTCCATCAGCAGGTCAAGACCCCCACCAAATCGCCCGGTTTCCATTCTTCTTCCTCCTCCTCCTCTTCGACCATCTCCCCAGGGTCTGGCAGCGCCCACAAGACCCCCAATTCCTCTTCTCTGACCCTGAGCTACACGGGGAAGCACCCCAGCACCCCTGGTTCCTTGGGGCAGTCGTTCAAGTCGCCTTTTGTGGCCTTGTCGCGTCACATGGCAACTTCTTCCAGCGGCTCCACGTCCAGCATATCCACAAACCAAATCTCCTCCTCCTCCTCCACGGGGAACCTGCTCCCAGGCACATCGCTACCTTCTCCTGGGCAGGCTCCCAGTCGCTTGTCTCCAAGTTCCATGGTGAAGAAGGCCCTGGTCTCCCAGAAGCTGACCTTGGTTGCTCCACCGGGGGGTCCGAATGTCAGTTCAAGCGGAGGGACGCAAGGAGTGGCCAAGTTGCTGACCTCTTCTTTGAAGCCCGCTGTAGTTAGCAGCACTGCAACCTCAACACCTGTGCCGGTAAGTGGTCCCTCCCAGAGGCCTGATGTCAGCTGACTAAGTTCCTTTTTCTTTTGCCCTGTGAACTTCCCTGTCTACCTTGATTTGGCTGCTGCTGCTACTCTTTAACTCACTGTTACCAACTCATGCCAGCAAGAGCCAGTGTGGCGCAGTGGTGCAATGTGGTGCAACCTGGGAGATAAGGATTCAAATCCTCACTTGGCTACCAAGATCACTGGGTGACTTTCGGCCAGTCGCTTACCTGTCAGTCTCAGCCTGACCTACCTCATTGATTGGTGGCTAGGATAAAATAAAGGCAGAAGAACCATGTGTGCTGTCTTCAGCTCCTTGGGAGGAAAGGTGAGATGTAAATATAGCCAATAAATAAATGTTCTCTTTCCTTCAGGAGACGTGTTGCAAGGCTGTCCACCCCCTCAAAATCTGGAAAGTGATTGCTAGAGCTTTGGGCCTGGCACAGTTCTGAGGGACTTGCACCAGGTGGCATTGGGTGGGAGAAAACAGCTTCTCTTAGCTATCGGCAGTAATTTCTGGAGGCAAGGGAACTTTCTTTCCTGGAAAGATTGAAACCCATCAATTGAATTCTGAGGTTGTGCATGAGCCTCTGTGTCACATGCTTCCATGACGGATGACAGTGGACCGTTTCTCTGCTCTTCTGATGGTTGCTTTCTTTCTCCTTCCCAGAAAGGAGCCAGCGGAGCAGTCCTGCTTACCAGTTCATCTTCCTTGAACGTCCTGTCTCCTGCTTACAAGCCCGGCAACCCGAAGCTGCCAGCACCAGCCCTGAGTTCCACCCCGCTAGGAATTATCTCTCCAATCCATTCCTTCCCTCTTCATGTGATTTCCTTCAGCTCTGAATCATCCCCCAAGTCAGGGGTGTCGAAGGACGCCATTGTCACAGGACCGGCCCCGGGGACTTTCCATCATGGCCTTGGCCACAGTAAGTGTTTGAGAGGGAAATAGGGGCCCGCACTCCAGGGAAACAGCCGTTGTGAGCCCTGGAGGGCTTAATTTGGCCCTCAGGCCAGAGTTTCCACACCCATGCGTTTAATGGTCTGGGCCTACCAGGGTATGGGAAGGCCCACTTGCTTCCATGTGAAGCTGCCCGATCCTTGAGGTCTTCCTCAATGGCTCAGCTCAGGGTGCCTCTTAGGATGGGGTAGCCTACCAGGAAGAGGTAGCCTTTCCTTTGGTGGTGGAACTGCCTCCTATTCCTCATCAGCTATTGCCTGTGCCTGCATTTAGGTGTCAGGTAAAACAGCCTTGTCTGTTCAGTCACTCAGTAGCTTTGAATTTACTGGATCAACATAATCTGCTGTTTTTTTATTTGCTAGATGTCTATGCCTTTGTTGTATTATAGTGCAATTTTGGAGCTCGTGCTGTGAGCTGAGTTGGAATCTACAGTTGTGCTGTGGGGTGTAAATAATTTTAAAGAAAGATGTGGGAAATGGGAAAGCAGCAGGAATGGCTTGCCCTGGGCAACAGTAGAGGTCCGACTGCCCCTGTGACCTATTCCATGATGGCTTGGTATGTGTGAATCATATTTGTGAATTTGCCATCACAAATCTATATTTTATATCCCTCACATTGCCCTGGATCAGTTGCTTTTCAGTAGAGTCAGTTCATGCATTGGGCTGCCAGTAATGCACAGGAATTATTAACCCACTCTTGGTTTGCAGGGGCTCCTCTGAATGTCAAGCTCCACAACCAGCACTGGTTGGACAAGCCAGGCTTCTTTCCTCTTTTCCCCAACAAGTCTCAGCTCGAACTGAATTGTGCTTTGTAGCCCATCAGCTGAACTAGTTCCACCTGATTGTTGGCTGCAGAACTTGACAGACATTGGGGAGGGAGGGGCCGCTCTTCTTCATTAGAATCCACCAGCAGACATCTTCTTCTCTGCTTGTTTCTGTCTTCAACATACATTTGTTTCTCCTTTATTCCATCCTCCTCCTCCTTTTTCTCTCCTTTCTTTCTCTTTCTCTCCTCTTCCCCATTTTCTAGGTCTTTTGGCTGGCTTGCCCTCCAGCCTGCGCCAGGCAGCGCCCCTCCCACTCTCAGTGCTGCCTGCCCATTTAGCACACAGCCTGCCAGGTAACTCCTCTGCTGCTGCTGCTGCTGCTGTTGTTGTTTGTCTTCTGCACTCGTGAGTCACCCCGCAGGTGCCCTCCTGCTTTGCAGCAAGAGAGCCGCCACCCTTGCCATTGACTCCAGGTTCACAACTCCCGTGGCTTAGGAAACCTCTGTAAAGCCCAGGATGCTCTAATGCCATCCATTTCTTTTATTTTGTAAAGAACATATTTTATTCCAATTTCAAACAATTTTATTTCAGGAGAAAGATATGAAAATAATTATTGAAGCTGTGCTGGAACACAGGAAGCTTAAATAACCCTTCCCCTTAAATATTAGGAAGCTGTCTTAAACAGAATCAGATCATTGGTCTGTCTAGCTCAGTATTGTCTGCACTGACTGGCCATGGCTCTCCCAGGTTTCAGGCAGGGTTCTCCCCCCACCCCTGCCTGAAGATGCCAGGATTGAACCCGAGGTCTTCTGCATGCAAGGTAGATGCTCTGCCACCAAACTTCATGCAGCTGCTTTCTCAGAAAAGCCGCAGGTTACAATTTTACCCCCCCCCCCGGCCTTTCTTTCTGTGAAACACTGACATGTGGATTAACTGTTGCCCACAAGTCACAAATACAGGGCTGGCTTTTAACATGAGTGGCTACCCCATGCTTGTCTGCTGTATGTGGCCCCCAAGATATTTTCAGTGGCCCATGGAGAACTCGCAACATTTGACACTTTTCAAGGTGGGGGACTTAGTTTCCGCAGGTCTTGCAATCTTGCCTCAATGAGAGTTTTAAATGTTTTCAAAGGATTTCCTTTAAGTGTTCCTCAAACGTCCACCTTGTTTTTGAGCTGCAAACGTCTGTGTTCACTGGGCTTCTTGAGCCCTCATCAATCCTAATGTCTTTATTTCCGGTAACACTGACGCTCTAACTGCCAAAGGGGAGCTGGTCTTGACTGATCAGTCCCAAGAGCTGTTGAAAGCCTTGCAGCATTAAGTGGGAAGAAGCATCACAGCTGCACTTTAACCCAGCAGTAAATTGAGTGGTGAGCACTAAATGAGCTAGCGGGGAGCAGAAACAGAGAGGAAAGAAAGAGGGGGAGTTCTTCATGACGGGGAAAGGGAGTAATTAATGTGGAGGTCAATAAAGTAACTTAGGGAGTGGGAGCATAAATTGTTTCATTTGAGAATGATTTCTAAGGAAATGAATGGAGAGGAAGCAAGAAGGTTGGTGTAGGAAGTTCTTCAAGTAGGCTTTAATGTTTTTAGTTGGAAGACAAGGAATTACATTTGTGGGTAGGGAGAGGAAGAAGGAAGCATTAATTCCATTAATAATAGTTCCTTGACATGCTGGTTGTGGCCTCCACCTTACGTATCACTGATATATTTCTTTTTTTAAAAAAGAAAGAAAGAAAGAAAGAAATACAAATAAGGTTTCTCTTTTTCTCCCATTCCCATTTTGGCATGTATCCCTTGGAGGATTGGCTGTGGCTCAGTGCAGCCCTCTGCTCGGAAAAGGTTCAGCAACCTGTTTTCTAAAGCCTTGAAACAAGACATGGATGCTCCTGGCTGCACTAGGTGTTTAGAGGAACTATATGGCAGTTGGCAGCCTCTTGTTAAACTTTCAACATAGAAGTCACTTGGGGATGTGTTTTTTTCCCATTTAGGAGGTCGTTTCTGTAGGTTGCCCAATCTCTCTGAAAGTACAGAACATGGTGCCATGGCAACTTGGTTGCTTCTCCTGCCCCCCCTCCCTGCTAATTAATTTATTGCTTGTTTTTATTGCAAAGTTGTTGCTAATAACTTGTGGTGATGCTGCTGCTGCTGCTACTTCTGTTTGTTGCGGAGGGGGGGTTGTGCTGCTGTGTTGTGTATCCTAAACGTAATTTTAAATTGCGATGTTTTAATTGATTTGGATCTTGTGGAGAACATAGGAAGCTGCCTTCGTTCACAGTCAGACCATTGGTCTACACTGGCGGGCAGAGGCTCTTCAAAGTTTCAGGAGAAGTTGGTGATTGAGGCTGGAACTTTCTGCATGCAAAGCAGATGCCCTGCTAATGAGCTCCAACCCTTCATTCACTGCCTTGGGTATCTGACATACTCAGAGTGTAAAAATAGCATTTACATTGCTTAGAAACACTTCACTGCATAGTAACAATACTTCAGATAACAGCACAGAGTGCAGTTATTATTAGCTTTTCTTCAAAAGCTCAAAACACTCGGGGTGGCTGAATTTCAGCAAATCCTTAGCCAGGCCTTGAGGAACTTCCTCAAGTAGCAGGGTTGCTACTTCGTTGTTTTTTACTCGGAGTAAAAATATTCCTCTCTTGGAAGACCCACATTCAGGAACCCTTTCCCAAAGGAAATCCACCTCATTGCTTTCCAGTGGCCAGGGGAATAGCATGTATTGGTGCAGGAGCTTTTGAGGTCTCCTGGATGCGATTGGATGGGTAGATAGCTGAAGCTTTGTAAGCTGACCTTGAGGAAACATTCTTTGGAATATGTTCCAGAGCCGGGGTAGGTGAACTGTGGCCCCCTAGATGTTCCAGGACCCTAACTCCCACCATCCCTGACTATGAGCCTTGCTGGCTGGGTTTGATGAAAATTTGAGTCCAGCAACCTCCATCCCTCCTCCAGAGGATGGGTTTTGCTGTCTTGCTTGAGGTCTACAGGCGGAACTTTGCAGGTGTGCATCACACAGAGTGCTGTGCCAAATAGCAACCTGCAAAGGAGCTGCCACAGGGAGAACTCTCTCTTTTTGCCTCCGCTGCTCTGCTTTTGTCTTAGTCCTACACCTATAGTGCAACATGGTCATAGAATGGACTGTTAGTGCTTGGCACATTTAAATTTTATTTTTTAAAGCATTTATTGAAGAGGGGTTGTAGCCTCCCTGTTGTGTGAAAGGGTTTGCTTTTACTTAGCACAGTATGCCATTCATTCACCTGTATAAGGAGTACAGTGCATTGTACCATCCTGGAACTCTACAGATTTTGTCACCACATTTTGCTGCATGTTTAAGACAAATCATCCATAACTCATCAGTACTAGATTACACCAGTGATGCACTATTGTGAACCAGGCTTACTCACCAACCATACGTGATATCAAGAAGAGTCTTGGGTGTGTTTTTGCCTGCCCACAAGACCAAGGATGAGAGAGAACTTAGCTAGGGGAACCTAAACCTTTGTTGTGCACATTCATTAGAGCATGGGAACATGGGTACCATGTGTTCCTTCTTCCCTCCTATCCGTCTTCCTCTTCTTTGGTCCCTGCCAAATGCTTGAGAAAGCCTTACTGTCCCATGATGCAGTACAAAGGACAGCAAGGCCCAAGCTGTAATCATTTGAGGATCCAATTCTGTTTACAGAACTTCAGTTTTTCAGTCACAGGTTTTTTTCAGACTGCAGTGATCATCCCTTCCTGTCTGTCAATGTCTCTATTACTTAAACTCTTTAGTAGCTTATGGCTAGTAACACTTGCTAATCATTTGGTAAACTAAATGTTTGGAGCTTCCACTGCTGGGGCGGGGACAGTAATAGTTCTTCTTTTGCATCTCTTTCAGATACATCTCAGCTGCATGGTAAAGGGTCCAATGTACAGCCACGGAAATTGTGACAGTTCGAAAGTTGAGGACATGACAAGCCCTGATAGGGACTTGCAGAATGAAGCCATGGACGCAAGGTGCCCTTTCTCCCCACCCCCTGTTCCTTTTTGAATGGAGTTGATCTGGAGGTTCCTTCCCTGTTTGGACCAGTCCCTTTCCACAGGGATCTGTGCCTCGCACTAAGAAAGGAAGCACTTAACTGGTGCCGTTCTGGCAGCTGCCGTGGCTTCACATACTTCAGGCACCTGAGTGGGAGGGAGAGATGCAGGCAGGGCTCTAGAAGCTGAGCACGACAACCCAAGCCCTTCTTTTCACATACCTCTGAATCCAGTTGTTTCTCACTCCTTGATTTTCCAGTGGACTATGTGAAGGTGCTTGAACATTCCTGCTTTGGGTTTACTTGGCTGGCTTAAGCTAATCAAAGAGTGACAGTCACAAGTGGTTCCTCCCCCCCCCCCTTTATGGTACCTGTAATAAAGCTATGCTGACGTCAACCAAGAAGACCCACCTTCATCTGTGGCATCTTTTGTAAAGTCAATCAGCTCATTGGTCTTCTCAGAAGGACAGAGACTTGTGAGGCCTTGAGATGCATTCATGAACATTGGCATTCTGATCTTTTTGTGTTGCTTCTCTGCCTTTTATTTTCTGGTATGGTCAATCCTGCCCTCTTCCCTGCCCTGTCATTACCACTGAATGCATAGGATTGGACAAGTCCCCTTTCTTTCCCAGCATGTCATTGTGTATAGCAAAGCCGTAATTCCAGTGCCTTTTATGGTGGAGCAAGAGTGCAAAACATTTCAAGCTCTTTTTGTGTGGGCTCTCTCTTTTGTTGTTGTTTCCCCCCCTCAAAAATTCTTAGCTGTATTTAAGACGTGTTGGGCTTTATTTGATAAGAGCTTTTTTTTCTGGAGTTATACACTGCTTTCTGGACTTGACCTTGTGGAGTTGCCTAGTGCCAAGCAGAGTACAAAATAGATATTGATCAGTAGGTGTGGAGTATGTGGACCTGAGTTTCCCCAAAAGCAGGGATGGGGAACCTGTAGTCTTCCTGAAGATGATGGACTGCAAACCCATCGTTCATGACCATTGGCTATCCTGGTTGGGGCTGATGGGAGTGGGAGGGCCACAGATACACCATCCCTGCCCTAAAGCTGTTTTTCCCGGGCTCAGATTTCAGCAGGTGTTCTGTAAGCAAGGTGAGATCTAGAGCTCTACTTTTGCTCTACTGGAGGAAAGAGTTCTACATACCGGTGCACAGAGACATGGGTGTGTGGAGCTGGCCCTCTGTAGGACTGCTGGGTTGTGGACCATTATCTATTTGGAGATGCTGTTCTAGCACCAGCATGATAATGGAACCATTGTATTCTGGTGACAGGGCAGTTCCCTCTGAGAACCTTTCCTGTGCAATCACTGGAAATTGGGCTTGACCCTCTTCATTTAAGAGCTTGCTCAGGCTTTGCTAAGAATCTTGGTGGCTAAGCTCTTTTGTGGAGGTCTGGGGAGTAGTGTAGGCTCATCAGGGCCAGCGCCAACCCCACCAGTGCTCTTTGCTGGAAAGTGAAAGTGGTTGTGCATCAGAGCTGTCATAAATCCCTTGCTTTGAGGAGGTGACTGACAGCTCAGTTGGTCAGTGGGTAATTTGTGTAAGAGAACCAAGAAGGGGTGGGGGCTGAAGGACTAACTAAACCTTCCCCCTCTTCACTTGACCTTTTTGTCCCAGTATGCTGCTTGCCCTGGGGAGAAAAGAGGTTATGAAACACATTGCCACAAAGAGGGGCACATATGGCAATCCCTTTGAAAAGAGGCTTGCTGAAACAAGCAGCCTCTTCTGTTCCTGGAAGGCCATAGACCAGGTTCGGTCCAGTGGCTTGCAAACAAAAACTGTTCATAATAAACCACATGGCTCCTCAGGGTACTCCCTTCCCTTCAGAGCCCTACATTGGATGGGTCTTCCTTGGTATCAGAAAGCTCTTGATCCTCTAAGTGGTGTGAGCCCCATTGTTTTTAAAAAAAGAGAAAGAAAATAAATCACAATGAGTTCTGCTTGGATTATGACCAAATTTGGAGCCAACTTCATTCCTTCAACATGCCTGTTTTGAAGTCCAAGTAAATACGGACATAAACCCTAATTAATTTGTACATCTCCCCAACAAAATGAATTGGATTATGTCAAGCTTATTTATGAAAATATATCCATTATTTCCATGAGAAAGTAAGAATAATAAAAACTCTAGGTTGTAGTAAAAGAGCCAAAGACCAAATGTTAAGGTTGCCAGTTTTGAAGCACAGACATTTGTAATAGATGGGCGTGTTTTTTGTTTTTGCTTTTTCTGGTCAGGCCTCAATCCTGCTGGGTGCTAATTACCTCTTGTGAGAACTGTTTTATCATTTCGACAGGATTGAGGCCTTCTTGAGCTACTTGCAATTCCCCTCTTGTTGCTCTCCCTTGAAAGCTTCTGTTGTCAAAAGCTACCTGTGCATTTGCAGTGGCTGGAGCAGAAACTTCTTGTTTTAGAAAGAAATCTCATGAAGCCTCTTGCCTCAGGGAAATGTTATTTCTTCCCCCTCCTCCTTCCCCGCCTTTTCTTTTGCATTGAACAGTGAGAGAACTTAATCAAACAGAGCCATGGCAGGGCAGGGTCTATCAGCGTTTGGTTGGGACAAGAACAAGAGCACTGGGGTCTCTCTCTCTCTCTCTCTCTGCCTTGGCTTTGACCCTTTTGGGAGATTTTTGTTTATGGTGGGCATGTGCACCACCAGATGGCACTTAAAAACTTAGAAAAGCAGCTTCTTTGAGTGTGGGAAGAGCTGCAATTTATTTTTGTGTGTGTTGTGGGTGGGTGGGTGGGGGCAGGGGCCTTTCTAGGTAATGAGGAAGATGGAGGAGACGTTTAAAATGGCTAATCTTGTATACAGCAGCTGAATAAAATTGTTTTCCAGTTTCCAAATTGCTGTTTTCATTCTCTTTATTTTCAAAGAAAAGGCAAAGAGGTGACCATAACTCAGTGGCAGAGCAGCCGCTTTGCATGCAGAAAGTCTGTGGGTCAATTCTTGGCATCTCCAAGCAGGGTGGGGAAAAGACTCTTGTCTGGAACCCTGAAAATCTGCTGCTAGTAAGTACCAATAATCCTGAGACAGATAGGTCCAGTAGTCTGTCTCAGCATAAGACAGCTTCTCATGTTCCCATACCTGAGACTCTGCCAGTTAGAGTAGATGAGCAAATAGTTTGACCTGTTACAAGGCTGCTTCCTTTGAGCTGTGTTGGAAATGCAGCATGGCTGTTTTGTTTTTTAAGCTTTCCGAAGGCTTAAGAAAATCCTGTCTCTCGTCCCCAAACCATACTGCCAGCCGTCTTGGTATTTATGTGTGGGGCTGCTTGTATTGAATTATTTTAAATTCTGCAGCCTGTGTACATTGTGCACAATTTATTTTGTTTTTGTTGTCAGGTAGAGGGACTGTGAGCTAGTCAGGCCCTTGGATCCTGGCAGTTCTACTGAGCCTGGAGATTGCACTAGGCCCATGACCTCAGAAAAACTAGCAGCTGAGATGACAGTCTCCATCCTTTTTCTGCACCTGCTTGGATTTGTGTCACACAGCCTGTCTATACAAACTGTGAAAATGCCAACGTTCTCCACTTTATATGTCCTTTTACAAGCAGTGGTGTACATACCAGATGCAGTGAGACGCCCTGCATATCGTATCTTTTATGTGAACAAATGAAATGGCAAATATTAAATGGGAGGAAATCATCAGGTTAGATTGCTGCAGAGTATTTTTTCATTTATTTGGGTGCATAAATAAAATTTCCCATTCCCTTCTACAATGCATACTTTGAGAATTCATACAGTCAAATAACAACTAAGCAAACACCAGCACAAATATCATAAGTACCCAGTGTTCCATTCTAACCGTGACAATGGAATGAGAGGCACTTTTGGGGATTGTTAACTGCAGCACCCTCTATTTAACCTCCTTTCCTTTTTAAGGACTGGAGCTTCCCTACACAAGTATGACTTGAAAGATAAGCAGGTCACTCTAAACATACACACACATATCGTTTACTGTCTCAGTTACACAATGATAATCACTATCTTGGACTACATACTAGAGTCTGACAGTTTATTATGTAGAAAGGAGTTGCACTGTGCTTAAGTGTCATCTTATGCTGAAGCTTCTACAAACGTATTCAATGATCACAGCATAGCATTGAACAGCATCTGCCTTTAGACTGCTATTCTTCGCAGTAGCTGGTTACTGGGTCTCCACTGGTGAGTTTATTCTTCCTTTGGCTTTATTAGTATTGTCTTTAAATAACATCCAGGAGTAAAAACCAGTTCCTGCGGTAACAATATATGCATATAGTACTTTAGAGTGCTCAGAGAGTTTCACATAAACTCAGCTGTCCTTACAACAGCCCTGTAAGATAATGCTAGTGTTTCTCCACACATTGCAGAGATGAGGGTTAGTCAATGTTGATGCCTTCCTGAAGTTGTTGAACTACAGCTCCCATTATCGCTGGCCATTGGCCATGCTGGTGGGGAGTTGGGAGTTCAACAACATCTGAAGTGCACTAGATTTGCTACTCCTGGGTGAAGGGGCGTAGGGGGGAAATGGCTCACCAAATCAGTTCAAGATTAAGTTGAGATTCAGGTGGGATTTCACAAGTGTTCAGCTATCACTCTTAGCTACTTCACTAAGGGAATGTGTTAGTAGAGACCACATGAGCTTGGAAAGCCAAGCTGGAGAGCTCTCATTCAAAAATAGCATTGGGTAATCATTTGATTTCTACCCACTCCCTGCCACCCCAGTGCACAGAGGGGTTTGCCACTGACTGGCGGGGACAAAAGTAACATGCAACTTTGGCAAACTGGAGCATTGGCCTGGGGTGGCAAGTCATAAATATTTTTGATAAAAGCAAGTAAGTGCAGCTTAAAAGCACCCTAACGTTGGAGAGCAGGCACTAGGTTTGGGGAATATACACCTATTGGAAGCAACAGGTAGTAGATGTCCAAGTTTGTAACATTCGGTACAGCTCTAGACCAGCTGCTTAAGAATAGTTCTTTTTTTAAAAAAAAAACAACATCTCTCTTGAAGCAGCTATTTCTGTCCAGACACCAAGACAGCCAGCTCCTGGATGGACAACTCCTTGTTGAGGTAACTGTCGTACTGAGCCATGGTTAACCTTCCATTCTTCAAGGCATCTTCAATTGAGAACTTCTTCCCTGACTTCCTGTCAAGGATTACTGAAGATTCGCCACTTGGCCCTTTCATTGTGATCTCTTCCCAGTCGCATTCTTGGCTCTTCAATTTGACGTACAAGCTCCACTCAATAAGCCCGAACCTGTGAGCTTCTTCTGGTGACATCTCTTTCCCAGTGTCTGGATCAATGACCACAATGGAACGTCTCAAGTGATTTTCTCTCTGCTCCCTCTTGATAGCTACTGTCTGAAGACGGTTTTGAAGCTGTTCAATCTCGTTGTCTTTGTCTTGAGATAACCTCTTCAGATCATCCAGCTCTCTCTCCAAAGCCTGGAACCGGGAGTCTAGGTTCACGCCGCTGTCCACCTGTGACATGTTTCTTAAATCCCGGGTTTCTGTTACTGTGAGTTCAATCTCCGATTGCAACCTCCGCATCTCCAACAAAAGGTTCTGCTTTTCCAGATGCAGCTTGTGGTTTTCCTCCCTCAAAAAGTCCAGCTCCTTGGAAGACTTGGAGTTGTTGAATTCCACTTCTGACAACTTGGCCTCTAGCCTGTTGATGTCCGTGTCTAGTTCCATCTTCCGCCGGCTTTCCTCCTCCAGGTTGTTCTTCAGCTTCTGAATCTCGTATTCAGTGTCTCCTTTCTCCACTTGGATGCTCTCAGAGAAGACTACTTTCTCCTTGACTTCCATCTTTTCCAGTGCCTGCAGTTTCTTCTGCAGGGCTTCCAACTCGGCCTGCAGGACTTGCCTCCTATGTTTTTCTTCCTCCAGCTCCAGCTTAAGCAGAGCGTGCTCTTTCTCCTGCTGCGGATCTTGTTGGAGGATCACCTTCTGTTTCACGGTGACTCTCTCTGTTGTCTCCTTCACCTGCTCCTCCAGCTCGCTCAGCCTGATCTTCAGCCTCTGCACCTCCAGCTCTGCCTCCCGCCGTGCCTGCCTCTCTTTCTCCAGCTCATCCAGCTGGCGCTCCAGCTCCGACCTCCTCCGCTGCAGCTTGCGCATTTCGTTTCGGAGTGAGTCAATCTGCTGCAGCTCATTCTCTATGCTCTGTGAGAAGGAGCTGACCTCTGCTTTCAAAGCAGGGTCCTGCTCCAGTTTTACCACTTCCTGCTGCACCACCTTCTCCCTCACTTGAGAGAGTTCCTCCTCCTTCTGTCTGATCTTCTCATCCTGCAACTTCCTCTCCCTTTCCAGGTCCAGGTGCTTCTTCTGCTCTTCAGCCAGCTGAGCTCTCAGGGACTCCACTTCTTCTCTCGTTTGGGGGTCTTCCCGGTACTGCAGCACCTCCTGCACTACTTCCTTCGTCTGGACTTGAGGCTTGGCATCTTTCAGGGTCTGAATTTCTTGCTTCAGCTGATAGATCTCAAGATCCGCCCTCTCAATTGCTCTGGTCCGGTCCACAATCTCGTCCCTGAGAGACTGAAGCTCCATCTCAGTCTCTGGGTCAGCCTTGTATTTTATAACCTCCTTGATAACCTCTTGCACTTCCACCAGGGGCCCTCTTTTCTTCAGGGCAGCCAGCTCATTCTGACAAGTTTTCAGCTGCTCTTCCCCACCCCGGTATCTCCTTTCCTGCTCCACCAGTTCTAGGCGAAGGTTAGCCACTTCGTTTTCAGCCTTGGGGTCTGGACGGACAATCTCCCGGACTTTCTCCTGGACAATCACTTTGGCATTCTCCTCTTCCAGAGCCTGGATTTGCCTGAGTAGCTCTGCTTTCTCCCTCTCATTGGAGCGGCCTTTGGCCTTCTCGTCTTCATACTGCCGTCGCAGCTCGCTCACTTCCCTTTCTGTTGCTAGGTCCTTCTCCACTTTCAGCACCTCCTTGACAGTGATCTTGCCCTCGGCCATCGCCCGCTCTTTCTCCAGCCGCTTCAGTTTGTCTTGCAAGAAGCGAAGCTCTTCCTCTTGCTGCTTCCGCAGTGTACTCTCCCTGTGTTTGTTCTCCTGCAGCTGCTGATACTCTGTCTCCAGCTGGGGGTCGTTCTGCAGCTTCACTACTTCTTTTTCCATCACTTTCTCCTGCTCCTTGTTCTTTTCATTGGAAAGAGCATCCACCTGGTGGCGCAGGAGAGCCATCTCATTCTGACGGTTCCCTTCCTGCCTCTTGAGATCCTCCAGCTCTTCTTTCAACTTCAGGATTTCCTCTGCCTGTGCCTTATCCGGCTCAATACGGAGGACTTCCTTGACCACATACTCCTGCCCACCTTCCCTCCTCTCATGCTCCAGGGTTCGCAGCTTGAGTTTCAGGACCTCTAGTTCATCATGCAAGTTTTGGTTCTTGCGTTGTTCTTCTGCCAGGTTCTGTTGCATCTTGTGAAAACTCTCATCGAGTGCTGGGTCAGGCACTTTCTTCAACACTTCCTTCTTGACCACGGTCTCCTGTGGCTTCTGGTTCTGCAGGAGGAGGATGTTTTCCTGGATGACCTTGATCTCTGCCTCCAGCTGCTGTCGGCGCTGGCTCTCATCGTCCAGCTCCTTCCTTAACTTCCAGACTTCCTCAAGCGGCCTTTCAAATGTGTTGGTCTGAGCAGACTCCTGCATCACCTGGACCTCTGGCTGCTGCCAAAAAAGAAAAAAAAATGATGAGTTGCTATAGCTGGAGCATCATTTTTCATTCCCTCCACCCTCTAATCAAAGACAAATGTTGCCAGATAGAAACTCTTTTCAAAGCTGCTAGCATCCTATGCATGTTACTTCTGAGTCTGGCTGTCTTTGAAGGAGCTGCTTCTCAAGTACAGGGCTGGGGAACCTCTAGCCCTTGAGATGTTGCTGGAGTCCCAACTCCCACCCTCCCATGCCATATTAGCTGGGGCTGATGGGTACTGAGAGCCAGTCTTAAGCTACAATCGTAATTAGAAATCCCACTATATTCAGTAAGTGTGTGTAGGATTGCAGCCTTAGTCTGCCACCCACTCTTTTTAAAAAGCCTTGCTGGCATGTTCTGTTAAGTGATGATGGAACCCTTCCCTGCCATCTGCATGGGCATATTCTCATTAAAAATTGGAATGCAGAGTTGGGATGTTTTCTCACAAAACAGCTCTGTAACTTGCAGCCAGCTAGGATTCTCTGCCTAAGTCTGCACCCCAGCCTATGTGCATCTTCTTCCTCTTTCCAGAGTTCTGCCTAAGTAGCTAGAACAGAGAGAAGCAAATTAAAGCCTAAGCTTCTCACACTCACTTGTCTCAAGAGATTCTGGGCAAACTCCAGGTTCTGCAGCCTCTGCTTATTTACAGCATTCACCTCCGTGAACTTTGCAGCCAGGAGAGCTTCCTAAGAATGGAAAAAAGAAATGAGGTTAACAAAAGGTATTAAGAACATAAGAAGAGCCATGCTGGATCAGGCCAATGGGCCATCTAGTCTTACATTCCTGTTCTTAGAATAGCTAAACCAGATGCCTATGGGAAGCCCATAAGCAGGACCTGAGCTCTGCAGGAACCAATTTTCAGGCTAGATAAAAGAAGCTGACAACCTCCTTCCATGCTTCTGGGGAGTTGGCAACTGTGGCCATTGATGAGGTTTTGGACAAGGGAGGAAGCATTCAGAGGGGTATTTCTGCAGTCAAGCAAGTTTTGGTTGATGCACCGCCCAACAAGGCCTCTGGGCACCCAGGAGAGATCAGTGTCTTCCACCTAGTGCCTCTCAGCCTTGATCATTCCCCATCAAATTTATGACATCGAGGCCTAGTCATGCAGTGGAGTCAGGACATCCTTCCTTTGTCGGAAGCGACACTGGTTCTGGTTTGGCAGAGCTGAGGCAAGAACGCAAACTGTTGAGACAAATCCAAGAATGGACCCAAGATGGTGTCAAGCCACAGAGCCAACTGCTGTTTCCTTCAGGGTGAGCATAGCACATTCATAAATCTTCTTTGTATGGAGCCAGACCACAGGTACATCTAGTGAAGTATTGCCTATGCTGACTCACAGTGGCGCCCCAGGGTTTCAGGCAGGGTTCTCTCCTAGCCCTATCAGGCAATATCAGGGATTGAACCTGGGGGCTTCTGCATGCAAAGCAGACACTTGGCCACTGAGCTATGGACTTTCAACATGAAAAATATTGAGATACTGTCTAGAGGAGCCACTTAGACTGTGGCAGAGGGCTTGTCAAATACCAGCAAGTACCTCTTCTTTCACTTTAGCAGCTGGAGACTGGATTCTGGGTCTCTTACTCATGAAGCCATTGCGACCATTTTCCAGGTCAAGGATGGATCTCAGCTTCTCTGCTTCAAGTTCGTAGTCCTGCAGAGTGGAGGGAGATGAAAATCTACTTACAGAGAACCCGTCACAGCTCCATAGTACATCTCCTCTGCGATGGGGTTGTTTTCTTCCTGTAAGCAACGCTTTTAGCCACACAGGCTGCTGCTTCTCTGAGCCACCCCCGTCCCGCCATCCTCACCTTCACTGCCTGCTGATACTGTTGAGCCTCGGCGGAAACTTTCTGAACATCTTGCTCTTTGCTGGCAATTTCCCCCAGCAGGGCCTGCAAAAACAGATCAAGCAGAAAACGTGAAACAGCAAGAAGCCAATGGCTATACCGTCTTTTAGATCAGGATAGCTAATGTGGTCCTACTAGATGTTTCTGGGTTACATCTCCCATTATCTCTGGTCTCATCAGGTCTTCCAGAGCAGTCGGGTTGCCATAAGGCAGATGGGCCGCTGGGCAGCAAGTTTGGGGGTGGGGAGAAGAAGACAACACAGATGAGAGTCTCCACAAGTTTAACTGGGGCTGTTAAACTCTGTGTAAACCCTGATTACGCATGCAGCTGGAAGCAGCAGGGTGTGGGAAGGAGATGATGCAGACCATGTTCTCTACCTGCATCATTTAAAACCCTAATTAAACATTAGGGCTGTGCAAGACCCCTGATTTCATTTGGGGTCCAGTCCAGATCAGAGCCAGATTAGGATCACAGTCCTACTGCATAATCAGCTTATCACAGGGTGCAAAATCGGACAAGAAAGCTGGATGAACTCTGAAGCTCCTTCCAACTCTTACGATTCTCTTCTATGATTACCTGTTGGTTCTTCAGCTTGGTTTCCACTTGAGTGACATTGTCGGTTTCTTGAGGCTCATAGTTGGGCACGTTACAAAGGAACTGGTTCAGGTTGTTGTAGCCATTGCGATAGTTGGAGTAGGACAATTTTGCTTTCTGCAACATCTGAGATCTGTGAAGGGAAGCCGAACAATACTTGCTTGGGATGGACATTAGCAGAAATGTCACAGCGCCATTAACTGTAACACCCTAGACCAATTGTTCCCAATTGGTGGTTCGTGGATCACAGGGGGTCCATGGTATATACACCAGTCAACTGTCCAGGATATCACATGGGGGGTATGCTCTCGTGTGAGACTGTGGCACCCAAAAACACACAGGTCATGTGACTTGTGCAGGACTGCGGCCTGGAAGACATGCACCCCAGTCTTGCACTGGAATATGTTGAAGGGTTCACATAACAAAAACTACCAGAGAGATATAGCAACGTTTTCAAAAGGAGTCAGTGGCTTGGCTTTTGAAAAACAGGGGGTCTGCAGTACTTACCTAATTGGGAACCACTGCCCTAGTCTAAACTAGGCTAAATATATGATGAATTTGGATGAACTCTCCCATTTTATAGCAAAAAAAGTACATTTATCTGCTTCCTTTAATGCAGCTCTTGGCTGCAGCTCCCATTTGTATGTATTAACCACCATCCATTTTGAGAGCCTCCAGGGATGGGGAGTACGCAGACAGCTAAAACGTCCTCTGCAAGATAACCTGGTGACACAGGGCTGGGGAAAGAAGGGTTTGGACATTCCTTCTCCTGCTTCTATTGCCAGTCCTTCATTCACCCCCTCTTTCTTTCGCTCAGAGCCTGACCTGTGATCTATTTGCTTGTTGAGGTTGCCGAACCGCTGGTTGAGCTTATGGAGTTCAGCTTCCTGGCGCTCGATGTCCGGGCAGTGCTCTTGGAACTGGCTGGCCAGGGCATTGGAGCATTTCTTGGCTTTCTGCAGATCCTGCTCTGCCACGCTCAACAAAGGCTGGTGGGCCTGCAATTCAGAACCCAGTGCCTGGAGAAAAGTTGGGGGGGGGATGGATAATCAAGTGTTTTAAAAGATGTTAACATTTTTACCCTACCTTTCTAGGACAGCCTCACAAAGATTTAAATGTGTGACAGTACAAATGAAAACACAAGCCTCAACAATAAAACAAAAGACAAAAAGCAAGAAAGCAGCATCATACAAATTTGCCAGGAGCCAGCAAATGAAATGATGTCATCCCAAGTTCTATGTAAAAAAACACCCACCAGGTTTAAAGCAGGGTGGAGTCTTAGGAGCCCATTTAAAAGCAGGCAAAGAGGTTTTAATTGTATGGATTTTATGTCCTGGCAGTCCCAGTTCTTCGTGGGGACAGGACTAAGTAACCCTGGCAGCAGCCGTATGGAATTTCATCAAGCCCTGTTGGGGTTGGGGGCTCTCTCTGTGTTCACTGAAGGTACAGGATAGCAAGGAACCCCATGGGCTAGCCACTCGGCCTGTGTGTGGCTGGATCGTGCTGTTTTAGAGTGTTTAAAGCAAATGTGTGGCACCTATAGCCCTCCAGATGTTGCTGAACTACAATTCCCATCATCCCTCACCATTGGCCTAGCTTGCTGTAGTTTAGCAACATGTGAAGGCCCGTAAGCCCCCCAGCCCTAGTTTAAAGAAAAAAGAAAGAACAGAGGCAGTGTGCAACCCTAGAAGTCCTACTTTGGACTGTGTTTTAAACCCGCAGGCTAGAACCCACTGGATTGTGGATTCTGAAGCGGGCCAGTGATCCAGTTCAGGTCATGATTCCACCCAGATTGGATCAGGTGAATCCACTTTGGAATCTGAGCCAGGTGGATTCCTCCTCCATCTCTTATCACAGCTGAAGTGGACCCCCTCTCCCTTGTCCCTTCAGCCAGAGATGGGACAATAGGATGACCTCAGAAACCGTACTGACTGGCGACTGTCTGGATACATTTGGGCCATTTAGCAGCACTGCCTTAGTTTTGAAAGCCCCACTGCAAGTGAGGACTCACCAGCAGCTCTTCTCTCTTGCGCTCCAGGGCACCTGTGTCCTCAGGAATAGTGTCCTCAATGGCCAACTTGTTCTCATAGCCAGAAATCAGATCCCTGCCTTGCTGCAGACTCTTCTCAAGGCGATTGGCAACATCCACTCTGTACAAGACAGACAAAAGCAGCACTTCAAATAAACAAAGCTTTACAGACATGGATACTCCTTCAGGCAGAAGAAGCAGACTGGGTTCTGTGCACATGGATGGATGCTATGATTTCGCAGGAGCACAGAATATCTGCAGTGTGTGGTATTAGGCAAAGGAGTTGGCGTCTGGAAAACCTCGCCTTTTGTCTAGTGTTCATGGTTGCAATGCATTGTAAGCTATTGCGGATATTGCCTCAGCAGCCAGAGAGATGGCTGGAAAAGATTTTTAATGGGTTGGGTGGGCTCCTTCCAGGCCCTGCATACTGGCCGTCCCCCATGACCAGCAAAGCCAGAATAAATTATGCAAAATAAGAAATATGCTAATTTCCTTTTCATGATTTATACAGGTTGCATGCAGAGCAGGTGTTCTACTACTGAGTGGCAACTCATCCTCCAAAAGCAGGTGCACCATATGGAGGTGCTTACCAAGAGCTCAAACAGGTGAGCCAAGCCACCAAAAGGACCCAAAGATCTAGAGCAGGTGGTGAAATTTCATGTTCCCTTTCCAAACAGACTCAGAGAAGCTGTACAGACACCTACTTCTCCTGAGCGGCGCCAAGCAGCTGGATGACGTGGTTGTATTTGTTGTTTGTCTCTTCTGCCTTGTTCTTTAGCAGGGAGGCACTTCCTGTGTCTGGCACGGACTCTATGAAGGTTTCACACTCCTGGATCCTGCGTGCTTTCTCGGGTTCAATACGCCGGACCTCATTGGTGATGTTCTGCAAAAGGGAGAGAGGTGGGCAGCAGATGAGCAAGCGAGCATGGCACTGCCCCTCTGCTGTCTGTCCCAGGAGCTGCTGAGTTCTTGAGCCAAAATCCTCCTGGGCTGTAAAGTAGGGGGGAGATGGGTCCATAACTCTGGACACAACTCATAGCATCCTGCCTGGCTCAATATTAGGGATGGGAGGAACTCAGTTTGAGCACTCAATTTCTCTCTCTAAATCTTAAATACAGTTCCCCACATTTCGGCAGTAATTTGAGATTAAAAAAGAAATTCTCATGAAAACTCTTCAGCATTTTGGTGCAGTGGTGAGGATTTCCTACAAGATCTTTCACAAGTCAAAGGCCAAGCAGCCCTTTCCCAACAGCCTTTGATCCTTTCTTCCACTAGCCTGCTTTCAGCCATGTATGGTTGAAATCGCGCAAGTCAAATGCATGTAAGATGCAGCTTCACTGTTTTCTCCACCTGTGGGTTTCATCACTATTGAGAAGAAAGATTCTATAAAGTCTTAGATCCAGCATCCTGTTCCCACCGCGAACAACCAGCTGTCCTTGGGAAGCCAACAAGCAGGACCTGGGCGCAATAGCACCCTCCCCCCTTGCGATTCACTGGTATTCATAGTCATCCTCCCTCCAACAGTGGAAGGAGAACATAGCTTTGTCTTCCCCCATGAATTTGTCCAACCCTCTTTAAAAGCTGCCCATGTTAGTGGCAATCACTACATCTTGTGGGAATGAAGGCTGCACCTCTTCCTCCCATGCCACGTTCCTATCTTAAGGGCAGGTTTCTATATGCATTCAACAATGATATCCCCCTTACCTGTGATTTACAATGGCATGAGCAACCAATTGCCATTCCATCAACTCACTGCAGAATAGCATTGGGGGAGAGAGAGACTTTACCTTAAGATCCTTGGATCGCTCCGCGCTGTCCTGCACTGCCCGGCTTTGCTCTAGCGGCGGCCGCAGGTTTGCAGTGATGGCTTTCTCTTGCTTATCCAACTCACTGTTCACTTTCTCCAGCCCCGCCAGCAGCTGTCGCCCCTGGACTGATGCTGCATCTGAGGCGAAAAACAACAACAGCAGGTGGAGCAGAAGGTTTTATGTTTGGATCCCTGGTCAGCAAGTACATTTGCTGGGAGAAGTGGAGAAATAGTGGCTAAGGCCCTTAGACTATCCCAACAAGGGGCATTCTCACAAACTGTGCTGCTAAGGAGGCTAATATTGTGATGTCACTTTTCTAACAAATTTCAAAGCGGTACGGTACAATCCCATCTTACCCACATTTAACTTGTGCGATTTCAGCCTCATGTGGCTGAATGCCAGCTGGTTGAAATTGTGCCAATTAAAGGCACACAATGTCCCCTTTTAAACTCTCTGCCTTGCTTATTGGGCAAGGCCTGCTCAACAAGCCAGCTCCGGAAAAGTAAGGGTGGTCATGTGGGGGTGGTTTGATCATAAGCACTTTTGTGTATATGCAGAACCCTTGGAACTGAACCCCTGCATAAGATGCAGTCATACTGAATTCACATTTCCCCCGAATCACACCAAAATGTATCTTCTGCATGGAAAGCACAGATTCTGCTACTGAACTCTGACCCTCCACACAACCATATTAATAAAGAGATCTCTGCACATACATTTGCATAATATACAGTAAATAGATCACAGAATTCTAATTCAGGTTTCCAGAATTGCAGCATTTTTCGGTGCATGGTATGCATAGCTGCTGAATTTGAACTCATTCACTGCTTGTGATGAACTAATGGCCCTTTTATTTTAAATGTGGAACTCAAGCATTCCCCCAGGCATGGTGTGGGACACCTACCTCCAATGCTGTCTGCCTTCAGCCCATCATATCGCTGCTGCAGAAGGCCCTTGGTGCCAGCTATCTTCTGTTTCACGCTCTGATACTGACCGATGATGCTGTGGGACAAGAAGAGATTGAGCCAGTTGCGCAAATAGTCGGGAATACGAAGCACTTCCATGCTTAAAATAGACAAAAGGAAGGCCTCTGTCTGAACCATCAAAGGACTGCTTGGCACTGGCATCATTACTGCTACTATTAATACAATTTATGAGTTGCTTAACATAGAAGAAGCCTCCTTAAAATAATTAAAAACATGAAGCATGGCATAAAATGTGGAGGAAAGGAAGAACAATGCATTACAACAAAAACCCAGCAATAAGCTGCAAAACAAACAGAAGCAAAACAGACCAACGATAGACAGCAACTTCATCCTAATCTGTCAAATGGCTGGTTCGTGTCAACACAATCTGGATCAGGGAGCACTTACTTGTCAGCGTGAGCCAGCGATTCAGGATCTGTCGGGGGGATCATGAAGCAGACGCCAGGGGCGCTGATTGCATTTCCTGCGCTGTCGGTAACTTCCCAGATGTCACCACTGTTCTTGTGCAGGGTGTATCTGGCTCCACGAGAGATCTGGCACTGGGGTAGAAAGAGTTCAGGATAAGCAGTCGTATCATTTCTCCCACCCCCCAGTAGTCCCAGGAGCGCATGCTTTGCCCTGGTACCACTGGTTAAAAGGGGGTCTTTTAGCCAGTGGCTGGAAAGACCTCTCCCTGAGACCAGACAAACACTGACAGTCAGAGGAAACAAAGCTTGGCTCTACAGATGAAAGGGCTGGTTCAAAGGTTGGGAACCTTCAGCCTATAGACCAAATATAGCCCACCAGACCTCCTAATTTGGCCAGGTCCACCTGCTCCACACCTGACTTATAACTTCAGGTAGATGTTGATGTGGCTTCAAATAAACAACCAGGAACTTAAAGTGAGCTTCTGGCTGTTCCTTTGCTGGAGCAGGGATCATTTCCCCCATGAATGACAGTGGGAAGGAAAGTCCACTTTACTCCAATAGTATTGAACAATTTCCATTGAAAATGCTGCTAAAATGGAGCTCCGCCCCCCCCCCCTTGTTTTAGCAGCAGTCTCAATACCATACTGGAAGATTTTCCCCAATAGACACACATTTTGGTTAGAGAACCGCATTGCAAAATTCAGAGAAGTATGAATTTCAAAGGATACTGACATTTCAGTTGGGTAATTGTTTCAGAAAATGCAAGCCAGGTATGGTCTCATTCAAATGTGTACCCAAGTATATCCCCTACCCTACCTGAATTTACCAGGCAGATCTTTTGCCCGTTGCATCATCCTGTGATGAGCAGAAGGGGCAACATTGCTTCTTACCCGCTCACTTTCGTAGTCACAAAGCGCTTCCACTGGGATGGGCTTAAGCGGGGTCTCCCGGCGGAACTTCAGAGGGAGCACCTGCTGGCTGCGCTTCTGCAGGGACTTCACCACATCATCATACTTGTCCAAGGCCTTCTCCTGGTCCTGGTGAAGACAAGGCAAAATCCTGATGCACCAGGGAAGAGACAATCAAGGCAGACAATGGGATATGGACAAAGTTGTGCTGGCCAAAAGCAGAGGGGCAGGGCCATAGCTCAGTGTGATGTGCAGCTGCAGTCAACTCTCACACTCAATACTTGCCTCCAGCTCCCTCAGCAAAGATTCAATCTGGTATCGATCCTTGAAATCCGGGCTGTATTTCTGGTCCAGGTCTGTGTCCACTTTCCTGAGAAGGTCCTGGGCATCCTTAGCATCTTTTTGGAACTGTTTGGGGTGGGAAGCAACTCAAAAAAGTCAAGGGATCCTCTTTGAGACAGAAAAACAATGTACTGCACCCTCACAACATGACTGTCACAAAGGGGTGTGGACACTTTCCCCTCCCCCTCTCCCTGCAAGGCAATAATTCACTTGTTGGTAGAGTGGAGGAGAAGGAGGAGAAGCTACAGCCCCTGGCATGGGGGGTTCTAGAGAAATGAAATACTATTCTCTCTTCCACATCAGGGATGGGAGCCTGTGGTCCTCCAGATATTGCTGGATTATACCTCATGTCTTCCCTGACCATCCGCCATGTTAGCTGGGGCTTATGGGAGTTGGTTCCAGCCCTATCTTAAACAAAATAGATTCAGGGACGACTGAATCTATCAGTTTTGGTCCTCTATCTCTTTTTTCCAACCTTAAATTTAGTTCTCTGGATTTCTGCAGCTATTTGTGATTTTTTAAAAAACAACAACAACGTGAGCATTTTAGTGTGAATTTTTCCTAATCAAAACATTTCCGTATACAATTTTGACAAATGTACATATTTTTGCAAGGCAATTTCTCCAATATAATGCATTTTTGCATTTGTTCTTTCTCTAACAGGTGCAGTTTTAAGCACACTTTTCTGTAATCTATGCATTTTTGAACACACTGGTTGGTAGGAACCACACTGCAAAATTCAGAGAACTGCGACATTGAAGGAAATCCAGTTTGTGTATTCAGGAACTGTGAATTAAAATGCAAACCTAAATTTCCCCCCATCCCTTCTACTGCCACCCTTCCCCACCCTCCCCATATTCATTTTATGAAGGGCTATGTTTCAATTGTTTATGATTGTCTGGTGTTTATTTTATGATTGGAAACTGCCCTGGGATCTGAATGTATATGCTGAATGTCAGCCTACAAACAACAAACAAAATGAGTTTGGGACAGGTAGGTTCAGGCTGGATCAGCAATGGCATCACCACTGTTTGTGCTTTGTTTCTTTTAGGGTTTGGGGATTTATGTATTTTAAAAAACAGGAAGTGGGTGACAACCTGCAAAAGAGGACAAGCTTTTCTCCCACCTCTGTGAAAAGCACCAATCTATCCCAATGTATCTCAATCACCCCTTCAGTGCAACTATTAAAGAGACTGTTGTCCCTTTCATCTGGTCACATAGGAACATAAGAGAAAGGAAGCTGTCTTGTACAACATCGAACCTTTGTCCATCTAGCTCAGTATTGTCTACACTGACCTGTCCAGGATTTCGGGCAGCGTTCTATCCCAGCCCTACCTGCAGAAGGTGCTCTGCCACTATGCTATAGTCTTTCGCACCCTAAAGACAAAAGTGGGAGCCTGCATAGGGGTGTTTTAAAGGACCCCCCCCCAGTTGTGTGTGGGCCTCTTGCCTAAAATTCAAGTAGTCAAAAACTACTACTCCTACTACAGTCAACCAGAGAAAAATGAAGGGCAGCAAAATATTACCTGCTAACTAGGGAAATCTCCAAGCAAAGAGACATGCCTGCTTTTGCCCCAAGGACAATCGAAGCACAGAATCTGGGAGCCTCTGCCTTTCTGAGCCACCTGCAGAAGGCAGATGCCTGCTTGATCAGTAACACCTGACAGCAAAGAGGTTCAGGAAAGAGTGACGAAGGGGGGTAAAACAGGTCGGGCAAGATTGTTTTCTCACCAGCTCCTTCGGCTGTTTCCCATACAAGCAAGCATTGCAGCACACAACGTGGGTACCTCCTTGCTTAACACGAAGCTGTGCTAGACAAACTGTCTGGCAGGACAGCTTGCTATTTGATTATCAGGAAAGCCACCTCCCTGCTGTCCTCCCCTGCAAATGACAACATCTGACTCACTTGCTCAGAACAAATCCCTGGGCTCAGAAGTGTGTGCCCTTTGCACCAGGCCCTGGGTGGTGGATCTCAGGGTTTGTGGGGTGGGGAAAACAAGGCATATCCTTCAAGGCTGAAATCTGCCCACAGCTGCTCTATGGGACAACCAGGCCTCTGGGCCTCCAACACTGCCACTAATTTACAGCCACCCATCTCATCGCTCCCTTAGTGCTGCCATGCTGGTGGAAGCAGAGACACAATGGAGCATGTTTGGGGAAATCTCAAGGATTGTAGAAATACTCCCCCCCTTAAAAAAAACCTTAAATAAGGTTTTGTGAGGTTTGCAAGAAGTTTTGTGAGGAGTATTATTAGAAATATTGTAAAAATGGACAAGGGGGAGGATGATCTGTTAAGAGATGTAAAGGCAATATAAAGTTAAGAAATGCATAAGAAGTGGTTAAAACGGTGGATCATCAGAGGTGCTGAGGGAAGTCTAAAAAGATTGTATAAGTGATAAGTTTTGTGGCACATTTTATAATTTATATGTTAAAATTAATAAAAAATATTATAAAAAAAACTTAAGTAAGGTGGGGAAAATTCCTCCCTCCTCTAAAAACACCCCCCCAACACCCGAGGACTGAGCATGCCCAGTGATCACCAGGGGTCATGGAATGTTGAATATCAGCTGGAAAAGAAAAACAGAAAACTGAGCAAGGGGACAGTTCACAGAAGTGTCGCCCAACCTTTTTGGAGCAGCAGTGGTCACATCTAGAAATATGAGCAAATTTCAGGAGACTACCACAATCAGCCTTCTCTCCCCCCCCCCATTGGAGTTTTTTTCCTTCCTGATCTAAATCATTTAAGTCAACCGCACTCAAGCCAGCCACTGCCAAAAGGTAAAATAAAAGACAACTGGGCCCCTCAAAATGAAGTCTTCACAGGTACCAGGTAAAGCACAAGGGGGCACAACAGTAGGGATACTAGGGATTCTCTTTGGAGTAGATCCACTGTGTTGGATTCAATGCAAGCTCCACTCCGCAATCCCACTGAAATTAACAGGCATGACTGACTCAGGTCCTTCCATGGGTTTACTCCAAGTAAGACTTAGCTGAGTATAGCCCACTGAAATTAATGGACCTAAATTAGTCTTAGATTCTAGCAGGTCTTCTCTGAGTATGACCAACTCCAATTGGGGTTTACAGTATCCTGAAGGAAGTTGGTTGGTTGGTTGAGATCCTGAATGGGAGCCATCTTGCTAGAGGGCAAAGATGCACTGCTGCATTTTCTGACAGCCCCTCCTTCTAAGTGCCCTCAATGGAAAGGTACCTGGTGATAGTCCTCCATGAACTTGAGGTGACTCTCCTCACAGATAAGCAAGTTGAGGTACTCCTTCCAGTCAGCGTGGACTGCCTCGATGTGAGCCTGCAAGCAAGAGGATAGCAGGTAATGCTCAGTAGGTCACAGAAGGGCGGTGGCGGGGAGACACCTCTCAGGGACCAAGAGAGACTCTGATAGGGGACCAGCTGGGGGTGGAGAAAGGATCTCATGCGCATGACAGCAGCCAAACTCACCTCAATGGGGATCTTCCCAGGGTGACTTTGGGCCAGTAGCTTATTGCCGTCCTCGTGCAGCTTGTTGATCGCTCCCTCTTTTTCTTCCAAATTCCGGTTGATGAAATTCTAAAGGGAGAAGGAAGGAAGCAGAGACGTTACCATCTTATGTCTCGGCGGTCCACAACCCAGTCGGGCAGAGTGGTCTAGGGGGATCCAGCACCCATTACTATTTCCGCAGCAGGGCCCCTGTCTCTAGCATGCTTAGAGGCACTCAGTCAGCATGAAAGGGGAGCTTTTCAGCCTCTATATGCTCCCAACACTAAGCACTGAGGAACACTGAAAACACAAGGGGCTTCAGTTTCAACTAAGTTCTCTTATGTACAATGGAACTTCAAGGAAAAGACGGATGTTGGAGCAGTCCAAAGCATTTCCCCATGTACAGGCACAGGAAATTATTAGATTCAGGTGAAAGGCAACACATGGAGATCTGCATTGATGGTTGCAATGCATCCTTGGTTATTATTCTTGCGTAGTCTTTGAAGGTTGTGGCTGTGACTATCATGAAGAGACTGACACTTCTGAATTTCCTACTAACACTATTGCTGTGACTCTCAGCAGGTCAAGGAAACATTGGTTTCAACCCCATTCCACACAGGGCCTTTAGTTGGATCGAGGTCGTTGGAGTTCACAAAGCTTCTCTCCACAGGTTACCTCTTCTGTCTCCTTGCCAGGTTTATTTTCCTTAATTGAATTTATAAATAAATATTGGTGAGAGCCGATGTTCATCGTATTGAGAGGAGACCCATTGAAATTTATGGATCTGCTCTGAGGACGACTTAGTTGGCTGTCACCCAATGTAAGTAACACTTAAAAGAGTTTTGTATCTAACAGTCATACCCAAAGTAGACCCACTGAAGGAAGTGGGTCTAGTCTGAACCTCACGTAGTTGGATACAAACCACAGTAGCAAAGGCAGGTCCCAATCCTGAGCAGTTTACAGTCTAAAATTATGCAATGCAATTAGCAACAACAATATCACCGCTAACACCATTTATCTAACACCTGTGTACACACTACTTTTAAAGTATATGTGAAACACATTCTTTCCCAAAAGATTCTGAGCACTGAGTTTACCCTTCACATATTTACAGTTCTCAGCAACCCTTAACAAACTACGGGGCCCAGACTTTTGTGAGGGGGAAAATGGGCTTTGGATGTGCTTTGAAAGTATAGTATGTACCAAGGGTTTGTGATTTCTTAAGATGTACAGATCAGATTAGTTCATACTGGAATTCACGATGATTACCACCTCCTTTAATATATTTCTGCCCTTCAGCTTCGATTCAGGCTGAATAATTCAGATCCAAATGCCAGAATGCGTTTTCCACACAGATCTCAAAGTCAAACTGCCTCCTGAGGGGGGATAAGCTCTGGGGAGAAAATGTACCTCATACTGGCGCCGGCGGCTTGGGTAGTCGAGGTTACGGTCACTCCAGTCAAACTGCATCCTGTCTTTGGCCTGCTGATCTAGCCAGTAGAGCTTGTTGGTGCAGCGCTGCATGTAATCCTGGAGCGAGTTCAAATCCTGCTGCCTCTGTTGGGATCCTGACTGCAAGGAGAGAGGGAGTTTTGCCAACCGTCAAGGCTTGGAGATTGGGAATTACAGAGAGCAACTCGAGAGAGGGCTAAGTCTACTGTGAAATACATAACTTGTGCACTCCTGTCTCCTGGTGTCAAGATTCTAGACCACATTGAGCTGGGAATCGGAGGGGCAGGGAAGGAATAGCAGTCAAAGTATCGTGTGCACTTTGACCAAGCTCTGATCAAAGTAAGGAACAACAGAGAGCACACTCAGGGTATGACTCAAAGGGCCCTTAAATGCTTATTGACGCTGATCAAGGCTTCATGTGCTGAGATACAGTTTAGGCGGGTGTTGTTGGGCGGGTTGCTATTGATAGTATTTTGTGCATCTTTATTTTTATATCTTATTATGATTTATGTGGACATTTTCAATTTGGTTGTGTACTTTTCGATGTTTTATTGTTTATGAGTACTTTTGTTATGTTTATAATTACGTAATTTTTTTCATGTTGGTAAGTCCCCTTGAGTATGTTTTGAACTATGGAAAGGTGGCACGTATGCAGGTATCCTCCTCAGCTGTCTTAATTCAGATGGGGCATAGCATGCCAACCAAGGTCTCAGCCACACCACACATGTAAATCATATGGCTTCCTCCAAAGAGTCCTGGGAACTGTAGTTCACAAGCCTCACAGAGCTACAGTTCCCAGCACTCTTAACAAACCAAAGTTCTCATGATGCTCTGGGGGAAACTGTGTACATTAAATATGTTCTGTATATGGTATGAACGGGACCCAAGAGTCTCCTCACATCACCTCTGAGCTGCTTGGATGTACCAAAGATAGTCCCTGATCTTTTGAGGACAGAAAATAAAAAGAACAAGGTCTTACCAGCAGTTTCTGATATTTCACCTGGAGCCCACTCATATATTCCTGGAAACAAACAAAGAGAAGATGAACAAAAGACAGGACAAGGCTCCCCAAAGAGGGCGTTACCACACTTCCCAAAGCAAACACACTTGCTACGTGCATGCAGCTTTTAATCAAATGATCAATCGATCACTGGGGAAGAGGTGATTTACATCCCCCAAGAGGGTACTGGGTTCTGTCTAACTCCTTTCTTTTTCTTTTTGCTCTTCTTGCCAAAATCAGTGAGTCTTTGGGAAGGGCAGGGGGGAAATATGATGGAGGGGAGCAGGTGAAGCCTTTGGGCTGGGGGTTAGCGACCCCAATTTGTGCATTTGATTTTTATACTATCCTTCCTCCAGTGATCCTATACCAAGGAAATCCTCTCCTTTCTCGTCTGGTTATCTAACCACTACAACACATGGTCTTGGTTGGTGTGTTTATGTGTTTGCTGTGGGAGACGGTTATAACACACGGCAAAAGTATTTTGTTGAGTATTTATTTATTGGATTTGTATCCACCCTTCCTCCCGAAAGAGCCCAGAGCAGCCAGCACATAAGCTTTATCTTAAGCATTCTAAAATAGTTAAAACATTATAAAAATAGATTCAGTAAACAGTAAATACAAATGTTTTCAAATACCTCCTGAAAATTAATAATAGTGAGACAGACACACCTCACTAGGGAAGGCATTCCTCAAATGGGGAACCACCACTGAAAAGGCTCAACCGGGCAGCCCCTCATGGTGGCAGCCCAACAAATAACCTCTCTCATTCAAAGAGTAAAGCTTACAGAGTCTATCATTTAAAGACTATGTAGGCTGCGGAGGAGAAAGGAGAGGAGCTAGAGTTAGGTAGGACAAAGTAACATCTGCAACACTTACTCAAACCCGCTACACAAGGTGGTGTTGGCCCTTGAACTGTGTTTGAATCACTTTTTGGGAGATCCCTGAAGCTCCTGAACCTTTAGCTGGGGTACATCGGGCAGAAATCCAACAGGTTCAGCTTTCCTCATCATCGGAGCCCCTGTGACTGGGAAAAGCTACACCAGTTGGATTTCTCCTGTCACTAGTTAAAGGCACAGGAACTGCGTAAAACCAATTCTGTCCCCTCCCCTCCTCCTGAAGAGCTGCAAAGCAGGCATTAGAAGCACATGATACCTTGTCACCCTCCTTGCTGATGTGTGGTCCGATAGCCATCACTTCATTATGGAAGATGTTGTGCTCCTCCACCTGACCGTTGACTGATGGCAAGTCAGTGCCGAAGCCCTTGCTGTTCAATATTTCCTAGTGGTAAAAGAAAAGGGGGAGGTTCCAGTCTTTCCGCCAAACTCCTGGCAAACAAAGCAGGCCAAGAACATAGCAGCACAGGAGGCTGCCTTATACAGAGTCAACCCATCAGCCTGTTTAGCTTAGTATTGTCCACAGCCAATGTTCTGCAGCCTTGAATTCCCCAGATGTTGTTGCACTACACCTCCCATCATCCCTGACCATTAGCTAAGCTGGCTGGGGCTGATGGAAGTTGTAGTCCAACAATGCCTGGGAACCGAAGGCTGAACACTCATCTACACCAGCATGCAGACAGTTCTGTGCCAAAAATTCCTCCTGCATTTTTTAAAACATTCCTCATCAGAAATTGCACTTGGAAATTATCAAAGAGGACAGGGAAATCCTTATGGGTGGGATGTAGGGATTTTGTGGCATTTGCCTTATTTTTGAGATGGCAGGTGGATGCTGTTGAGCTCCCTTTCTGTCGTTCTACAAACCATGTCTCTAGCAGTCTGCATTCTGCAGCCTTCCTGGGTGCCCACATTTCAATAAAGACCATTTAATTAAACCATGTTCAATTAAAGGGAAGACAGGTAACTCTTCCCATAGGTTGTTTTTTCTTATTCTTTTTCAAATCAGCAAGCACGGGCAGCCAGAGAGTTTGCAGTGCACTAGAGAAATGTTTATAGGGAAGGAAACAGAGACACCACCCTTGGCTACCTTGCAAATGAAAATGCGAGTCTTGGGAACGAGGCAACAAATCACCAACCCCTTTTGGCGGGGCCTCAAATGTCTGAGAACCTGGAGGACAGATTTCAATGCAGCGCTACCTCCAGATGTCCCAGTGATGGCTGGGGCTGATGGGAGCTGCCGTATAAAACATCTGGAGGGCACCAGGTTGGGTACAGCTGGTCTACACTGATTTGGCATGCACTGCAAAATTCAGTGCAGCGCAACTTCCGAAAAATGGCTGCATTTTAGCTTGCATCTTGTTTTGGAAAGAAGGTTGACCTTTTAATGCAAACTGAACTGAATGTGTCTCCCGTCCCTAGATGCAAGTATCTAGATTGTTGTCGCTGCTGTCTTTCCCTTCCTCCAAAACAAAACTGTCCTGTTTTAAGCCCACTTGTTGCAATTTTACACAGGATGGCGCTCAGCCAAGATGCAGAAGGCATCCTGTGATGCTGGATAGCCGTGCCCTGCCCCTGGCAAAGGGAGGGAAGCTCCCGCCAGGCAGCCCAGAGACAGAACTGCAAAGCTAGCAGAACCTGGGCTGCTGCACAAAGCCTCTCATTAAGCCAAAAGCTAGGGGGCATCTCCAGCCAGCAGCCAGGGAGGATTTGGGGGGGATTTGCAACTGGAAGCTGACACAGCAACTGGAAGAGGAGCAAAAATCAACAGCGGGGAAGAGATCTGGCAGCCTAAAGCTTTTATCTCTCTACCCCGTTTTGTGAGCTGATTAACAGTGCCCAGGCACCTGACGAGTGGGGCAGGGGCAGGACTTTCATTCAAGACAACTGACACTGTGTGAGCTTTTCAGTACATTCATGGCTGGAGTAGGGGTTGATGGAGACAGGTCCATCCAGATGAATGGGGGGCTGCCCCACCAACCTCAGTCTGCCCTCAGCCAGCCCCCACCTGTTTACCTACCTCCTTAATTACCAGTCCAGGTGACAACACATCCTCCTTCTTAGTTTTAGTGTTAACCCTTGCAGAACTCAGCAGGGAGGAGGATGGGGCATTTGCTCTGCCTGTCATTGTCTCTGGCTCCACCTGTTATTTCTTCTGGCTCCACCTACTCTTGGGCCACCTGCCAGCCCACAGGTGGAAGGTACCATTTCTGAATGCCCACCCCATACAAATAAGGGAGCTTCATCCCAGTGATGGAAGTACTGTAGCTATTTTTAACTTTAATATATTGAATTGTTTTAAATTGGTTTATATATACGGAGCTGTTCTTAATAGGGGTTCCCCCCCACTTTTATTGTTTTCTGATTGTAACTGTTTTATTTGTTTTATAATTGCGTATTTTACTGTTGTAGCCCATTCTGGGACACTGTGGTTGAGATAGGAAATCTAAATAATATATACGGAAACTAGGCAAAGCTTATAGTGCATGGATTACGTTAATGTGCACTTTTTAAAATGTGCAATTAGCAGTTAAAGGGAAGTATGAGACGTATTGGGGTTGCAGAGGGTGGGGATGGAGCAAAAGGAAGGTTTGTAAACAACTGTTTGGGGTGAGGGGTTGGTCTTTTGGAAGGTATGCTGGAGGATGAGCTAAATTCTCCCTCTCCCCACCACTGGTCCAAAATGCTGCTCTGGCTTCAACTTACACCCCCCCCCCCAACTTACCTACCAAAACAAACAAATATCCCCCATGCAAGTTACCTGGATTCAGGCAATTAACGTCATGTTTAGTTAAGGCCCAGAATGGATTAAAAAAAAGCTCTTTGGCAAACAGAAATCTAGCACAAGAGGGAGAAAAGTTCAAGCCCAGCTCTCTCTCTCTACTGCACTACATTTCTAGTTCCAGGGAGATGTGCAGGAAAACTCCACTTAGTGCTTTGCTGGATGCCCCCAAAGCCCATATTTTGGAAGAAATGGCTCCAATCTAAAGAAAAAAGAGATCAGATGTTCACTAACTGGATGCAAAGCACCTACTCACCTGCTTCTCTTCGATCACCGTGGTCCAGTTGACTTGAGGTTCAATTTCCTGTGGGGTGAAGTTGTAGATCTGATCATGTTTCACACGCAAGTTGCCCACTCTCTCCTTTAGTTGCCGGATGCTGAAGGAAGGAGAGAGGATACAAGCAATTACTGGTTTCTCTGAACAACGTATAGACGAATCATTCCCCCTCCCCTAACTTCAATACTACTTTCCTCAAAGTGAAACATTTTGGAGACCCCCCCCAAAAAAACCTCCTACCCCACATTGCAAAAATGTCATATCAATTAATTCTGTTTTCCAAGTGTGGATTTTAAGGATCTACACTAATTACTCAGTAACGCACTCTCTCAGCCTAACCTACCTCACAGAGCAGCTGTTGTGAAGATAAATGGGGTGGTAGAAGACCTGACTTGAACTAGCCTAATGTGTTGGTTTGAATATATATATATATATATATATATATATATATATATATATATATTGTGCATTTTGAGAGAAAATTTGTATAGAAATGCATTTTGGGGGGCGTGGGGAGAATGTGCCTTAAATCAAAATATGTATTTTGGCACTCAAACCTGGACTTATGGTTGAGGGCCTGCTAAAGTGGCATCAACTGATAACAGACAGATTTGCTCACCCCTAGATGAAAGTTTCAAATCAAGCACCATCCCATATTGCAGTGGGGGGGAGGACCTCTGGCCCATGGGCCTAATTGAGTACCTTAGGCCTCTAAATTTGGCCTGCAAGGCCATTGGGGCAAACTAGACCCACCTGTCCGTCAACTGATGTCATATGATATTAGGTGTGGAGATCTGTTTTCTCCAACCTAAGTGTTAGCTAAGCTTATATTTCATCTTAGTGCTGTGGTGCTCTTTACAAGGCGGCAGGCAGTAGCTTATCTCTGATCTTAGCACTGTAGGAGTACAACTTTACTATCAAGCTAAGCCTCTGCTGCTGCCTTTTGCAGTCATAGAGCAGGCAGAAGCTTACTTCTGATCTTAGCACTGTAGTCCCACCATGCTAAGAACAGAGATAAGCCTCTGCCTGCTCTCTTGGTTTGAACTTTTCATCACCTGCCAGTGGCCCCACCCATTTGTCAAAATAGCGCACAAAAGGAGGGCCCAACTCTGGATCTAGCGCTCTGCCCAGATCCGCTTCCCCACCCCTGCCCTACTGGCTTCCCCAGACTCACTCTTCTGTGATCATATCCCCCTGTGGGTGTTTCATGTGGCGAGCGATGGCAGCATCCCCATCCAGGACATAGAGGAGCTTATCGGATTCTATTAGCTTATCTGCCGTGAGGTCTTGGTACTCAGCAGGTTGACCGGCCTTAAGCTTGTGCAGGTCCTGAGAGAGCGTTTGGAAAGGGAGAGCAGGCTTATATAAACAGCAGAATCAACATAGCGCAAAAAGAAGTATCTCGGGTCCTCTTCCTAACCCCGCAAACCTACAGGGAAGAAGAACTGATCCAGGGATCACTCTAAACAGATCCACCCCACTTCTGTTCTTCACTCACAGCTTTGAGCTGGTTTTCATTGTTAAATAGAAGCAGAATCAATAGAGCTGTGAGGTTAGAACATTAAGAGAATGGGACTCCAAATGAAACAGCAGAGTTGGCACCTCCTTCCTTCTAGGTACAGAGGCTGACCAGACCATCAAGAGTGATGACAGGCAGGACCCAAACCAATAACTTCAACTTACAAGAAAGTTAATTCCAACGAAACATCAGGAAGAACTTTCTGGCGGTAAGAGCTGTTCAACAGCGGAAGGGACTCGCTTGGAAGGTGGTGGACTATTTTTCTTTGCAGGTTTTGAAGCAGAGGTTGGATGGCCATCTTTTGGGGTGCTTTAGTTGAGATTCCTGCATTGCAGAGGGTTGGACTAGATGGCCCTTGGGGTCCCTTCTAACTCTACAATTCTATGACAGCATCCTTCACCATACATCAGGCCAGGAGACTACTATAGCAGAGCTCCGGCAGAGGGGAATGGTTAGGGACTCAAAAGGAGGAGCCGGGTGAGGTGGGGAGCTGCCACCACACAACACAGATCAGCCGCCAGAGGCTGCTGGCTCACTCTGCCCAATGGCTGGTGCCCATTGGGACTGGTAGGGTGGAAAGCAGGAAGGCCAAATAGTCTGTGGAGCCAGAGCCAATGGCAGGCAGAGCCAGCTCATTCTAGTTTTGTCCCCCAACTTCTTCCTCCCTGCTTAGTTCTACAAGGGAACACTGAGACTGAAGAGGAGGAGGGAGCCAATAGCCAAGTCCCAACTCCAAATTGTTTGGAAGAAGGAAGTCAGGCAGATGGGGCTGGCTGAAGGCAGACAAAGGTCGATGGGGCAGCACTAAGGGACAAATGCCTCCACTGCCTAATGGTAGGACAAGCCCTGCAAAACAATAATCATTGCTAGGTTAGAAAGTAGGAATTAAGCCTATTTTACAATCTGAATTGTATAATTAGAGATGGACATTTGTCACCTTAGGCTGCATTTACATTTAAACTGGTCTGAATTGAAGTTTCACCCAAAAGGAAGCCTAGAAAACGTAGTTTTGTACAGGTTTTGAGAACGCTGTGTTAGAGAATTCCCAGTATCCTTAACAAACTACAGATTTTCTGGAGGACGCCATTTGCTTTAGATGTGTTTTAAATATATGGTGTGGATGTCACCTTATTTGGTTCCCCCAAATGTTCAGAAGCCACATTTTGTTTAATGTTACTTTTTTTCAACCTCTGGTTCTGTGTTTTATACTGATCTTATTTTATTGCTAGTTTTTAATAGCATTTTTATCTAAGTTTTTTGTGGTTTTTGATTCATAGAATCATAAGAGTTGGAAGGGATCCTGGGGGTCATCTAGTACAGGAATTTCAACACACGGCCCCATCCTATTTGAAACCACACCAGACCCTGCTTAGCTTTGCAAATGTACTAGCAATTTTATTGCTGCACCATTATTGATATGATTCATTTCTATGTAAAAACCATGTTGAGGTTATTTTTTTTAAAAAATTAAAAGTGGTATATAAGAATGCTGAAATAAAATAAACTCACGTTTTGCATCTTAGAGTCTGCTTCCACAATGTTCTTTTCCACCTGGTCAGCATTTTTCTGCAACTTCTCAATCAGCTCAGACAACTCCTTGCTGGATATGCTGCGAAGAGAGAAAGAGATTTCAAGAAGGATGAAACAGCAGATCACAGCCAGCCAGGAGCTCACTCAGGGATATAAGATAGAAGGAGCAAGAGTTTCCCTGTGCATATGCAAAGTGCTTTTAATTCACCACCAAGTAACTGCAGCCAGTTGGCCACAATTTTTGGAATAAGAGGAGGAGGGGATTCCACGAAGCACTCAGCCCCTAACACCTTACAAAATAAACACTACAAAAAGCAGCAGTTGACTACACTAGTCAGTAAAATCAAAAGAACAGTAGACTACTTCAGTGTAGGGTTTGAAGGACTTTTTTCTGGTGAAGATAAATGTTTATAAAGCACTTTGCTTTCATAGCTAGTCTAATTTTTAATCTGCAAAATGCTTTTACAACTTTAACCTTCACCCAAACGAGCACCCTGTGAGGTTGGTTGCAGATAGCAGCATTTTAATGCTGGGGGGGAACCAAGGCTAGTAGATAGTGACTTGCCCAAAGCTAAAGATCAAAGCCATGTATGTGTAACACTTGCCAATTTCTTTTTACTGGTCCTGCTTCTGTGCTTTTAAACAGCAACTGGACAGGCATAAATTGTGTGAAATTTATCCCTAGTAGGGAATTAAGAGGTGGGTAAAGTTTAATTCATCCATGACATGCTGCTGTAGGAGCCACAGGAGCTGCCCATGGACAAAAGTTGGCAACTGGCCATTGATGAGTCTTTGGACAAGAGAGGAAGCATTCAGCAATTCAGATGGGTGTCTGCAGTCTAGCAGGTTGTGGTTGATGCTCCACCCATGATGGCCTCTGGGCACCCAGAAGAGATTAGTGTCTTCTACCCAATGCCACTCTGCCTTGGTCATTCCCCATCAAGTTTCCTACATTGAAGCCTAGTCATGCAATCTTTGCTTGAGGGCAGTGGAGTTGGAACATCCTCCTTTTTCTGGAAGTGACACTGGCTCCGGTTTGGCAGAGTTGGGGCAAAATAGCAAACTGTAGAGGCAAATCCAAGATGGTGTCAAGCCACAAAGCCAACTGCTGTTGCCTTTATGAAACAGCCTTTACAGGGGTGCCAACTAGAATAAAATATTTGGGCGCAGCAAAAGCAACATGGGAGGCAGCAGGTACAAGTCTCTGCAGCCACAGCAGGCGCTGTGCTTCTCCAGCGGGTTATCATTATTTATTATTGTTAATTCTTATTTATTGTGATGATTATATGTGGTCAAGATCTGGCCAAACTTCAGGCTTGCAGAAACTACCTTTTTGTTTTTTTACTGGAACCTTGAAGTCCATCAAGTAGAGGAAAGCTCAAAACAGTGGTTTGTGTGAAGGCGGAACCAGGTCCAAAATGGGGCAGAGCCAATGACCTTTTGAACCCCATGAACCATACTCTGAGATGGTCAGTAAATCAGCATGGGAGTTACTACAGATCAGAGATCCTAACAGGGTTAGACAAAGGCTAAGCCTGCCTGCTGTCCTATCATCCGTAATTTGTCTCCTTCAGGAAGCAGACGCTCTCCCCTCTCTCACTTGTCTCAAATTTCAGTCCACTGAGGCTTCCCCCATAGAACTCAGTGGGATTCTTCTGAAAACTAAGTCACCCTTGTTTGCGGAGTCTTCTGGATTAGAGTACTGTTTCTTATAGTTCTGAAACTTGAGGCGCATTCCTGCCTGCCTACCCAGCCGCCCCCAAATCCAAATTAGAAGCAGTCTCCCTGCTTACATTGCAAAGGGTTAAAATATGCAAAAGCAGGAATAGCCTTCTGCATGACTCCCTGATAAGAGCACACAGGGACACAACAGGCAACCACCTCTGCAGACAGTGAATGAGTGATTTGGACTCATGGAAATCTTTGGTTGTTTCATTTATTTCTCATACCATAATAGCTGCTCCCTCGTGGCAGATAGTTTGGGAATTACTGTGCTAGAGTGATGAAAGCCTGGCACTTGACAGAACCTCCCTCCTGCTTATACAGCACTGTTCCTACTAAGCAATTGCCTCTTGACTTGCCAAACTTGTTCTCTCTCCTAGCCAAGCATACTCTCGGACGGAGGGTGACTCACGGCTCCTCTGACTGACAGTTTTGGACAGGAAACGAGACAGCAGCACAGCATCCGGACAGGAACAACCAGAGATCCTGAACAAGGGGCAAGGTCTAATGAGAGGCTTGTGCACTGGAAGAACTATGCCAGCAGCATTCCTAGGCTTGTGAAAACTGAAGCAGACAACCACAACCAACCAACCAACCAACCCCTCCCCCCCGTTTTCCTAAATGATGCCTTAAGAAACAGAATGCAGCTTTTGCTTGCAAATGATAGGAATGGGTAAATTGGTCAATTCCGATTTCTCTCATTTTCTCCCAACCTTCTTCCGTTCAGTTCCCCATGTTTCCACTACAGTTTGCAAAATTAGGGTGAAAAAGACCCCACGAAAATTCATCAGCGTTAATTGTCCTCTAATTGTCAAGGTATGGTCAAAATCAGCACCACCACCATTTCCCAAATATTCTCCCCCTGTGAAAGTGGGGACCAGGGGGCGGCTGTTTTGGTCTCCCCACCTCCCTGTCTGAGGGCTCTCCCCCCCGCCACCTGATTCTGCATGGATGGTGATGTTTCAGATATACAGTCGTACCTTGGACCCCAAACACATTGGCTCCCGAACAAATCGTCTCCCGAATGATCAAAACCTGGAAGTGAATGTTCCGGTTTTCAAATGCTTTTCGGAAGCTGAACATTTGGCATGGCTTCTGCGGCTGCAGAACACTCCTGCAGCCAATCGGAAGTTGCGCCTTGGTTTTCGAATGGTTCCGGGAGTCAAACGGACTCCCAGAACGCATTCTGTTCGAGAACCAAGGTACGACTGTATAAGGTTTTGCACTCAAAGGATGGGTTTGCTATTACTAATTGGCTACTGCAGAAAATTATCATGTGCTAGAACCAACTGATACTGCGCTCACAACAGAGCCATCACAACAAACACATGTGGTGAAACGCATGAGCTGAACCTAAGAAGTGTGAAGATCCCAGTTCAGTTCTCACCTTGGCCACAAACTCACAAGGTAGCTCGAAGCAAGCCATTGCCACATCTGAGAAATGTGGCTAATAATAAAGCCACCAAGATTATGAATGTTTGAATTGCTTTGAAACCCACCCACCCCCAATATATATATAGATAGGATAAGTTAGATTAGTTTGTTTGGCATTTTTTATTTCGTTTTTGCAGGTGTATTCTGCAATATGTTATTGATGCAATAACAGTGCATTAGCAGTGAATTTATTCTGAACTGTCCGTTCATCATTCTGCTTGATTCATCGTTCTGTGATGCTTCCCCACTGTTACTGGAAGGAAACACTTGCACTATAGTGCAAGAAAATAAACAAGAACATTTTCAGTGCAAGAAGCTACAGGATTTCAGCAGGGAGTTACTGGGACAGGCACTGATTGTAAACAAAGCAGTATGTCTGCCCTAAAACTTTTGCAGGGGTAAACATTATTTGAAAGCAGGAGCACATATAACTACCCCAATAGCATCATGAGTGCAAATCATCGTGAATACATGGTAAAAAGCACTTCTAGAGGTGCCCTGAGTATTATCATTAGCATCAGAAACTCCTCCAGTATAATAAGGTGCAACAGACTCAGGGAAAATACTCCTACATTGGGTCACAAGAAGTCAATTCACCCAAACTTACAACTGGGGGCAAATGCACTTTTTCTGGTTGGTTTTGGCCTACCGCAGGCTTCACATTCATTCCACTTGTATTAAACTTCAAGCTTGGTGTCTGTCACTGTAGCTCTGCTCGATCAACAAAGGCATGCCATTCCTGCCAGGCTTCATATACCAGCAGCAAATGAACAGTATTGTGGAAGGGACAATAACCATTCAGTTTGCCTTTCAGACCCTGCCAGGCAGGCAAAATGATACCACTGGACTCTGGTCAGCAGAAGGCTGGAGAAACAAAACCCTCCCTAGCAGCTCCGCTGAGAAGCTGCACGTGCCAAACTGATTTACACAAGTGGGACTTGCAGCTAAATGTTGCAGTGTGACATGCTCCTGTCCAGGGCTCCAGCCAGCCATGGATGTTTTTTCAGAGTACTCCATTCCATTCCCCCTCCGGTTTCCCATCACATCCCCATCCATCGCACCAAAGCAAGTTTGGCACCAGTTCTCTCATGTGATTTATTCCATGCATGAATGCTGATGTGCTGTGGAAAAAAGGTGCCTTAAAATCAACTCTGCACCACAACCAATGTAGCTTTTATTTTATTTTTATTCTTATTCTTACATTTGCTAGGGAGATACTTTTTTCTTTCCCTTTTTAAGCTGGCATGCTCTTTCTGTTTCTCTCAGAGAGTTTCTCATTTTTCCAATCTTAAATTCAGTTCTCTACATTTCTGTAGCAATTTGCAAAAAACAAACGTATGATTCTATGAATTCTATGCATTCAAGGGAACATTTATCCTAATAAAAACATTTTTGCAAGCAGTTTTCCCTAATATAATGCATTTTTCCATGTTCCTTTCATGAATGCAAACACTTTTATGGACATTCCTCCCTAATACATGCATTTTGGATACGTTCTTGCTTGGAGGACTGCATTACAAAATTCAGAGGTGAATGAATTTCAAAATAGCACTGTGTTTTGCATTATGGTTCAAGAAGTGCAAATTAGTTAGTTTCTAATTTAAATGGAAGCAAAGCTGAATTTCCACCATTACCACACCATACTCTGCAAGAACTCTGGAGATTGCAGTTTTTGTTGCAGGTGTGAGAGCCTTAGACTCTTCACATAATTATTGTTACTGCAATTACTTGGCTATGATGAAAGTTAAACCGGTTTGATAATAGTAGTTCAGAGTTGCAGTGGGGAAACACCCAGGACCTCATCCACTATGGAATGAGATTTTAGATGTGAAATATGAGGGTTTTTTAAAAAAATAAAAAATAAAAATCTTACCCTGTTGCAAATAGGACATTATTGTTCCTGGTTATTCTTATTTCCTGAACCTAACTTGTTATCACACCCATTAAAAATATGCAGCCAGTATTACTGGAATGGTCTTCAAAACAGAGATCTGCATTCATGCTAACAACCAGAAAATGACTAAAGGTAAAGGTAAAGGTACCCCTGCCCGTACGGGCCAGTCTTGACAGACTCTAGGGTTGTGCACTCATCTCACTCTAGAGGCTGGGAGCCAGCGCTGTCCGCAGACACTTCCGGGTCACGTGGCCAGCGTGACACAGCATATTGTTAAATCAGATTTAGTGATAGCCACCCCCTTGGATATCCCAATGACCATGTTCTTCTTCCACTGTTGCAGGCAGTATGCCTCTGAATTACCAGTTGCTGAGAATCTCAAATAGGGACTGTGCTCTTCTGATCAAATCCTGCTCACGGACTTCCCATAGGGATACCTGCTTGGCCACTGTGAGAACAAAATGCTAGACTAGATGAGCCTTTGGCAGGGCTTTCCTTCAGTGACTTCAGGGTTTCAACACAAGTTGGCAAAGACTACAGAGGAAGCTTTATCAACCTGCCTAAGGAGTCAGGGGAGTGCCTGATTTCAAGACTGCTATAAAAATACAATAAAGGAACTTGGTGGGTCTGTGGTTGCAGGAGCAGGGACCAGGTGTAAAACTCCTAAGACAGTCATCCTCAGATTCAGAGCTTCAGGGTGAGCTCTCTCTCTCTCTCTCTCTCTCTGCACCTGGTCAGAGGCACTGGCGAACGCAAGCCCACATTAAACTCTGAGTAAAGACATCGACATGAACTACTAATGGAAGGCAGATGTAGTGTGGAGCCATTCAAGAGAACAGATGGTACTAGTATCCATTTGGCTGAGATTGGTTTTCTTTTTCATTAAACACTGTGGCTTAGCTATTCTTGGAGGGGGTCAAAGGACCTGTTTATTTACTGGAAGGACACCCTGGGCCTCCCTCTGTTGTGCCAGGGCATGGGTGGAGCAGCAGGAGGTTCTTTTGCCAAAGAATCCTGGAGGCTCTTCGGGACAAATTACTCACCCTTCTGCACTAGAAACTGCTTACCATCATTATTATTATTACAGTGGTACCTCGGGTTACAGACGCTTCAGGTTACAGACACTTCAGGTTACAGACTCTGCTAACCCAGAAATAGTACCTCGGGTTAAGAACTTTGCTTCAGGATAAAAACAGAAATTGCGTGGAGGGGGCAGCGGGAGACCCCATTAGCTAAAGTGGTACCTCAGGTTAAGAACAATTTCAGGTTAAGAATGGACCTCCAGAACGAATTAAGTTCTTAACCCGAGGTACCACTGTATTCATTATTTATTGAATTTATATACGTACCACCCTATACCCGGAGGTCTCATGTACAAGCACTTTGCAAAAGACTTTGCCATCTTTGCTCTTTTGTTTTGTGTATACCTCACTGAAGTTTAGTGAAGATTTGACAACCCTAAAAAGTATCTATTTTACAAACATGGAACACTAAGGCTGTGGGTTAGTGACTCTAGCAAGATATGCATATATAAAAAAAATGAGAGCATGTGATGTTAAAAGCACACATTCTCGTTGCAGTAGACACTCCCCTTTTTCTTTAATTGGTGCCATATGCTCTCTTTTCTTGCACCCTTAAAAATTGTGACTTCAGGACCACATGGGTTTTCCCTCCTCACAATCGCTGCCACTTGTTGCACGTAAACAGACCATTTGCATTTCCCACCATGGCTGTTCCCCTTAGGTGCACCCAGGGGCAGGCAAATCTGTCAATGTTGGTTTCTCTGTTTTTTGTTCTTCCAGTCTTCAGCTCGGTTCAGTTGAATTTTCATGGGGAATTTTAAAAAATGCAAACATGCTGAACTTAAGATTGGAAAAACAAGAAACCGAGAGAAACCCAAAATGACAGATTTGCTCAATTATACTTGCACAACTCTATGGACAATTTCATCTGCAGTCCTCAGCTGACACAAAGTAGTGTAGCTGAACAAAAGAACAAAATTGGACAATTTCCGCCCGTTGTGGATTTCACTCATCAAGAAAGCTCCAGAGAATCCCTTCACTTGTTTGCTCTGTGTGAGATCTTGGCCTTTTGAACTTAGCATGACCATCTATCTTCTCCCCCTCCCTCCTCCTCTCTCTCTCTCACACACAATATGCAGAACAATGAATGAAATTCAGGGGAACCCCCACTTATGTGGGGTTTCTGTTCTCGGCTACTGCACTGGAACCCTCCCCACCCCATTCTGCCCCTGCCCCACCTCCTTTTGGTGCCGAAAACATTGTGCACATCAGAGGGAGTGTGCATGCTGATCATTCGCAGGTGGGGAGATGCCTGTACAATAACATTGATCACACTTCCATTCTATTTTCAAGCATCATATCCAAGAATTTTTGTCTTATTCTGTTCACACCAGTTTGCCTGCAATCTTGTGCGAGTAAGCCCCACTGAATTCAATGGGGCTTACTTCTGACTCCGAGTAGACACACATAGGATTTTGCAATGTCATTCAACCTACCTAGTCCAGGTAGATAAGCATTCACAAAGACTGTCTGGTTAATAATTGGCTGCTTCCCGATATCTCCATCCCATTTAAGAACAAAAATATGACAACGGAAAGGCTTTGTGGGGAAAAGCCCAGCTTATCAGCATCTTCAGATGTCAGCGAGCACATGTCAAGATTAGCTCCAAAGAAACAGGAGAAAATGGATTTCCCACTGAGTGCTTGATTCACTAACAGTGAACAGCTGTAGAGACAGTTCCCAGAATTTTCTACCATGAGAGTTTTAAAGAAACCCCCATTTCAGTACTGCAGCTCTTGGTGACACCCTGCCTGCTCCTTGATGAAAGAAGAAAGTGGGTGAGAAAAATGCAAAAGTCCCTGCAGGTATGTCTTAGCACCTAGGACCAGGTAGGAATGGCATCAGAAGAACAAAGTGGAATTGAGGGGGTGTCAACTCAAGGCACATTCCAAACATAGCAAACCTTCAGGCTGCAGGCATTTGCCTGCCAAAACACACACACGACCAAAACAGGAAACCTGAACACCTGAACATCAAATTGCAAAGTGCTAAGTAAAAGGATTCTTAGCAACTGGGAAGCCAAAAGCAAACCAGCTTCTGTTTCTCTCCGTTTCTCGTTTTTCCAATATTAAGTTCAGTTTTCCCCATTTCCACACTGGCGCAGACTGCTTGAACTTGTCTGAACGAGGCATAAGCTTACTACAGGTGGTCTGGGTAGGGGGATGTGTGGAACCCAGAGACAGTTTGCCAACCCTGGTTCCCCCGCCCACTAGCCCTTTCCCTTCAGGGCCAGATCAACAGACATGGGTCCCTCTTCTCTGATCTCATTATTCACCTCCATGCCTCACCCACACAGAGAGACATATATTTTGAGGCAGAAAATCCCAATTGCTCCCACAGTTCTCAGTTACTCATTTATGCGTTTAAAGCCCTAAACGGCCTTGGTCCTGTATACCTGAAGGAGAGTCTCCACCCCCATCGTTCAGCGTGGACACTGAGATTCAGCGCTGAGGGCCTTCTGGCGGTTCCCTCATTGCAAGACGTGAGGTTACAGGGAACCAGACAGAGGGCCTTCTCGGTAGTGGCGCCTGCCCTGTGGAACGCCCTCCCTTCAGATGTGAAGGAAATAAGCATCTATCTTATCTTTAAACGACATCTGAAGGCTGTATTGCTGTATTGTTTTTAACACTCGATTGGGAGCCGCCCAGAGTGGCTGAGGAAACTCAGCCAGATGGGCGGGGTATAAATATTAAATTTATTATTATTATTATTATTATTATTATTATTATTATTTTATTATGCATTATATGCATTGATATTTCACGCTGCTCATAGTTAATCTATGGGACTCATTTCCACAGGAGGCAGTGATGGGCACCAACTTGGATGGCTTTAAAAGAGAAGTGGACATGTTCATGGAGGAGAGGGCTATCAGTGGCTACTAGTCATGATGACTACACCACCAGGTTAAAAAGCAGAAATACTTCTGAATACCAGTTGCTGGAAACCACAGGAGAGGAGAGGGCTTTTGTGCTCAAATCCTGCTTGCAGGTTTCCCACAGGAATCTGGTTGGCCCCTGTGAGAACAGTGGACCAGATGAGCCATTGGCCTGATCCAGCAGGCCCTTCTTACGTTCTTTGAGTCTACTCTTCACCATGCAGTCCCAGGATGGGTTACATCCAGCTAGGGATGTCAGAGAAGTCCGACAAAAATGGAAAAGGAAGCAGAAATTGCTACGGTTCTTTTGTTCACGGTGGTCAGGAACAGAAACTAGTCAAGCGAAAGCAATTGGTATCTGTTCACATTGTAGTTGCTTGTTTAGGTCTGCAAATGACAAGTAATTAATGACTTTTTTTTTACATTGGTTTGACATTTCCATTACATTGAAAGAATGTAAGTTACGTAACTTACATTAAATAGCAGGCAGTGAGACAAATAACATACTATTTGGCAGAAACCGAAGTGCAGCAGAACAGAACCAGCACTGATTCTGCTGAAAACTAGTCAGAATGGTGATCGCTGTCTTCTCACATGCCTACATCTAGCTCAGTACAAGTAGTTTAACTCATTATATGCATTACTAGACAATACATTAATCTGAACCAACAATAGCCAAAACCTGCAATAATACTGCAAGGGGACGGTATTCTGAAATAATAACTTGTTCATCCCACACTTTTCAGTGCATTTCCCCTTCACCTTCCTAACTGTAGGAAGTCTTTATTTTTTAAGTGGGTTTGCTATTCTGGGGCAATGGAATGTTTTAACCTACTGTAATTATACAAACCTAAAGTTATGGGAGATGCTTGAATTTCTTCATGCAACATTATGTAAGTTGGAGGCCCCCTGAATTTGTTGCCTTCTCTTCCTTTCAAGGCTTTTCTGAGAGAGGGGGTGCAGAGGCAGAGTCTTGGCCTGTACACCTTTAAGATCAGACACTGATCTCCAGCTACAGGTGTTCAGTTCTCCCCAGACTTCCACTGAAATTCCTTCCTGTCATCACCACCAACCACATCACCATCATGCTTGTTTTGAATTTGTCACTCAAAACTGCAGTGGGAATAACAACTCACATTTCACCGGTGCACTGAGTATTAATTACTAGGGTTGTTTTCAAAGCACTAAATGAACTGATGAACATTTCACCCTCTACCTTGAGCAAGGAAATACAATAAAGAGTCAATCAAGAGAGTCAGTGTGGGGCATGGTGTCAGAGTGCTGCACTGAGACCTGGGAGACTGGAGTTCAAATCCCCACCTGGCCATGAAGGTCACTGCCTCTCAGCCTGGTCTACCTTACAAGGCTGTTGTGAGGGATTAAATGAGGTGAAGGGAGAATCATGTACACCACCTTAAGCTCCGTGGAGGAAAGGAGGGATACAAATGCAATAAATAAATAACAAACAATAAGGTTGGCTGTTCCACAATGCCATGTGAACAGGACTCTGTGGCCAACAGGGAATTTGTGCGATCAGCTAAATAGCCACTTTCATTCTACAGCATAATTTTCTCTAGAAGCTGAGTCTTCATTAAAAGAAATGAAGCGTCTTGCCTCTTGTGGTTGAGAAGATCATCTTCAAGGTGACCAAATCTCAGAAAGGAGAAGCCAGGCTAACAGATTTACTGTGGTTTGTGCCACGAGAAATTTGTCGGTGACACGAGATTCATTGAGTATGTTATATAAGCAGAGAAGCCAATATCTGCCATAATCAGCCGAAAGGTTTGGAATAATTTTTATGCTGCATTTGAGCTCCAAGGAGCTTAAAGCAACATTATAACCTACCTCACAAAGCTCTTGTGAGGATGGATGAGAGAAAGTGATTTGCTCAAGGCTGGCCAGTGAGCCACGCAGCTAAGCAGAAATATGAACTTGGGTTTCTTTGCCACATCCAAGGCCTGGATGCCACCACAACAGCTGGAAGCAACTGAGCACTGCTGTCATTAACTCTCTGAAGCCTAAATATGACATGTGAGCCCTCTAAACAAAATTTCCCATGCCTTCTTATAGGTCAGTGTTGGGTTTCCCTGATGTTGTTGGACTTCTATTCCCACCATCCCTGCTCATTGGCTAAGCTGGCTGGGGATGATGGGAGTTGTAGTCCAACAATATCTGGGGGAACAAGATCGAAGATCAATGTCATAGGAGAAACATGCATAGTACACATCCACCTTTGAGTAAATCCTACACAGATCTGGAGTGGAGCCCCTAAGACGATTGGGTGGTAACTTAGATTTCTCCTTCTAGCAACTCCTGCAGCCAAGCTGGTGCCAAACGGATTGCTCTGCTTTCCTTTGGACCACATCAGTGAGGCGAAGAAGGGGGTCTTGTTGTCTGGGCAGCCGAGGACCTCCATACACTAGGGCTGGGCGATATATCAACAAAGCCTCACAGGCTGCCGCTGCTTCTGCCACCCCCCGGCCACTGCCACGAGGAGGCTTCGCAGGCTGCTGATTATTGTGCCCCTGCTGCCAGGCTGACGCTGCTTCTGCCCCCCTCCCCTCCTTGTTGATTCTGCCACCACCAGGCTGCTGACAGTCCCAGATTATTTGCACTCACTCTGACTCATCACCGTACTTTGGATTGTCCTGAATACCACCATTTGGTAGCCAAGCGCAAAACCAAAAGTCTCATTTGAATGCATTTTGGCTTGCCTGCTGCTGAAAGTGACCATGAAGTGATTGATAATATCATCATTTATCAGTTTTAGACCCTTAAGTAGTAGCAACTGCCAGGACATTGTCCTGTTTGCCTCTGCGTAGTTCCTTCCTTATTTCAGATATCGTGATATATCGATATATTGCAATGTTTAGCTGCTGATATATTGCAACATCGAAAACCAGTTATCGCTCAACCCTACATACCACTGCCCAGGTTTGCACCCCAAGGAGGTCACTTTGGTGCTGCTAACGCAGCAGTTTGACTTCACCCCCTCTCCCGAGGCACACTCCATTGTCACTCGAGACAGATGGATGCCAACAACAACTAGTCGAATTGAACCTTACTGGAGACCCTAAAAAGAGCCTTCCTGCCTTCTCTCCACTATTTCCTAGAAACAGCAACAAAGGAAGCTGCTGTATACTAAGTCACACCAATGGTCCATCTAACACAGCATTGTTTACACTGACTGGCAGCAACTCTCCAGGATCTCAGACAGGGTCTCTCCTGGAGATGTCAGGGTTTGAACCTAGGACCTTCTTCTTTCAAAGCAGATGTTCTACCACTAACTTACAACCCTTGCTTTATGTCTACAGACATTTCTAAGCCCTGACTGGCTCAAAGCAGAGCCCTCTGATTGGCTGAAGGGCTGTGTATAAAATGTCTTACTGCATTAGGTCTGGCACATTTCTGTGGACTTGCTACTGGCAGAGAACCAGAATTATGTCCTTCAGCCAAAGCAAGAAATGGATGCCTCACCGGTCTCCATGACCTTGCCTAGCTGCCAGTCAGTGCCCTTGCTCAGTTGCTAGTCCGACCTACACCCTTGTGAGTTATCAAAAACTGGTTGGTTTTCCGATAGCAGCATGCGTGCTTATTGTTTAAGTTGGGAGCAAAGAAGAGGGCAATAGCAAGAGGTATTGGTACTTCACAGTATGGCCCCATGTGTCCTTTGAAGCAGGAGTGGGGAACCTCAGGCCTGATGAGGCTGATTGTGGCCCCCCAGACCTCTCTGTCGGGCCCTTGGAACTCTTCCCAATCCACACCCTCTCTCTCAAGCCACACATTCTCACCAGTCCTGCTTCTCAAGCACATTTCCTGGGGTGAATGTGTCCTTGAACTGTGATAACACCTCTTGCTTGCCTGGATAGAGGATGAAGAGCTGTGTCCTGTATATGTGTGTTTGTCTAGAAACCTCTGACTTTGGCTGCCTGAAATGTAGCCACCTCTACAGGGGTAAACGTCACATCTCACTACTCTGCCCACTTTTGGCCTCTGGCCACACCTATAGTCCAAATGGGACTCCACACAATCCTGAAGGCCAACTGCTTTCCTCCCTTTGCATCATACACTTATGATTTAGCTCTTTGAAGCTAAATTTTTACTCTGCTCATTTTACTCTGATTTTTATTCTGCTCTTCAGCCGAAAGTAGCTCCCAGAGCAGCTTGCAAAGATCAATATGAAGATGGCTCTGGCCCTCAGGCTTACAAAAGGATACAAAAGGGAAAGGGACTGGGGAGGAAGGAGGAATAAAGCAAACACCTGAGCCTGGTTCTTAGTTACAAAGGACGGACGGGAATTTAAAGGTGTGCAAGGAGAAGGATGAGCCCATAGTGACTTTCAGCAGAGCTGGTGGAGTGACTCTGCTTCCCTTCTCTGTTTCTACTGCAGACTGATGGAGTGACTGCTGCCAGGTGACAGATGAGGAAAGGAAGAGCCGATGGAGCTGGCCTTTCTGGAAAGCTGAATATAGTCTCCTGTTGGGTTGAGTGGGGTAGCATTGCCAGTGACAATTCCTAGGGGCTCAAGTGTCATGCAAAGCCAGTAGAGCCCATAATGCCAAAGGCAGTGTGGCCATTTTCAACCCTTTGGAGCAGTCAGTCCTGGGAGAAGCTGCCATTAATGGAGGCATGATGCGTAGATCATTTTCTCGGTGTTTCATGCCCCAAAGCTCAACCGCCAGTGACAGTCCAGGAATTCAGAGCCTGGCATGCCGCTCAACAGTCCTGGGCAGGTTTCCCTTCATTTTTTCTCTATGAGAAGCCACGGTTGAAATAATCGACTCTCCTTGCATTCAGAAATACAGTGTGTTTAGCCCAATTAAATTATAGCTTTCTTTGCAGTGCGATTATTTGCAACCTACGTTTGAAAAAAAATATAGGGTGTGTTAAAATGAGCTTCCTGTCAGCAAAACCCTTATCAGGGACACAGGAGCAGGATAAACAATGGACAATTACTCCCCCAAATATCCTTCAGCTGAAATCTTTCAGCAACTTAAAAAATGCAAGCTGCCAGAGGCAAAAACAGCAACTGCCTACCTACCAGCATTTCTGTGATGGGGCTATGCAAGGGCTCTTCTGGCATCACTGCATCACATGCCATGGCTAAGAAGGAAAGCAATCCCTGATGTCGGAAGAATCTCAGTCAGCAAGTGATGGGAAAGACTTCTGCTGCAGATGTTGGACAGCAACAGTTTGTTGGAACAGTACATTTTGTCTTGCTTTTCTTTCCAATGCAGAATGTAAGGGTCCTGGGCAATAATAACCAAGCAATAATAACCAGATCTAGACCACTTCTTTTTAGCAAAGTGGTTGTCTTGTGTGCCTTCTGATCATTCCCTTGGTCTAGATGGGCCAATGGTCTGATCTGGTATAAGCAGCTTACGATACGGGTAGGGACTGGTAGGGACATAAGAAGCGCCCTGCTGAATCAGGTCAAGGCCCATCTAGTCCAGCATCCAGTTCTCTCAGTGGCCTATGAGATGCCTTTGGGAAACCGAAAAGCAGGACTTAAGCACAACAGCACTCTCCCTACCTGTGACCTCCAGCAACCAGTATTCAGAGGCATACAGACTCAGAGAGGAAGCAGAACATAGTCATTGCAACTTGAAGTCACTTGAAGTCAATGCAACTGCCAAATTCTCTTTTAAAATCATAGTTTAACTATATGATGCTTTGAAGAAGTATGTTCTTGAAGGTTTCCAGCGGTCAGTTTGAAAGGTGGCCCTGCCCCATCTTGGCATGTAGCCTCCAGAGGTTTGCCCTGGGGGAATGCAGCCCTCAGGCTAAAAAAAGGATTCCGCACCCCTGGGCTAAGACAAGCAGGTTGTTTTAGCTTCAGATATTCATCTGTCCAATGGGAATGGAAATAACAAAACAAAACAAAACAAAACAAAACAATAGCAATGCAACAATGACTCCACTGAGTTCAGGGTGCCTGGACATATTGGTTAGATTTTCTTTACTATTGCAACAACCCTGTGAGGTAGACTGGGAAATAATGTCTGGCATATGCTCTCCCAGTGAGCCCTTCTGCCAAGTGGAGATTTTTAATTCTGCTCTCGCTGGCCAAAATGTTAAATGTTCTCTGACCACTGCATCATAGCTGTTAGACAGTGAAGACATTTTAAAGGGCAGTGGGGCCCAGTTTGAAAACCTCCTTGTAGCATTGAAACTAAATACACATTATTTCTCCAATATAACCTCAAAAAACAAGCAAACACGGTGACACTGATTTTGTCACTTTGCAACAGAAGCTGACTATGGACATGATCTTGCAAAGTTGTTTTACAAAAAAAATGACAGCCTGATGAATTGTGCACATCATGCCACCATGATGGGTTCCCCCATCCCCCCCCAAAAAACAACCCACTTGTTTGTGTCCAATCATAGAGCAGTATTTGGTGCATAGCAAACATAAAACACATTGGCAATTGCCGTTACATCTCTCAAAGTGCCGCTGCACCCTCTCAGTAGCACCTCCAATACATAGTTTTGTAGATTATCCACCATGCTAAGCACTTCACAGAATGGCACTCCAGCTCAATTTAGACCCCACTTAGATTTATCTGGGAGTTTCACCACCTTGCTCCCAGCAATTCAGAGCAGCTGTCACATTGCGTGATGGGATGCCCCCCTCCATCAATTGTCGCTTTCAGATTCTTAGGAAGATCATCCAGTCCCTAGACCTAATTTGTAAATGCTGATTGCATGGCGGAACTTGGATCTGTTCCAGTTTCCCCTTCTTGCTACAATGAGTCATTGAGCAAAATGAATGGCAATTTGCCTGTCTCTGCTCGGAGTTTTGAGTATCTTTTCCATCCCCAGCAGTATTTTTGGATGGGCAATGCTGTGCTCCTTTCCAATTCTGACATATTTATGCATGCAAAAACAGTGGAGCAAATCCTTCATGGACTGGATAACAATAGAGCTTTCCTTTAAAAAATATTGTGCTTTTAACAGTAGCCAAACACAGAGGTAAAGGTGTTTGGGAAAAACTATACCAATTATATTTCTGAGTGTCTGGCTAGTACAAACTGCACAGGAGCAGGGTCAGAAAAAAGCCGGCAAAATTCAGCCTTTGGTAAGGCCCACCCTCAATATTAAATGTTTTCTAAATATTAATTAGCTAATTAGTTCAATGTATTTATATCCTGCATGCAGGCAACGTTTTACCTAATCGCTCACTAAGAAGTAACACATTTCAGTAAGTTTAAACATGTTGGGCTATCTGTATTTATGTCCTGGCAGTTCTACAATAATTCCCCCTCTCCACAAAATCACTGGCTGTAGGCCAGGGATGGGCAAATCTGTCAATTTCAGTTTCTCCTTTTCTCACTCTTCAGTTCTCCACACTTTGACAACCATTTGCGATTTTAAAAAAATCCTCAAGGAGGTTCATCAGCATTTAAGTGCCAATTTCTCCTAATATGCAATTTTATATGCAATTTTGCATACTTTTTGCAAAGCAGCCTTCTCTAATAGAATGCATTTCTGCTCATACATGCATCTTTATGCAGTTTACTCTGGTATAAGTACACATTACTTGGCTGGAGAACTGCACTGCAAAATCCAGAGATTTGCAGATTTTGAGAAATGTAAATTAGTTAGCTTCACCTTTATTTGCAAACTGAATTGATTTTTTTCCTTCATACCTCTCCCCTGCCCACATGCCCTCTGCACACCCCTTTCTTTTAAGCTTGTCTCAGCTGTGTGTGTGTGTGTTTCAACATTTAATAACAGCTACCCACATAGCCACCCTATAGCAGGGCTTGACATGGTTTGGAGGCTGAGGAAAGTCACTCCAATGACCCACCCTGGTTAAATCTCCTCCAGATTGTTCATGGTTTGGTTGGTTGGTTGTTTTTTGAAATGGTGTGGCTGGCACAATTAATGAAAGAGAGCAAATAGCAAACAAAGCACATCAGAAAGGATCATAACTCCAAGTCGCCACCCTCCTTCTGACAGCTTCTCCAAAACAAGCCCTCCGGAACAAGAACGCAACGCCCACACAAAATATGCATCGTGCCTCATCATAACAGGATTCCCCAGACGACATTTGTTGGGGGTGGGAGAGAGAGATCCTTGAAGTTCCAAGAAATGTCACAAGCTCGTGTCCAAAGTTTAATACAAAAAGTTTCCACATGGCTGTTTCAAGGAATGAGGCCAAACGGACTTGCAGCTTCTCTAGGGGCTTGTTAGGACCAGGGAAGAACACTTTCCCCCCCTGCTTATATGGAAATTTGAAACTTGCCTCCAGAGTGGAAGATTAGAAAGGAGGGTTGTGTAAACAGGGCTGAAGTGCTAAGTTGTTGGGCCTCCGCTTTGCAGGGAAGTTTTTACCCACTGACCTGAAACACATTTCCCCACAATCACAGACTGGGTAAGGGAGAATGGTAACAAACATGGTTGGTTTGCACATTGCGTCTGATTAGGGGCTGCTGCTGCTGCAAGCTAAGCAAGTCATGGTAGAAAGCTTCACCTGATGGATTTCTGCCTGCTACTTGGCAGCTAATTTTGCACATCGGTCCTAATTAGCCAGACTGATCTATCTGGAAGAAGAGCAGGGTAGAAATAAAATTATAATGGTGGCTACGTAGTGTTTAGGAAAGCCACTTTGTACATGCTCAGAGGCATACCGTATCACTACTTCTAGTGGCATCTCAAGACCAGGGAGGCTGTGCTCAATGGCAGAGCAGATACTTTATATGCAGAAGAAGTTCCCTGGTTAATTCCTTGGTATTTCCAGCTAAAAGGGTCAGGTAGTTGATGACAGGGAAGACCTATGCTTGTGTGATTAGAAGTCAATCTATATATATTGTATAAGGCAGCTTTATATGTCCACGTTGAGCCATAATTCTACTGCACTAGATAGAGACCCTCATAAAGCACAAGGAAGCACTTTCGTAATCCCTCCTTTGGAAATCTGTTTACATGAAAACTGGTTTTAAATTGCTGTGTTTTATGCACATTTCAGCTTTTTCCTGGGATCTCTCCTGTTGTGATTTTATTCCACTGTGAATCAGATTTTGTAAAATGCCCAAAGTGCTCAGTTGGATGGGCTGTGTGCAAATGTAATAAACAGAATAAAATACTCAATGCAATAAATATAGAGGAAACACTGCCAGAGTTATGGCGGTCATGTACATAAGATACTGGGGCTCCTGCACCTTAAATTAAAACATATATATGTGCATGAGGCTTTATAACGCTACAGAGAAGCAACAGAGGACTGGGGGAGAATGGAGGCAGGGACAGAGTATGAGGTTATTTCAGTTGCAAGCCAATCTCAATAAGATCTTCTATAAAGCTATTAAAGATGCAAGAGCACTTGTCTGTTTCTCACCTGGGCTATCCAAATCAGAGCTGGCAATTCTGGGCTTGATTTTGTGGTCATTCCCCCCCCCCTTGATATATAAAATGGTTTAACCTGGTGCAAGGCAGCTTCGTATGTTCTATTCCCGCTTATTAAATCAATGCAAGTTGCTGCTGTTTTAATTAGGACACATCGAAACATGTTATTTGGCTGTGGAAAAGTAACACTTCAGGTGCATGCCAGCATAAGATGAGAAGAGGAGCAGAGGGAGGAGAAAACAAGAAAGGGTGATGAAGCCGCACCCTGAGAGATTAAGTTCAGGAATGTGGCAACAATCTCAAACTATTCTGAAGAGGAAAATTAAAGCTGCAGTCTGTGTGTGCATATTTCCCTGCATGGTAAACCCCATTTCACCCAGTGGGATTGACTCCTGGGTAAATGTACACAGGATCAGGCTGCTCAAACTGTGTATCTTGTTTCGGTATGAGAAATAATGTGTGAGAAAGTACTATTGAGGATACACAGAGTACCTGTCACACACACGTTAGTAACCCCATAACTCTTCATATTTAGGAGCAGAATGTCAAGAAGTTAGCTCAGCTGGTTGGAGCACGGTGCTGATAACACCAAGGTTGCAGGTTCGGTTCCCGTAAGGGACAGGTATATATTCCTGCATTGAAGGGGGTTGGACTAGATGGTCCTCAGGGTCCCTTCCAACTCAAGTTTCTGGACCTTTCTTTCACTTGCCCTCTTCAGCAACCACCAAACACACAGAAATTAACCTGGAAAAGCTTTCTCTGTCATCTGATCTCTGTGCCAGGTAAAGGCAGCTTTCCAAATATCTGCCTTTTCAAGCTGCTGCCGCAAGACACAGGAACACAGACAGCAAACAAAACAAAACAAAAGCAAACCTGCTTTCAGTACAAGGGCTCAGTGACACGAGTAATACAACACAGAAATGCTACAGAACATGTGCAAAGTCCCTGTTGCACACCACTCGTTAACATAGCTGTCAACGTTTTCCTTTTTTAAAGGGAAATTCCTTTATTCCGAATAGGATTCCTTGCAAGAAAAGGGAAAAGTTGACAGCTATGCTCGTTAATCCACCTACCCAGGTACCAGATTTGGGGTGGCGGTAGTGAAGGTAAGGTGGGCACAGGGTGCAGCTTAGTGGCAGGCTTGATCCTGCACATTTCATATTAAAACAGAAATGAAGTGGATATATGCCAAGAAAGCTGTTAGCAAAATGATGCTCCTGTGACATTGGATCACAGAATAGAGGTATGTAAAAAGTCCGGATAGGAACATAGGAATCTTCCTTAAACTTAATCAGACCTTTGGTCCATCTATAGCTCAGTATTCTCTACACTGACTGGCAGCAGCTCTGCAGAATTTCTAGTGGGGAGCCTTTCCAAGCCCTTTCTGGAGATGAACCTGGGACCTTCAACATGCAAAGCAGATGCTGTACCACTAAGATATGGCCCTTCTGTCTCTCCTATTGGTCCATCAAGCTCAATATTGTCTACACTTCCTGGCAGTGGCTCTCCAAGTTTTCAGGCAGCGAGACTTTCCCAGCCCTACCTGGAGATGCCAGGAATTGAACCTGGGACATTCTGAATGCAAAGCAGATTCTTTGCCACTGAGCTACATACAGCCCTGGAGAATCTAGGCGACAGCTCCAGGGCTGCCCTGGAGATCTGAAACTGTACAGGCACAGCTCACACCTGCTTGTTCCTCCCCACAAGCTGCCTAGTCTGGAGCAGGATCCGTATGTCGAACGACATGTGTAAACAGAGTGCAACGCTCACCTTTTCTTCTGCACTGTCGGGCTGTACTTCCCTTTGTTTCTCTTCTTGAACAGGGAATGCATAATGTTAACCCCAGGGTTCAGCAAGTGCCGACGGAATCTCTTTCCAGGGGAAGTCCAAAGAAAATAAAATTAAAACGAATGAACCGGCAAGGCTCTGTCACACAGCTCTTGTTGTTCCCCCTGGTGAAAGGCTGCTGGTGTCTGTTTTTGATGCTAGATCCTGCAGTTTTAAGAAAAGTTGCTGAACGGAGAGAGGGAGAGAGAAAGAGCAACTCTGCGGCTACCTCAAGTCCTGCTTCTCTGGCACTTCTGCCAAAGGAACTGCAACTCTCCCAGGCCAAGCGAACTGGGAGTTACCTCCTCCCCCTGGAGGTGGTGCTTACCTACCACACACATGTCATGGGCCCAGGCGGAGCCAGTCTAGGCCATTATTTCCTCGTCAGCCTCTGCTGGGAGCAGCTGTTGCTATGACTGCCTATGACTAGCACATCTTTCTGTCACTGGCAGTGTACGAGGGTTGCAAGATACTTCCCATTCAGCCCTTTCTCCTTTGACTTTAACAGCAGCTCAGCAGGTATAAATTCACCAGGTGAAGCTTTTTCACCTAACAGGAAAATAAGCGGCTGGGGGAAAACCTCACCAGTTAAATTCATGCACCCAAGGCTGCTGTTAAAGGCCGAGGATCAGGAGGAGAGGGGAGTAGTGTTTTGTTTTGTTTTGTTTTTATGGCTGGCAATGTTGAAACTGCCTTAAGGACAGTTTGATCAGTAGGCATTAGCTGGTGATAATGTTTAGTTCCTTCATGCCTTGAAAAGCTTCTCCTGTTGATTTCAGTGGATCAAATGGCCTTTCGGGCCACAAAGAGCAGATCAGGCTGGTCCTCCCCCCCCCCCATCAGATGGCAGCCCTATCTGTATCGTGGAGGGAATTCCAGTGACTGTAGCTCTTCTCAGTTTTGCATGACAAGCTTCACTGGCAAACATTCCCTGGCTAGGCAACTGTAAAAGATAAAGGAGCCATATCTGCTTTTGAATCTAGTTACCTTAGATAGGGCTTAATTTTAGCCCCAGAGCTCCCCCCCTTTTTTTATGCCTGTACTCAGCCATGCATTAAATGGATGCCTCTTATCACATTAATCTGAGTTGGCAAAATACCCTACCATTCTGTCAAGTGTAGAGTACAAGGCATTACTTGATTTTATCTTCACAACAACCCTGTTAGGTTGGCTGGGTCGAGAGGTAGCGGCTTGCCCAAGGCCATCCAGTGAGATCTGCAGCTGAGCTGGGAACTTTGTCCCAGTCCAAGCTCAAAACTCAAGCCACTGCACACAAGAGCAACTAGAGTGCCTCTGACCACGTGCAGAGCGCACATTTTCCCCCATTTAGTAATGATAGCCATATGCAGACCTGAGCAGGAATAAGGGTGGCCAGGTGATCAGTGAAGGCGGACTGTAGTATCAGCACCTCACAATTTGGGCTTTGCCTGTGGCAGGCTGGAATACCCTTGAAGGCTGGGCCAAGAGATGGGAACAGCCCTTGTTTTTGAGAGCCTTTTCCTGTCCCTGTAGAGGTTAATCCAGCCCTTTCCTGTTAGGGTGGATACAGAAGTACACAGGTTGCACCAGACCTCAGGAGGAAGTTACAGGAGAAGGCCCATTTGGTTGCTAGGCAACATCCCTGTTAGGCCTAGGTAGTATTTCTGCTCCCTCTCTCTACTCATCAGTGACAGGGCAGGTGTGACTTTGAAAGCACACCTTTGAATAAACTGGTTTGATGAGCGTGTTCTTTCTCAGCAAGGCGTAACTCCAACCTCGATAGAGCAATAATTAACAGCCCACCCACCACCTCATCTTTGGTCTTGTCACTTATGAAGAAGGGATATGACCAACGTCCCCCAGTTTGGGACCTCAAGAATCAGAGGCCTCTGGTGTCTGAGGTCATACCATGTAACTGTAGCCGGGGAGGGAAAAAAACACTTCCAAACCCTTGATTCTGAGCCTGTCCGGGTCCAAATACCTCCTTTTAAAAGGGCACCTGCTGTTCAGGAAACAAATATTTTATTGACTCATTGCATTTATTTACTGCCTTTCCTCCCAGGAACTCAAAGCAGAATGCATAGTTCTCTTCCCCACCCTCACTTTTTCCTCATAACAACCCTGTGAGGTGGCTTAGGCAGAGAGAGTGAGGAAAGCCCTTAACATCCAGAAAGGTACATGGCCGGGCGAGGATTTGAACCTGAGTCTTCCAACTCCTAGGGCAGACCCACACTATACCTTTGAAGCAATCCAAGGCACATTTAAAGTACACTACATCCCCCAGAAAATTCTGGGAACTGTTGATTGCGAAGGTTACTGTGAATTGTCGATCTCTGAGAAAGAAACTACAATGTTCATGCTTCCTGGGGGGGGGAACTATGTGCTTTAAATGTGTGTTGAATGTACTTTATGGTGTGGATCTTTATGGTGTGGCCCCTAGTCTGACACTCTAACCACTACACCTACTTGCCCAAAGAGGATTCCAGCCATGCCATGTGCTCCAACTGTCCCTGTTAACCAGAAACACTCTCTGTTTTCTGGCTCCTGTCCATCATGGTAAAATACTGTCCACATTTTGTCTCTGTTTTTTGTCTTGGAGATAGACAGGTCTACAAATGTGTTACTGTGCACTTACATCCCTTGCAGCAGCAGTGGTGAAACTTGTAGGGTCTACTTTGTTTTGTATTAGGAAGTGAGATCCACCAGCTAGAGCTTGGTGCAAAAGACATAACACACTGGGGAAAAAATCTGAGTCCAAGAAATGATGGTTATGAGTACCAGAACTGAACAAGAGCTCACAGTCCTGCCGCACAAAAATCCACACCTGGTTGCTGATTCCCCACCCACCCCAGCTGCAAGCTGTCTCCTTTTCAGCAGTATAATTTTTGGTGTGGGTGATTTTGTGGTTGCCGCTTCTAAACAATTAGGATACATAAATCCTTGCCAATAAAATAACCAAAGATCCACCGGTAGATCCAGCTTCTGCCTATCATTTCTTTAAAGTTCTCTACCTAAGCAATGCCTGTTGTCTTTGTCCATGGAGTTTTCTTGGTAGGGATACTGGAGTGGCTTGCCGGTTCCTGCTCCAGGTGGATCACGTTTGGTCAAAACTCTCCACTATGACCTGTCCATCTTGGGTGCCCTGCTCGGCATAGTTCATAGCTTCTCTGAGTTATTCAAGCCCCTTCGCCACGGCAAGGCAGTGATCCATGAAGGAGACTCTTGAGAGTCCCATGGACTGCAAGAAGATCAAACCTATCCATTCTTAAGGATATCAGCCCTGAGTGCTCACTGGAAGGACAGATCCTGAAGCTGAGGCTCCAGTACTTTGGCCACCTCATGAGAAGAGAAGACTCCCTGGAAAAGACCCTGATGTTGGGAAAGATTGAGGGACCAAGGAGAAGGGGACAACAGGGGACGAGATGGTTGGACAGTGTTCTCGAAGCTACCAGCATGAATTTGACCAAACTGCGGGAGGCAGTGGAAGACAGGAGTGCCTGGCGTGCTCTGGTCCATGGGGTTGCGAAGAGTCGGACACGACTAAACAACTAAACAACAACAACACCTAAGCAATACACAGACTTACACATTGTCAAAAAAATAAAAAAAAATAAAAGAGGAAACATATCACCCAAAGAAGGTGTTGTATAACTTTGTGTGTGTGCTCATTGATATGTAAGGATGCAAATTTAGAAAGAATCCAGCCCATCACACCATAATGAGGAAGACTGCCACTTGGTGAGCTGCATGCCCATTTAGTCTGTTGTCCATATGCTAACTGTGGATGGGCTACTTCAAGCCCTCTGCTCTCCCATCATAGGATTCGTTATCTTTAAACATAGCTTAGACCAGACAGCATTTCAAACAGAGGACATCTTCAAACAGAGGACTGTCTTCTGATATCCGTTCAAATTGTTCTCTTTAAAGCATTGATGTCGCGGTTCAGAGTTGCAGAGGATCAACAACTCATTACAGTTTCTGCAACGGGATCCCTGTTTCCAGTGCCTCAGAGCTGCCCAATTGGCTTGAAGGGAGAGCTTTTTAGGCACTGAGAACTCTCCTCACCTTTTGTGCTTTATCCAATCAGAGTGAAAGGAGGTGAGTCAACCACTGAGAATTGGCTTCAGTTTCAAGAGAAGGTTGTTCAGTTTCACGATAATAGTGAGCAAATTCTGTTACATGCAATGGAACTTCAATGGAAACAGAACTAACGTCACTCCAGAAGAAGATACTGGAGAACGCCAAATCATTTGCCCATGTATGTGCACGGTAAACAGTAGATATAGCTGAAGGGCAACATGGAAATCTGCATTGATCATTGCAATGCATCTGTAATTATAATTATTGTATAATTATAAGATTACTGTATAATCTTAGAAGGTTGTATAATTTTATAAAGGGGTGTGGCTATAAGGAGCCATGGCTATGACTATCATGAAGGAACTCTGCACTTCTGAATTGGCCACTATACGAGTGCTTTAAAATAGAACACATAATCACCTTGCCCAAGTCCCTCAAAAATAAATATCTGAAGGACAACCAGATATGGCAGCATGGGAGATCTATGACTGGCTCTCCCGGTATTTTTGAAAAAAATAATTGGGAGTTCCAATGCTGAACCTCAGCACAGAACTGCTCCTTTCCAAGTGAGCTAATAGTACCCTGATCAGGAAAACAGGGGAGCAGGAAAGTAGCCTCACCGTTGTTCCTCAAAATTAAGCAAAATGAGATCACTTGCATGGTGCGAAGAAAGTGGGCAGGGAGGGTCTTCCTCTCTCATCATACTAGAACTCAGGAACATTCCATGAAATGGAATGTTGGAAGATTCAGGGTAGACAAAAGAAGTTAAACTATGGGATTTGCTCCCACAAGACCTATTGATGGCTAGTGATGGCCACCAACTTAGATAGCTTTGAAAGAGGACCAGGGCTGTGCACATATTACAAAATGCAGCTAGGTTGTTCTATTTCTCAATTCAGATTGAAGGTGGTTTGGCAGAGGTGCATCGAAACCCGGTATTACATAAGAAACAACAGGATAGATAAAGGATGGATATGGACTATGGCTAATGCCATGTGCACACCACTTCCCAAACCAGTGTTGGGAGCGCAATGGATGCGGAGGAAAAAGGAGCATGTACACAGTCTTAGACAAGTTCCAGGTAGGTAGCCGTGCTGGTCTGCCGCAGTCGAAACAAAATAAAAAAATTCCTTCCAGTAGCACCTTAGAGACCAACTAAGTTTGTTATTGGTATGAGCGTTCATGTGCATGCACACTTCTTCAGAGTCTTAGACAAATTCATGAAGGGTAAGTCTGTAATGTCTGCACCTGTACCCACCCTAAGATTTCTCTATCTGCTCACCTGGATATCATTCATCATCACCATTTTAGACCCTCAACTTAGTCTTACAGAGGACCCCCGTTAAGCAGCCATAGGTATTACTTCCATTGTGAAGTACCCATTCAATATTTCTCTTCTCCCCATTATAATTCCGTTCGCTAACTCCCAGCATTCTGCTTCTAAACCCCAGCATTTGGGATGTTATAGTTTAGTGAAAAGGCAAGTAGGAGGATAGAAGTTTAAAAAATTGTGAGTTGCATGGAGAAAGTGCAAAGTTTTCCTTTCCCTCTCACACAAGACTGGAAATTACGGACATCCATCAAAGGTGAATGTTGGAAGGTTCAGGACAGATAAAGTACTTCTTTGTGCAGTGCACAGATAAACTATGGAACTCACTCCCACAGGAGGAAGCATGCCTCTGAATACCAGTTGTTAGGAATCACAAGTGTGTAGAGCACTGTTGCACTCAGGTCTCATCTAGCTGGCCTCTTTGAGGCCAGGATGCTGGACTAGATAGACCTCTGGCCTGATCTAGCAGGGCTATTCTTGTGTTCTCTTGAGGTTGATGGAGTATTCATGCCCTGTGAGCTGCCTGCCAAAGGATATAATGTTGAGAAAACCTACAGCCACCTCTCTCTTTTTAAAATATTCGTGCCCAGGCTCAGTCTGTTGATTTTAACTTCTCTCTGGAGCTTTTAGGAGAGACCTGTGAATTCTCCCCGGCCTGTGTTGAGTGCTGGCTGCTGATCCTGCACTCTAATTATGTCATCTTGTTTATCGCTCCTATCAATTCATCATTTTAAAAACCACCTTGGCCCAATGCCCGAAGCTGGTCTTTCATCCAGCTCTGTGCTGAAATTCAGTGTGCAATTTCACGACAACAGGGTTAATCAAAATAAGAGCTGATGTGCAAATACGCTCCTTCCCAGCCACTCCGCTCCTATTTATATTTTAAAGAAAGGGCCTGTACCACGGCTACCCTTCCATGCATCCTGCTATTTATGTGCATTTGCGATAATGAATATAGTCAACAAGCAATACAGTGTTACCTCAGGTTAAGTACTTAATTCGTTCCGGAGGTCCGTTCTTAACCTGAAACTGTTCTTAACCTGAAGCACCACTTTAGCTAATGGGGCCTCCTGCTGCTGCCGCGCCGCCGGAGCCCGATTTCTGTTTTTATCCTGAAGCAAAGTTCTTAACCTGAAGCACTATTTCTGGGTTAGCGGAGTGTGTAACCTGAAGCGTATGTAACCTGAAGCATATGTAACCCGAGGTACCACTGTAGTTCCCAGCATTATTTGGGAGGGGTTGTGAGTGTTTGAAGCATCACACAGTGCTTCCATGTGACCAATGGCGATATTTTATAATGAAAATACAGGATACATATACATTTTGGATAACGTCATGTGTGAACTGTGAGTTTAAAAAAGGCAGCATGGGAAATTCAGTGTGTGCTTAGTAACTGGGAAGGTGAATATGGTCTAGGACTCCATAGTTGTCAGGGAGTCTTGTTTGAAGCCAACAATGGCATCAGTTCTAGAGTGTGTGGGGAGACACACACACAAACAAAAGGCCTGTGGGGTTGGGAAGCAGGGGAGGAGATGGGAACAAGATGGAACAAGCCTCAAGAGAATTCTAACAAAGCAGGAAGGCAATAGGCAGTGCCAAGATTTCCAAGGCCCGCCAGTTAATCTTCCGAGTTGTCCTGACTTGCCAGATTTCACACCTGCATTTCACTACACTGATTTCTCGGTCATGCTCAGAGATCCAGTAAATAATGAAAGTGGCTTATTCTCATTTGCAATCTTGGTGCATCAAGCCCCATTCTGTCTACTCCTGAGTACAGATGGAGGGAGAAATTCAATTCAGTTCGCGTTTAAAGGCGAATCTATCAAATCCACACTTTTTGAAGCGATATGACAAGTGGAACACAGCCACCCTTCGAAATCGGCAAGTATGCGAATTTTGCGCAGTAGTTCTCCAAACAAACAGCTATTTGCAAAAATTGCATATATTAGGAGGACAGTGTGCATAAATATACAAAAATGCATTGTATTAGGAGAAGCTGCATGCAGAAATGTTTACATTAGTTAAATGCACACATAAATTTGTTTATTAAGAGAAAGTCATGTTAAAATGCTGGTGAATTTTCACAAGGATTCAGAATGAAATGGGAACTGCTGCAGAAATGGGGAGAACTGAATTTAATATTGAAAAAAATAGAAACTGAGAGAAAACAACATTGAAAATGCATTATATTAGAAGAATTTTCTTGCCAAAAAAAAATTGTGTGCATTGGAGTTTTGTTTTTGTTTTTTTTACAATTAAGCAGTGTCTAAGTCTTGCCAAACAAACAAATAAATAAATATTTGGAAAGCATTTGTTGTGGTTACATTAAAAACAAAACCCAACCCCCCCCACCCTCTTGATGTGTTCAGTGGCTTTTCCAAACCTGACTAGTAAGTTGGTGGCTTAACAACATAAAAGCCTTTACTGGCTGGACCAGTGTGAAGTTGGCAGCCACGCTGACAGTCTCCTCCTGTGGCATCTCTGTGAGCAGATTCTTTGCAGGTGACTCCAGCAGTGCGGCACTTGTTGATCTAAAAGTGGTTTTCTACCATAACTTGTGGGAGCTGCAGGAGGCTGGGAGGGGCCAGGCAGAGAGAAAGCATCTTATGCAATTAATTTTCTTGGCACCCTCTGCCTCTTTCTTTCTTTCTCTCTCTCTCTCTCTTTTGAAATGCATCTCACACCCTTCTCCTGCCCAGCCCTGAATTCTCTCTACTATCTGTAAATATTGTCTGAAATAGCTGCTTCCCAGGAGAGGAGGGGAGGTGGGGGTGGGGAGGAGGAGGCTTTTTGTGTTGAAAGTGTTCTCAAGAGAGGCACTGGTCTGAAAGGCTGTGTCTTTGTTGGCTGGGGGCATAGCTCAGTGGTAGAGCACCCGCTTTGCATGCAGAAGGTCCCAGGTTCAAGCCCTGAAGGTAGGGCCTTCAGGAGCCACCACTAGGTAGCGTAGACAATATTGAGCTATATGGACCAATAGTCTGACTCAGTATAAAGCAGCTTGCTATGTTGCACTGCATTATGGCTTTGTAGTCTTTAATGCTTCCTGGTCCAGAAAAATGGGAAGGCACACCACTTGGTGGGCAGCAGCAACACCTATGCAGCTTCCTATGATCTTATGTTCCCTTCTCCTTTGCACCTACTCAATAGCAGCTTCTGCTTGCCACTGCTTCCCCTGAAGCACATGGATAATGCCCTCTGGCAAAAGCAGAGCTGCAGATCCGCTCTACCCACCACCGCCTGGCTGTACATTCAAACTGTAAACCCAGAAACATGACATGGTTTGCTCATACATAGCATCGTCTCTCTCTCTCTCTCTCTCTCTCTCTCTCTCTCTCTCTCTCTCCCTCCTCCACCCCTTTTCTCAGGCCTCTCCCTCTCTGCTCTAATCTTGAGAGGTGAACGGAAAATTCTTTCAGTGCATTGACATTTGCAGCCAAAAAGAATTCAGGCCTCTCCAAAGACTGGCTTTGCCAACCGGGTGCTGCCCAGATGTTTTGCATTACAGTTCCCAGCCTGCATGACCAGACCCAGAGCCACTTAGCTTCAGCAAGGTGGTAGCCTTGCTTATGTTCAGACCATGGAATGATTTCATAGACTTTTAGGACTGTAATATGAGCCCGCTGGATCAGGCCAGTAGCCCACCTAGTCCAGCATCCTCTTCTCACAGTGATTGACCAGATACCCCAATGGGAAGCCTGAAATCTGGACATGAGCACAACAGTACTCCATCCACCTGCAATTCCCAAAAAACTGATATAATTTGTGGACTAGAGTCTGATTCAAAAAATGGACAATGTATCTATCTTAGACAAACAGACGTATACCTGGACACGGAAGGAAAATTTATTAGACAGAAATCTTCATATAAAGATTTTAAAACTTGCTCATTATTATCCCCCACCCTTCACCAAAAGGTCCCAGGGCACATTACAGCAATATAAAAAGATATATGTTGATTGTTCTGTTCATTGTAGTTTAATGCCTATTACAGTGGTACCTCAGGTTACATACGCTTCAGGTTACAGACTCCGCTAACCCAGAAATATTACCTCGGGTTAATAACTTTGCTTCAGGATGAGAACAGAAATTGTGGGCAGCGGTGTGGTGGCAGCAGGAGGCCCCATTAGCTAAAGTGGTGCTTCAGGTTAAGAACAGTTTCAGGTTAAGAACAGACCTCCAGAACAAATTAAGTTCTTAATCCGAGGTACCACTGTATTGCTTTGTTATTTCAAATTGTTGAAAGCCTCCCTGAGTAGTATATAGGCAGTTGAAAGGGTGGTATAAAACATTTTGTATGTAAATCAAAGAAATAAAATATTAATAATTGAAGCCATGAAGTGCATCTGTGAAAATTCAGTTAAAGCAGGGATAGGATACCCTGTTTTGCATGGGGGCAGGGGTGCTAACTTGAATAAAATATGGGGGGGCAGGTAAGTCCTGCCTTGTATAATCAATCACTTGATGTGGTACCCACCCACCATTTGAATAGCAATGCCCGTCAACTTTTTTTGGGGGGGGGGGTGGATCTGGCCTTCTCAAAAAAAATATTGCGGGGGGGGGGGTGAAGGGACCTCAGCCTCCAGGAGCTGGCTGCATGCATGAGAGCCACATTCCATTCTGAGCAACCTTCTGGGGCTCACATGCCAGTGGTAGTGGTGGGGGAGCAAAAGTGAGTAGGGCAGTTAATGTACATGCCACCTTTGCACAGTAGGCTAGTTTATTTCTGCACATGGTCATGCACGCCTCTTTACCCTCAAACCAATGAAACAAGAGTCATGTGCCAAGGGCACATTTTGGTCAGGTCAGAAAATTCAAGGAGGGTGCAAAGGAGGGTTGGTTGGGATGTATCTGGGAAGTTTTGAAGCCAGAGGACCAGACAGAGAGGATGAGAGGGCTGCATCCAGTCCCCAGGCCAGAGGATCCCCACCCCTGAATTAAAGCTGAACTGTTTGCTCAAATCAGCACAAAGACCATTCACAATTCTAGTAATCTGTGATAAAACACAATTATCCTAACTTTGCTATGTTAATTATCACCTCTAGTGTTTTATGTTGTTCTTCTTTTTCTATGCATGCAAGAAAACTAGTCCAAATTTAAATGACGGGTGTATTTCATGCTCCCTGGAATGCTTAAAAGACACAAACATGTCAAGCTTCCACATCCCAGTGTGGGAGGTCTGTTCTAAGACTCTTGTCACCCAGCAGCCTTCCACATCCCTCTGGGCTATTTGGATCCATGAATTGACGTGGATCTTCTCAAGCATCAAACGGCTTGCGTATAGCCCTGGAGGCAATATTACACAGCCTCCCTCTCCTCCCTCTCTCGAACAACTAGACACCCAGGGACTGCACTGTAGGGTTATGGCAAGGAGAGAGAGCAAAGCGGATGTAATTAAAGAAAATCAGACACCCTCCAATTTTGGTGTCCCAGCAATAAGTGGCAGCAATTACACTAATCAAGTCCTATAGGTTCATGGGATGCTCGAAGGGAAGGATCGTGTTGCCTTGAAAATAGGGTGGCCAACTGATGGGGGTGGGAATCAGGCTGGCTCGCTTTTTAATCAGTTTTAACCAGCAGTTTTATCTGCAGAGATTGACAAGTGGAGCTTTCAGGCAGGGAGATGGATGCGATCGCCTGCTAACATCTGCAGGTGAAGCTGCTGCTAAAGGTGGAGGAGCACGGGCTAGTAAAACTGTTGGCAACCCAACTCAGATATAAAAGTCATAGATTGCTTTTATTGAACTGGCTCCCAAGTAAGTATTATTTCCTACCTCTGGCCCTCTACCCTCCAGCTCTACCACCCTCAGCCACCCAAGTCCCCTAGTCCCTTAAAGGGCTCCATCCTTTGTTAGTCTGTATGCCTGGAATGTCCTTCCAGAATGCCCACATGATGGGGCCACCTCTCTTTCTTCTTTCAGAACTCCCCCTCCCAAAGCTCAAAATACATCTTGCCTTATGGAGGTTCTAGTCCTCATTGCCAGCAGAGCGGAAGACTACACTTGCCCACATTTATCCCTGGTTTATCCCAGCTTCTCCCTATTGGAAGTACAACACCAGGGATCATTCAGCTACTAACCAATGGGTTAACTCTGTTTACAGTTAGCCAACCAAGAAGTGGTTCCCAACAACCAGCCACATTGGCCCCACTGAGGTAATTCAAGTTCTGAGTGGCTGGTTAGTTCTGAGTGAGTTTTCCTCTGCATCTCTTCCTGCTATGGACTAGCCCTGAACCTTGTAAGAAAGACAACTCCTCTCTGTTTATTTCTCCTCTTATCATGTGCTGTTTTTGCTCAGCTCACCTAGAAAAGTATTGCCAGTTTCTTTTCTCTCAGGACTCCTTCAGCATGATTTAAGTGCCTCTGCCAACACTTCCTTCCTTCTCTTTGTTGTTTCCCTTGCTATGGAAATGTAGGGTCATCAGGGCAGAGACCTGTCCTGTTTTGTTTCGGCATAAGTGACTTTATAAAGTACGCCAAAGGTGCTATGTTAAAGAAGTTCGTGATAAATGACACAAAAATCCTGAGGATCATGGCCCCCCTCTGAGCAACTATGACATCAGCTGCCTGCTGTGAGAGGAGCCAGAAACAGGCTTTTTGCCAACATCACTGCGGAGATGGGGACATCATTGGATGAGCTGGAATTAGTTCTTATGTCGCTTGGATATGCAGTTTGCAGGAGGGCAAACCCCTTGCATTTTTCAAGGAACTTTTGGGAGCAAGACTTGTGCACTTATCCCAGGTGTAAGGACATTTTTCAACTCAAGAGCCGCTTTCCCTTCGGAGCAACCTTCCAGGGGCCACGTGCCAGGGATGGGCCGGGCCAGAGAGGAAAGTGGGTGGAGGAATAAATGCAGATGTTCCCTTTGTACCACTGACTGCCACCAGACTGCCACCAGAAGACATGCGTTAACGGAAAACATGGTACCAGTGTGCCTGGCCTCTTGACATCACAGGTGAACAGGCATCGCTTGTCACGCAACGTAAGCCCTGACGTGCGACAGGAAGCCATAAATAAGCTGTGTGTCACTTACAGGTATTTTCTCCCATCGAGTCAAACTGCTATATATCAGCTGGCTGTTGACAATTTGGGTGTTTCCCCCTACTTCTTAATACCTTTCCGCCTACATGGAGGAGCCTGCTGAACAACCTGCCCTGTCCTGGGATCTAATTGAATGGTTGCCACCAGGAGAAGAAGGAGGGCCGCCACTTAACATATCACCAAAAAAGGAAACCAAAGGAGACAGGTATTTGCATCACATTTGCATATGCCAACTTACGTGTCCTGAATCTGCATGTTTAGGGTTTGTCAGGGAACTGCCATCGGTAGGAAGGGAGGTGAAAGGACTCAGACAGGTTGGAAGAGACTTAGCAGCTGAAGAGGAAACCAGCAGGGGGAGAGAAGCTGAACTGAGGGAGGTGAAAGGGCTCAGACAGGTTGGAAGAGACTTAGCAGCTGAAGAGGAAACCAGCAGGGGAGAGAAGCTGAACTGAGGGAAAGGGAGCTGGGGGATGGCTCAGAGATACTTCCAGCGAAAACAGTGGTGAGGTTTCCGGACCTCCTGTAGCGACACCCACTCCTCGCCGGAAACTGTCACGCAGAGAGTCCAGAAGACGTGTTTCCGTTAAGGAGCTTTTATGTTGGAAGCGATTACGAAAGCAACCACTGTCGGAATCTTCTAGTGACTAAGAGGAGCCATGTCAGAGGGGCTCAGTCACAGACAGAGGTTTGTGGACTTGAACAAACTCTGAGGGAATACGATTTTACGCACAAGCAGCTCATAATCCCATCACAGCATTCCGACAGTCTTTGAACGCAGCTTGTGCAGGAGAAGGCATAATGAGCAACCCAGCAGGAACCGGAGAAGCAGGGGCTGGAGCGGGTCCAAGCCTGGAAGAAAGGTACCGAGTGTTGGAGGTCCAGCTGGCGC